GGCTGTCTCTCCCCTGCTCCCGCTTGCGCCCGCGTGGGCCGGCGTCGTCACCTCAAACAACCGCTGCAATACACCGGCCTGCCCGAACCGCTGGCAATGCACCCCATCCACCCATACCTCGCCTAACCCGCCTGCCTGCTGGGCCCCGGGCTTGCCGCCGCGTTTCCGCGGGTTGGTCCAACCATGCTCCGACCGGCAATGCTTCTGGATATGCTTCCTCCCACGCTGTATATACCCGCACTCGATACACTTCTTGCCGTCGCTCCACACGGGTAACCCGTCGATCGCCGGGATCACCTCGTCGGGGAATCGGATATTGTTCGTATCGGCGGCCAACGAACCGTCGTCCCGTAACGCTAACGCCTCGGCCATGATCCGCTGGCGAACCCGGGCGGCCAAATGGCGGTGCCGCGAATTGACATGCGACGCAACCGACCGCGCCGTCACCACAATTCCATGCTCGTGGCAAACGGCCGTGCGGAATGCGGGCAATGGCGTGAATAGCTCACTGAACGTTGCCATGGTTTATCGCCTGCTTTTCCCTTTTTCGCTCTCTGCTCTCTTCTTTCCTATCTTGCTATATGTTCTAGCCTTGCCGGTTCTGCTACGGCCATACCTTGGTTGAACGGCCGAACAAACTGTCCCAAATAACCTAATTTGCTTCTGATTGCTTCTTCCTTGCTACCCCTGGCCTTTTCCCCTGGCCCACTAAACCCCATCCTCTCGCTCCCATTAACTACCCCCTGTTACTACATTTCGAAAAGACACTAACCCGAATGATACCCGAACCCACCCACTCGACTGGTTGGAATCACTATAACCCTAACCCCCAGCCGTAACCACAACTCGCACTCCCAAAATGATGTTGCCGCCCGCATCGGGCTACATACGCGGTTTCACGACCAGCAAATCGTCAATATAGCACCAGCACGCTCGACTCTACCGATCAAGCTGCTATTTTCCGATTTTGATAGCGATTTTGGGCGACGCCATTGCCCGCTCAGCTCCCCAATCGCATCAGAACGTATGGCCCGAGCGCCGGCCCCACCGCGGCCACACAAATCTCATTGGCCTTCAATGGCGGCGCAGCGTTGCTGTCGTCCCGTACGAGACAGGGCTTCGTGAAGACGCGTTTGACCGCATTCTTACGAGCCTTTCGGCGTCAGCCAAGATCTACAATATAAAATTCCCTTTGCCCCCATCAATATGTCTTCTTCCTTATTCCTTCTCTCAACAGACAAGCGAGATCGCATCCAGTTCTTTCTCGACTCACTTGAGCCCACTCCACCGAACACGAGCATGACCCGGGACAGCCTGCGGTCATCCAGCCTCTCCGAGTCGCTGCTCTCCGATCCCATTGACCCCCCCTTGAGCGAGACCGGATGGGCATCACAAGGGGTTGGTTCTGGGAATACGGATTCAAAGTTCGCAGGAAAGAAGACAACCCAAGATCATCCGTTGGCTTTGCAAGGCCTGCTCCTGTGCGAAGAGACCACCGAGAAACACGTATACCCTCCTTGCCTCGAACCCCGAGAACATCTACAGGCACCTTGCAAAGTAATGCAAAGATGGCCTTTGACGTGCTCGTCCCTCCTATGGCAGCTCAGAGAACATTCTCAGCTGCTGGCTGCATGGTCACGCCACGACGGACACGCCACTCGTGGCTAGGTAGAAGTATGTTAAACAACGTGGGTCCTGTTATCGGAACATCCTTACCCGCCCAAGCCTTGGCAATCTACCGAAATAGAATCTACATTGATAGAATAGCTTCCTATTCTATCCTTCGGGGTCGCCGTAGGTAGAAGTAGATAGATGCAGAACCCTGCCTCCCCCTCCGCCTTTCTGCCTTCAGATCTTGGTACGTGTGACAGACCTGGCGAATCTCTCTGCATACAGACGCTGGGTTCGCCGGGTTGAGGGTCAGATACAACGGCACGAGATTTTGGCGGAGCCAAAGGGTCACAGCAATGTGAGCAACCCGTCGAGCCAGCATCGAATAGCGTCTCCGGTTGGCCGTAAGCCCTGTGCTAATGATGGGTCCGGGGCGCTTCCCGCGCAGCCCTCCGGGCCACTGCACAAAATTGTATAGTCAAAATCCGGCACGCTTGCCCATCACTTGCCTATCAGGGACGATCCCGTTCTTGCCGGTGCTGACCCTCGTCCAGACGATTGGCTCGGGGCGGTTACCCGCGCTGCCCCTCGGGCCGCCGCATATGGGCCGTCCGTGACCGAGGCGGAATCCGTCCACACAATACCCCCGCTACTGATGTCGCGAATCCTATCAAACGGACCGCGTACGACGCCACGACCAGCCGGGCCCGGGCAGTGTAAACAAGAACCCATTCTTGCCATTCTCATAACCACAACCACAGCATCACGAAACCCGACCACAACGGACCTTGACCTAGTGCTCCCAGTTCCAACTCCGGCGTATCTCGCCTCACCTCGCCCACGCCTATAGCTAGGCTGACTGCCAACTCGGACACGGATGGATGGGCCATGGACGATCGGTCGTCTTGTCGGGCGCTCCGTCCCACCTGCGGCTCCTCGGGGCTTCCTCGCCCCGAAGCGGCAACCCTGTCAATTCTCTGTCCCACGTGGGGCTGATGTCGCGCGCAGGCCCGCCCGTTGTTTGTCAAAAACAAATACCTATCTCTCCAATCTCTCCAATAAACCCCACCACCTCGCGTCGGCTTTCTTCCCTTTTCCCTCTTACCTCTTTCCAGTGCCATACGCCGCAGCAGTTCGCACTCACGTTGACACATTCGAGCGATGACCTGTACTGGTCGATAATTTTTGGCGCCACATATTGCCTAACATTGTATGCTCTGGGTTTGGTATCTCTGCGTGACCGCGGGAGGCTAGATAGGCTAGATGTGCATCCGATGGCACAGCCTTTGACCCTACCAGACGATGCTTCCAAGATGTGTTCTTTAGGACAACAGGCAATTTATACGCGATTAACTCATGACGTTCCAAAGCTCAGAATAACCTACAGGTAATGCATATGCATTATGCATTGATGCAGCTCGCTGCAAGAGCCTTCCGGATTCCGGGAGACAAGCTTGCGCCCTCACTCCCCAGAGGACAGGTCTTCACCCCCAGGGGCCAAGCTTCGTCTTCACCCCTGGGGGCCAGCCTTCCTCTTCACCCCCAGGGGCCAAGCTTGGTCTTCACCCCTGGGGGCCAGCCTTCGTCTTCACCCCTGGGGGCCAGCCTTCCTCTTCACCCCCAGGGGCCAAGCTTGGTCTTCACCCCTGGGGGCCAGCCTTCGTCTTCACCCCTGGGGGCCAGCCTTCGTCTTCACCCCCAGGGGCCAAGCTTGGTCTTCACCCCTGGGGGCCAGCCTTCGTCTTCACCCCCAGGGGCCAAGCTTGGTCTTCACCCCCGGGGGCCAGCCTTCCTCTTCACCCCCAGGGGCCAAGCTTGGTCTTCACCCCCGGGGGCCAGCCTTCCTTCACCCCCAGGGGCCAAGCTTCCTCTTCACCCCTGGGGGCCAAGCTTGGTCTTTACCCCCAGGGGACACGTCTTCCTTCACCCCCGGGGGCCAGCCTTCAGTCTTCACCCCCAGGGGACACGTCTTCCTTCGCCCCTGGGGGCAGCCTTCGTCTTCACCCCAAGCTTCGTTTTCACCCCCAGGGGACAAGCCTGCGCCCTCACTCCCCAGAGGACAGGTCTTCACCCCCAGGGGCCAAGCTTCGTCTTCACCCCAAGCTTCGTCTTCACCCCCTGGAGACAAACCTGCGCCCTCACTCCCCAGAGGACAGGTTTTCACCCCCAGGGGCCAAGCTTCGTCTTCACCCCCAGGGGACACGTCTTCCTTCACCCCGGGGGCCAGCCTTCAGTCTTCACCCCCAGGGGACACGTCCTCCTTCGCCCCTAGGGGCAGCCTTCGTCTTCACCCCAAGCTTCGTCTTCACCCCCTGGAGACAAGCCTGCGCCCTCACTCCCCAGAGGACAGGTCTTCACCCCCAGGGGCCAAGCTTGGTCTTCACCCCTGGGGGCCAGCCTTCCTCTTCACCCCCAGGGGCCAAGCTTCGTCTTCACCCCAAGCTTCCTCTTCACCCCCGGGGGCCAAGCTTCGTCTTCACCCCCAGGGGGCCAGCCTTCCTCTTCACCCCCAGGGGCCAAGCTTCGTCTTCACCCCAAGCTTCCTCTTCACCCCCGGGGGCCAAGCTTCGTCTTCACCCCCAGGGGACACGTCTTCCTTCACCCCCGGGGGCCAAGCTTGGTCTTCACCCCCGGGGGCCAAGCTTCCTCTTCACCCCCAGGGGACACGTCTTCCTTCACCACCCCCCCCTCCCTTCCTCAACGCCCTAACCCTATACCGACCCGCCCCCTCCCCTCCTACTATCACCAGGCCGGCGGACGACTTTGACCATCAGCAGGAGACGCTATTCCGGAACGAAACCCCTAAGGAGGCACGACGGTCTCAGCAAGGCAAAGAGCTCACTGCTGATTCAAATCCGGACGGGAGCAATAGCCTTACGGGACTTCTTGTTTACACGGGGAGTCCCGGAGGTTCTGACTCCTGCCTGCGAGTGTGGCGAGGGACGAGAGACTGCCGAGCACCTGGTAGTGTGGTGTTTGGCCCCACCGTTGACTTGAAGATAGGAGAGAACTGGAATTTGGACACGACGGGACTTTTACTCTGTTCTACACGGCATCAATCCCACGACTGCACGGCTCGCGAGGAGAGTCCTCGACTGGCTGATGGACTCGGGGAAGCTGCCGATGTACAACTTAGCCAGGAGACTCGAGCTGGAAGCGGCGGCCTGAAGTGCCCCCGTTCGGAGGCGAGGAGGCCTCCTCTCTTTGTATACGCAGACTCACCAGAACGCATCGTTCCTTGATTGTTGTTATGGGTTTTTCACCCGGCCCGGGAGGGCACGGTTTTCCTGTACACTAAATGGCTGAGGGTCCGGCACGCCCTAGGGCATAGCGGAGTATGAATAATAATAATATATTGAAGCATAATGTATAGTTAGATGATTTAGTAGGAGTTGATATCAGTAAAAATGAAGCAATTTGGTGATGTTTTGACGAATTTGCAGTGTGTGTAAAGGAGCATAATGATATTTCCAGGAGACGGGAAACGACGAGAGGCCGAGCTCCGGAGCGCCGATAATCGTTAAGCTTACTCGCGGATGATATCTATGTTATAGAGAAACAACGCGCACATAACGGGGAGAGGCTCTGATACCGCCCTAGCGCGGTTGGCCGAAACACTTACGGTGTCTGTAAACGGGCGATTTGCCCGCCTATCCCTCTCAATCCCCTTACCCGGGGGCCTGAACCAGGGCTTCAACGGTCGGGTCAGCGTTGCTCCGTCGCAGCGAAACTCTCGCCAAGAATGCCGAGGTAAGGGACTCATCGGGATGGTCTTACACCAGCCCCTGTTACGAGCTGCCTTTTTTAGCAATGGACTACGCAAAGTATAGTATCTAGTGGAGTACCATTTCCCATTTCACGTCGTCGCTGTTACATTTCCAAATCTTACTGAGGAAAATCTCGTCGCCTCAACTATCCGGTCTTACCACAGAGCACCAGCTGACCGATAACAAAATGAGGCAACACCTGAAATGCCGGGTATATGAAGATGGCACACACCCTCAAGCTTCCGAACCCTCCAGACCACTCGGAACCGCATCAGCTCTCACATCAAAACCCATCACCCCCGATGAAACTCCCTTCCATTATCTTCGCAGCGGCCGCCGCACTCTTGGTGCCCAACACCTTTGCTCTCAGCCCCACCAACTGCAACACCGCGGACAAGTCGCGCACTGGCTCCGACTTTGTCCTCGTTGAGCAACCGGATAACCCGAACGTGGCATCGCTGTCCAAAAAGCTGAAGAAGGTCTCCGTCGCTGATGTCTTCAACGATGGCAACCACAAGATGAAGACCGACAGTTCAGGCCGCAAGCTGTGGGAGAAAAAGTCGGGCTTCAACGACTTGGACACGGAGAAATGGATACCTCAGGGCATCTCCTCCACGGCCGATGCAAGCGAGAGCGGCACTGTTGGTGGCAAAGACGGCTGGATTGTTAGCTGGCACCGCAAGGACGACAAAAGTGCGCGGGTAACCTTTGTCGACCGCGCAAACGACAAGTACCGCCACGCACTTCTGGTTTACCCCCACGCAGCCGACAACTTCCGCGAGGTCCCCATTCATGCCGGCGGCATCATGTGGTACGGCGACAAGTTGTGGGTGGTCGATACCAAGAACGGCATCCGTGTTTTCGATATGGCCAACATCTGGCAGGTTGAGACGGGTGACCCTGTGGGCAAAACTGGAAGTAAATACACGGCAGCAGGATACAAATACGTCATTCCCCAGATCAGGTTCGTTACCCCCAGCCCCTTTGACATGAAATGCCGCTGACAGTTTGTTCAACCTCTTCAGATGGTACAAATGGTCTTCCTCATTCCCATTCCGCTTCTCCTACATGGCACTAGACCGCACCCAAGATCAGCACACCATTCTGGTCGGTGAGTACCAGACCAACACGACGGTCCCGGTGCGGATGACCAAGTACGCTCTTGATGAGTCGACCGGACGCCTCAAGATGAGCGGCAAGACAGCCAAGGCCACCTGGGCCTACTGTGTCGGCATCGAGCGCATGCAAGGCGCCGTGTCGGCCAACGGCAAGATCTACATCTCGCGCAGTAACGGCAAGAGCAACGGCGACATGTGGGGTTGGGTCCCTGGCAAAGCTGCATACAAGAACGCCGGCTTCTTCCCTCAGAGTCCGGAGGATCTGAGCTACGATAAGCGAAGAAATGGCCGCGTTTACGGTCTGACGGAAGCCAAGGGCAAGAGGTACATCATCGATTCTGACGCCAGGAAAGTCAAGTTCTCATAGAACGGTTCGGCTGTTGGCTCTTCGTTGAGCGATTGTATCGTATATAAAACACATTATTGCATTCTGTTATCTCCTGAGCGGCCCTGTGTTGAAAGTCAAGTTGGCGTCGAGCTTTCGTTTATTACTGCTAGCATTCCTCTAAGTGACAGTTCTGAAACAAGTGACGCGAGCCGCACTACCCGGAACGCCTGATCGGAGGTAAGTTGGTGGCTTGTAGTACGCGGAGAGTTGGGATGCGGAGAGCAAAAATGGTAAGCGAAGTACCCTAGCCAGCCTCCGCTGTGCTATCGCGATAGGCCAGATTGTCAGGCACCGGTATGTTGATGGAGAGGGGCTGGCTCGTGTTGTCGTTCGGCATGTCCATAGGCCAAGTCGATGATGATGTATGCAAGGGGGTGTTAGAAGATGGGTACGAGGGACTGCGTGCGGGTCCCGGGATATCTCGGGTAGTTGATTCCCCCAAGTAACTTTGTTCTCAAGATACGTAAAGAAAGTATTGTTACATGTTAGGTACATCTGGTTCAGGTCCCGCTGATGATGGTCTGCAAGGAACAGAATTCTCGGATGTGGTTGTCTAGACTTTTAGGATTCCCCACCAAGACGGCAAGACGGGCCGAATTCGCAACAGGTAGGTTGTGAGCATCAAGTATCAGCCAACAGGATAAGGAGACAGTGCCGCTTCACCGAGGGCGCGGATGCAACAGGGGCTTCCGTTGCCCATCGTGATTTGGCGGCAGGCTTGAGACTTCGAGCTTCGAATCTCTGCCTATGCCCAGTGGCTGGCGTACCTGCCGCGTCAATCAAACGCAATAAGTCCTGCAGCTGATAGCTGCACGACGAGAAGGAGTTTTGTCATCCACTTGCCTTGGCCTTCAACCCGGGCCGAAGATGGATATGGTTGGCGAAGGCTGTTAGGACGCTCGGCGTTGGGCTCGCTCACCGAGGGATGCACGGCATTTCCTGTTTGGCGGTTGCGAGAGAAGCGAATAGCGGCGGAAGAATGGGTATCCCAGCCCATGCGTCATCCTTCCACCCAGAAGTCGGAGCTTTTCTTGCGCGGCACGGTGCCGAGTTCCACGCAGGTCCAGCCAACGAGAAAAGAGTCTTTTGTATCAAATGATTGCGACGTTATCGGGTTGTAACCGTTCATCGCCACGGAGGAGATGAAAACCCGGTTGCGAACCGTCCCTCATGACTGCCTATCCTCTTCTGCATGGTTCTACCGGGCCCTAATCAGTATCTCTTGGTCTCAGGCTGACCGGCTGCAGCCTTCACCAAGTTGGGAATTTGCCTTGGCGACTTGGCTGCAACCATCTCTCGTTGTGGCCACGAGGAAAGGTGGTAGGGTCCAGAAACACCCTGCTCGTAGGAGCCGTTGGTGGTAATGTAGGATCAGATGCATGTCTACATTGGAATTTGAACCGATGTGACAGGGAGGCTGGTGCCGATGACATGTTGTTCTGCAGCTTAAGAATCGGCGAAATTGTCATGCAGAATGTTGAGGCAACCAACAATCGGCGGATCGGGATGAACGTGTTGAATCTCTCACTGATCCCACGGCATGGGAAGCAGACCGCTTCTCTCGCCTGTTTTCCGGTTGCCGCACTTCCTCGCTTATGTGCCAATCCCGGGTTTGGCGAGAATTGACTTAGATTGAGTGCCCCTCTTTCCGCCCCATTGGCTTGCTGGAGTAGCATCGGCGAACTCGGTGACAGAAGCTTAGGGCTGGGAAGCGGTTCGCATATTGCCGCAGTGTGACATCGCGGCGCGGGAAGCAAGCCGGAAATGCGTGAGATATTGCCCCTATCAGCCGCTATCGGTCGCCGCAACCACCACATCGGACAACACCAGAGTAGGATCGCGGTCCATGAAACGAATAATCGGAGTTTTAATCATAGCTGTCGGGTGTGGGGGGGCATATTCACTATCTTGGGTGGTGCTACTCTTCACCAGGCATAGAGGGCAAGACAATCTAACCAGCGGAACGATCACTTTGAGGCAACGAACTGTGTCGGATGATATTGGCCACCGTGAGATGTACCGGGAATTAGACATATGCTCCAAATAAATCAACGCCGCGATCGGATCCTGTGCCTAGGGCAACCCGGATCAAGTAGGTTTGATCGTGGGAGGATAAAGGAATCAAGCCCTAGTCGTAACCATGGAAAAAGAAAACGATCATAAACTCCTTCCTAATGAACCAAGAGGTAACTCAACCGCAACACACGGTGGCCTCCTTTGATGCGCTGGTTTGCTGCCCGCTGTCCATATGTTAATAAGCGTGGCTGAGGTAGCAAGGATGGGGAACACGTACCCGCCAAGCGGTTCCCAGTGGAAGATGAAGCTGCCAATATATGCCCCGAGGAAGATGCAAATGATGATGTAGCCGTTGTAGTACATGGCAAGCCTGGAACCAGTCAGCATCTAGGACTTATGGGGCAGTCAAAGCAATGGTAACGGTGGAAACGAGGAGCACCCACAGCATGACAAAGTAAGCAACAGCGAACTGCACCATGTGAAGCAGCGCACGGATGGCCTGCTCGATAAAGGTTGGTCGGTACCCCTTGTTTACGAAGGGGGCACAGTTGGGGGCCGGGCTGCCGTCATCGGAACCGATTTTAGATGACCTTGTGGCGGCGGGTAGCGACTTGAGGTGCTTGTTGATAAGGAAGCGATCGTATTCCTTGACAGCGCGGCGCAACATCTCGAGCGAGATGACGAGCAAGACTACGCCAATGCAAGAGCCGGCAAAGACTCCCTTTGACGTAATCTTCCAGGACGATGCGAGGAAGCAAGAGTCGATGGTGTTCCAGTTCCAAAGCATCTAGAACCAGTTCGTTCGTTAGCGCCTGGGAAAGCAGTGAGCTGTTAGGTCGGGCAACCGACAGAAATCTTGCAACTGTTTCCGCTCCCCATACCACCCATGCCACCCATGCTGGCTCCTGTGGCAGCGGCAGCAGCGGCCGATACCGTTGTCGTCCCCATAGTCATTCCGCCATGATCCATGCCGTCCATGTCGATGTTAAGCCCGGGGAGCGAGTCGAGTGTGAGGGTCCCTGGGATTGAAGCCCGAGTAGGGATATATGGTGCGATCAACGGGATTGTAGTTGAATCTTCACGTTAATTGGGGGCGGCACACAAGGCTAATTAGAAATAATACTCGGTGAAAAACAGAAACGAAAAAGAACGGGAAGGAGTGTTTCCAGAGGCGCGGATCGGTGGTTTAAAACCCGGGATTGTGCACTGCCAGGTGGAACCAGAAGACTGCAGCAGCTGAGGCAAGTCCCTTTCTCGAATGACTGATGCCTTCTCTCTTGATGCATGTCTTACACCTGCCGTGCCATGCAAGAGTGGCGTGGGATGGCTTGGCAAAGAACTGAAAATGGAAAATGGGCTCGCTGGGAAGCTCGTGTCGGCCGTCCCTGCCGCATGGGAAACGAATAGTCGAGCCAATTGCGGGCATTTGAGCAGATTGTGGCGGCGCATAAGATTCGCTCTCCCATCTGCAACCAGCGGTCGGCACCTTGTCGGCTGTTGGGTTTGTTGGGCGGGTCCCGCTGACCATCCGACTTTCCAACCCTCGTTTCCAAGCTGCTCTGGTTGGCGGCACCGCGTTGGATCACCGCCGGCGAGACACTGGCACTGCACAACATCCAAGATATGTATGTGGCATTTCCTGGTAAGACACGTTAAGGCCAGTGAACTTGAACACGAATAATGAAGTTGGCCAGCTACGGCTAAACCGCAAGCTTGTGATAACTTCAGCTGGCGGCACGATGAGGACCGTAACCATGTAATTATTAACTGTCTGAGTGTATGAACAAAGGAACTTTCCCAAAATGAATGCCTTGAGCCCCCAACTCCAGCCTGACCACCCTTGTATGCCCGTCCAAAATCCACCCCCACCCCCCATTCCTCTTCACCAATGCGTTCAAATCCTCTCTGGTGTTGGTGCAAGATAACTGGCTCAAAACAGCGCTATCCCCGACTCCTCTGAGATAGCGTTAAAGAAAGGTAAGCTCGGTTCGAGAAATCCAATCCTTTCAAGTCAAATCCAGTGCTCGTCATGCGACCCCAAAATCCCCGGCCTTTCACACACCGCGAGGCCAAAAGAGCGACAAGACCCACCGTAGCCTTCCAAACCAGGACCTGTGGCTCGCTGAGCCGGACGGTTTCCCCCCAGAAGGCATGCTGCCCGTGTTGCGCCGGACCACGGCAGCGACAACGGCGCCGGCCTTTTCTGATAAAGTTGTACGCCGCTGAAGCTTTGCCGTTGTGGGCGGAGCGTCACGCTTCAACTCCTCTTCCACCATGACGGTCACTGTAATAGTCACCGAAGCCTTCTTTTCGGCAGCTGCCCGCTCCTCCTGTTCGGGTTCCGTGGGTACGGCAGGCCCGGTCGGCTCGGTAAAGTCAATAGCGACAGGAGTAGCTGTCCTCTCCAATGTGAAGTGCGCTCTCCCGCTCTGGACTCCAACCAGTCCGCCCGTCATGTTCCCCGTCGACAGCGCCGATCTCGCGAGCTTGGCTTTACTTACGAGAATTACGTCGCTGCCGGCCAGCTGCACGACCGAGTTGTGCCATGGCGTGGGGATATGGAGCAGGTCGAGCGAAGCCATGAGCTCGCCGTCTGCCGACAAGGCCTCGACAGCTCTGACCTGGGACGGGTCGAAGAGCTGGATGCCGAACTTGGGGCCAGCGTTATTGTGTCTGCAGTGGAGGTGAGCAAATTGGCGGGGTTTAGTGGGTCGGGGTGGTCCTGAGCCAGGGTAGGACTTACGCGTGAATGGATAGTCGGACGTGGTTTGGAAAGAGCATCTCTACCAGGTTGGAGTATGCTTGGGTTGCGCTGTTGCAGAATTAGCGCCCGCGCAGGCCGGTAGTACTGGAGTAAGGACCTACCAGGATCATCTCAAAAGCTACTTTGGAGGATAACTTCTTCTGCTGCGACTTGCTCTTGTTTTGAGTCTGTGGGTGGTGCTCCAGGTCCTCCAGCATGAACCGCGAGAAACCACGATAGAGTGCCGTGATGGCCGGGTCCTTAGAGTCAATCTTGGCTCGGACTGCTCCCTTTCTCGGCCCGCATCCCGCCATCAGGATCCGCCGGCACAGCTCTGCCTCCTCGGTCACCTCGGTGTTGACATGATGGTCGATACCAGGGATGTTGAGCCGCCGGGTGAGGTTGGAGAGCCCCTCTTCCGACCCAACAGTTAGAAGCTGGAACAAGTCGACGAGGGACTTGAAGCCCACGCGGTCGGGATTACCCATACGGGTACCAACAGCATTGTTCATTGCCTTCAACTTCTCGCCATACGCATCCACATCGGCATCGTTGACGCCGATGCAGTCACTGAAGACATGGCCGTCGCTAATCACCCACACCTTGGCACCCGGCTCGTACACCCGTTCGACGGCCTCAACAAATCCGTGGAGGCGCTCAAGCGCGAGCTCCTCCCCCAAGTCCGGATCAGACCCGGTTACCTTGTCGCCGTTGGACGACTTGCAGGGAAAGGCAGGCAGGCAAAACTCAATGGGGGCGTTCTGGCCAGTGAAATGGCTGACACGCTTGGTAAAGTAAGCCCGCCCGCCCAACGCCCACCTATCGTCCTTGCCCTGATACCTGAGGTAGCCGTCGAAGAGGTCTACAATCTCCTCTGTCACCAGATCGTTTTCCCTTGTCTGTGAGAGCCGAGAGCGTATGCAAAGATCCGCTTGATCGAGGACCAACTGCACAAAGAACTCCTCAAAGGCCATGTCGTTGGCATGCGGCAGCTGACTGTTGACCATGATAGCGTTGTTGTTGTTCTGGGCCGCCTGGCGGTTCTGGTAAATCTTAACATTCGAATATTCAAGCGACTGGCAACCGGACTGAATTGCGTCCCAGTTGTCATGGACCCATTGCTGGCGAGGACCAGTGCTGTGCAGGAGCCCCCCGTCCCTGCTTTGGAGGAAATAGCCCTGGAAACGATGGTAGAAAGATTGTCCTTCGTTAGAGAACTCCATGGTAACGGTTGTGAGGTTGTTGAAAAAGCTGGGTGTGTACCGCTGGAGTATGGCAAGGCAAAGAATATTATGATTAAGTGATATTAATTAGAGGTTTGAAGGTGATGGTATGGGTTGACTGAATGGAAGTAAATGCCTTTGATAAACCGTCCATGTGCCGCATTTCTATACCCGAGTGAGCATCCGGTCTGGTATCTTGGGCACCTTCACAGCCCCCACGCGGAATGGCCCATGGGTGTGTCTGGGTGAAGGATTCAAGGACGGAGCCAGTGCCGGCAAGGAAACCGCTGGCAAGAGCCCTAACTGCATGTTGAGCCGGGGCAAAGCCCAAGGTCTGCAGAAGGATATCGGTCTGCGGCCTACAAAGGGGCTGGAAACGGGCTGGCGCCTGCCTTGTCCTTCCATGTTGCACGACTCGGCAATGAGACGAGCACCAGTGAAGTCTTGGCCCCTGGCAGTGTCTACCTAAAGAAAGCCGAAGTGAGCGCTGTTTCGCCGTCTTTGAGTCGAGCATTGCTGCAAGCGGCCTTACCAGCCATGCTGTTGGACGCACTGCCGCTACTGCGACTACCATTTGCCCATCCTCCGGGCCACCCCAAATAAAGTTTGACCCTAGTCAGTTCAAGAAGGGCTGAGCATGTCAGTCCCGGTCCCCGTCGCGAGTGCAACGCTATTCTTAGTGGGCCTACCCGCGCCAAGGATTCCATCCAGAGTCCACTGTTTCCTTGACAAGTTCGACAGGGGGAACTCGGACAGGGTCTCCTTGCACATCTTGGCGCCGCCGTGCCGACCCGGTTGGCGGTTGGAGGGTGGCTGTGGGACCCGTGGTGTCAACGAGCCCCCTCCTCGGCGTCGTACCGGGTACAATGTGTGACGAGAGGCAGGAGTAGCTTGGCTAGCCCCCGAAAGAATGCAACGATGCAGCCGGGCCGGTTGACAACACCAACCGCACATGGCGCAATCTGTGCTCATCGAGATTCAGGGCGGCCAAACAGTGGCGGCATTTTGGACACATGCACCTGTGTTTTACCGATACGAACAACGGCGCCGGATCCAAGAATTTGGGCCCCAACCCGAGGTTAGCACAACAGGTCTAGCCAATCCCAGCTTCCACATCGCGAGGGATGGCTGACTTGGATGGGGCTGAATTCGGACAATGGACTTGCAAGTAGTGCACGTGGGTTTGGGGAGAAGACCATACCATCCAACTTACCCTTATCAAGTTTAGATCTGCAGGAACTTTACCTCTCCCTGGATTTCGCTGCAAGTCCTTTCAGAGCTCGCACAATTGCACATGCCTTGAACATGTGGGATTTCAGTGGCAGGGGACACGAACACCCGACGCGGAGAGTTTGGCTGCAGCCTTTTTAGCATTGATTACATGCAACGGCATGGTACTGGGGCAGCACCGAGTAAGGTATCTATCTATCCATCTGCTTGGCGACCGACAAAAAGCTCAGTCAGAAATTCGTAGAGGCAACGCGCCTGCCACGTCATTAACCGAAAATATCACATCTTTGCGTTGGCTCCAAATGGGACCTTGCCCTCGTCATTATTTGTGACCTGGCCTGTGGGATCGCCCAGATCTCACTCTGGGTCAACCATCCAGGGTCGAGCCTACCATTCGCCTCCCTTGTCCGCTCTAGCAAAAGTCCTTCTTCCGATTCGAAAGTACAAGCCTCAGTGCCCGGGGATATAAAGGCCCGGCCTAGCACACAAACCTCGTTAGCAACACCGATTCACTGAAAACATACTCAAGCAACGAGGCGGAGTGACTTACAGGCGTCTTTCTATCAACCCAAGTTGGGTCCAATGTCCAACTCCAATCTCGGATAAGGGTTGCCAACGTGATTCTCATCTGCAACATGGCGAATTTCTCGCCTAGGCATGCACGCCGACCACCGTGAAAACTAATGAACTCAGCTTTCGCCCTCCGTAGTCGATACTGCTTCTGAATGGCGACCATCGAGTGTCCCCATCGGTCTGGGTCGAACTCGTCGGCCCGCGGGCCCCAAACAGCCGAGTCCCTATTAGTCGAGTAGCAATTGTAACCCACATAAGTTCCTCTGGGTATAACAATTTCACCGCCTAACAAAACGTCCTCAGCCGTCTTGCGATTAACCAGCTGTCCGATCGGTGGGAACAGCCGTAGACTCTCGTAGATCACCGACGTCAAAAAGGGCATCTCTTGGAGAACGTCCGGGTCGAAGTGGGACCGGTCCAGTCCGCTGCTCTGAAGCTCGGCGAAAAGCGCAGCTTGCGCCTCCTGCATGTCCTGTCAGCTGCTGCTCATGTCAGATCCTTAATTGGAATTACCGGGAACCTACCGGGTGTTTCGCCAAGAGGTACAACGTTGAGATCATGCACAGCTGCGGATTCTCCTGGCCCGCCACGAAGGCAACGGTGAGGTTGTCTAGCAGTTGTTTTTCATCCCACAACCCGGACTCTCTGGCAGCCAGCATCCTCTGCCCGAGGCCGTCAGAAGTCGGGGCCAAACCCGGTAGACCGAGGCTGCGCTCCTGGCTCTCCACGAGGGCACGTTTGAGCTCGTTCTTGAACCTGTCTACCGCCCGCCGCGCCCTGGTGCGGCTCGGGAACGGGAACCTGTCAAGAACCGGGAAATTCATGAAAACGGGTTTAAAGATTTCGCGCTTTACGGCGCTCTGCAAAACGTTGATGGGCGCGCTGGCCGAAGTCAAGGCCTAGTGACTCGTCAGCGCTGTTTTCTAGACCGGGTTTTGCGGCGAAGCCTCACATCGAGATTGGTTTGAAGCACCACCTCAGAGCAGTTGGCTACCGAGTACCGTTGCAAGAGCTCTTGCACCGAAACACCCCCATCCTCTGCTTGGAGTTGGGCCTCCTTGAGAAGGCCGCATAAGCGGTCTGCGTTTTGGGCGATCTTCTCAGCCTCGAAGTTTCTCTGCAGCCCGGGCTTCACGACGGATTGATAAGTTTTCCACACCTCCCCGTGGCTGGAAATGATATTGTCCCCTAGAAACTCGGCAAGGACACTGTGCGGTATCTTTTTCTGGTTTCCGCTCTTCCGATAAATGCTCTCGTCCTTGAATATCTCAGCGACGTAGGAGGGTTTGTGCACCAAGATATTCCACTGGGCTCCGAAAAACAGCTTCACGGCGCCATGGGTCTTGAGAGGCTGTTCGATGTACTTGCGGAAAATATCTGATTGGTCAACATCCTTGAAGAAGGGCAAAAGGGCAACCCAAAAAGGAACGGCGGGAATGTTGGTTGGGTATTTTGGCGGTAGGAGGAAGACAAAGTAAATGAGGGCGATAAATAAGGCGACCAGAATGGCTACTTCGGCTATGAAAACGAGCATCTTGGACCATCTGCTGCTCATTACGATTGATGAGGTATTTACGGCCCGGTTGTGAACAAGATAATTGCCCGTGCCGAGTTTGGTCAGATTATGGGAATGTCCAAATGGTGGGACGTTTATATCGAGTGCACAACAATTCTGTATGCAGGTCAGGGCTCAGCCGTGGGTCGAGGCCAAGCGATTTCAGGAGGTGTCTGTAGTTAGCCGTTGCGCCGAAAAGAGCGACGGAAATAGAAACGAATGTCTTTTTAGCGCCGTCCGACCCAGCACAGCGGCTCGCGCAAAGATGGGGGTGGCCGGGCGCCACTTCCAAATTGTCCAGTCGCTGTGTGCGCCAAGGAGTAGTAGTAGTACATGGTGGCTACAAGGGGGCAGGGTTATAAGAGAAGGGACGACGGATGCGGGCGGGATCTTTGCTGTGCCACCCAACACATGGATGGAGTGGATGAATCCTTTCGCCATGTAGCTAACCCTGGGCAAGCTTAAGTTCTCGTGAGGATTTTAAGGTGGAGCGTTGGACACCGCCTCATCGACCTTTGTTGGAGTCCACGGTAACTAGCTGTTAAAACAAAACGCAACCTCGGCGACCTAACTTATACTTGAGTATCGTTGCTCATCTCATCCCAAAACTAACACTCATCAGGAAATGTTCTTAGTTCCTTTGCGCGCAGATACGAGCAGATTTCGCTGTTTCCTTCGTCTCGCTTGACTAATCCTAATTCAACGCAATCACGCCCAAACGACTAATCCCTGGGACGCTGACCGCGGATCTGCAGTCTCTGGTGCCACACAGGGTCGCTGCAGCTGCCAACCGAGCCCAACTTATTCGCTGCTGGCTGCACTGCCAACGGGGTCTCACGTACCCGAACGTGGACGGCTGACCCAACCGAAGTCCCCTGACCGGTACATGTACATGCATTGACCCATCGACCACTTATACCCACCATGGCCGACACCGACCGAACGCCTTTGGTGTCGCATGCAGAACCACCCGCACAAATAAATATTCCCAAAAGCCCGCTTTTACTGAAGCTATCAGAGAAGGTTAGGCGAGAACAGGCCGAAACCAACGCCGTCAAGCAGCCAATGCTTTCTACCAGTACGCCGACGCCGCCGGGGCAACCGGAGCCGGAGAAAGGTACAGACCCAGAGAAGGGCCCGGGAGGCCCCCCGCCTCCGTATTCTGCCTTTTTACTATGGCGACGTCGTTTCATCCTCATCATTATCACGGTAGCGGGCTTTTTCGGACCATTGGCAGGTGGCATCTATCTTCCGGCTTTGCCAGGGTTGGAGCATGAGTTCCAAGCTAGCGCAACCGCCATCAACATCTCCGTGTCGGTATTTATGTTGACTTTTGCCTTTGGGGTGAGAAAGACAATATATCCCAACTTCTTTCGAGTTTATGGTCTAACAGCCACTTGGTTTAGCCCCTATTCTGGTCGAGTTTTGCGGATTGGAAGGGGCGTCGACCTTTATATCTTATCTCTCTCGCGATCTACATCGGCTCGAATGTTTTGCTCGCCGCTGTTCCGGCCAACTACGGGGCGCTAGTGTTACTACGCATCGTACAAGCTTTTGGTTCCTCCGCTGTGGTCTCCATGGGCGCAGGCTCGGTTGCTGATGTATGTACACCCATGCCTCACTTGCAGAATACCGCTCCCTAACGTGGCTTAAGACCACCGAGCCAAAGGGCCGAGCATTCGCCATGTCCATCTTTCTCACAGGCCCTCAGTGCGGCCCGGTCCTTGGTCCCGTTCTCGGTGGCGCCCTGGCAGAAGCTGACTGGAGGTGGATATTCGGGTTTCTTGGTCTGTTATCTTCCTCTGTCTGCTTGTTACCTGCTCAAGCCTCTTGAGACTAACACCACATTTGCTTACCAGCCATCTCCGGGTTCGCCCTCTGGCTCGTCATTCTCTTCGCACTCCCTGAAACACTCCGCGCCCGCGTTGGCAACGGCGCTATCTACGAAAGCCGTGGCTTCTTCGTCTGGCCACCTCAGTTGTCATCTCCTCTAGCCCCATCCTGGGCACGCGGCCCGGCACCGCCCAAGCCGACTCTCAAAGGATACTGGCGCCTGTTTGTTTACCCTCCTATCGGGATCGTTACTATAAACACGGCCCTGCTTTACTCTACATATTTTGCCATCGCCGTTCAGCTGCCAACAGAACTTGCGGTGCGATATCACTGGTCATCTTCCGCTGTCGGTGCGGGTTTCCTCGCTGTAGGTGTCGCCATGATCGTTGGATCTCTCTGCGGCGGTCGCTTCTCAGACTGGCGCCGCGCAAGGGCCGCAAAGGTGGCGCCTGATGGCAAGGTTGATCCAGAGTTCCGACTAGCCGATCAAATCTGGGGCGTACTGGTGTGCGTTGCCGGCTGCGTCATGTATGGGTGGCTGATACAGTTTTCGTGCCATCCGGCGGCGGTGCTCTTTGCGACCTTTTTGAGTGAGTTCCACCTCAAGCGCCAGAATTCACGCTGAATCGGACTAGTACTAACCTTTCTTTTCTAAGCTGGCTTCGGCATGAACTGGGTCTTTATCACAACCACCGCATTCCTTACCGAGTGCGTAGCCCAACAGGCTGCCGGCGCCTTCGCTCTGGGCAACATGCTACGTAACCCTGGTGCCGCCATTGCAGCAGTAATTATTCCTACCCTGGTGTCCAAAATGGGAAGCGGGTGGTGCTTCACTGGGTTAGCGATTCTAGACCTTGTCGTGGTTGGGTCAGCAGTTATCGGTTAGTGAATCATGGCGGTAGCTAAGCCGTGGAAAAGGAGTTATACGTTACTAATTCTTCCCCTCACTAGTTTTGCGAATTAAGTGTCCAGGGTGGAGAGCTGCCAAGATGAAGGCAGCTGGCGGCAAGCCCAGGTGATCCGGCCATACCTAGCCTCGGGGTCTGATTCATTACCAAATGAGAAGCTTTAACAGCCACTTCAGCCGTGTATGACCTTAGAGTTACTGGGAGGCTTGAAATGCCTGGCCTTGCGGCATCATGCCGAGGTGCAGCGGTTACCGCGCCACGGACAAGCTGCAAAAGCCATCCATCACAAAGGGGACCTATAGGTCCAGTAGCGACGGTGAACATAACCGGAGATAGGACAGGCTACATATGCCAGTGGTGTGAAGCTACGTACGAACCCTTCGTAGGTGCTTCAACAAGCGTGTGGTGGCGAAAATTCGCCTTGGTGTATTTGGGCAAGAGGGATGCAAGTCGTAGGAGAAAGGCCCTACTACAACTGGATGTACATATAAGTAGGGCGCGGGTTATAATACAAAGAAGTAACTAATGTATTTACCTTGACTAAAATTTGTAATTTAATTTCAAGGGCAATACTCATTACATCAACTTAAACCTTGCTGGCTCCTAACCCCCTCCTTCGAGGTCGAGATAATCCGTTCTGCTATTCTACTGATGCCAATGCGTCCCGAGCTACCCATTGTAAAAGTTCCATGTTCTCTGTACGCCGAGGAGGCACCTGCATCTAATACGGAGGCATGTATCGAAACACCTAGTTAGTTACGGAACCCAGCCAACAAAGGCAACACGCCTATAAAATTACCAATGTACCTAAGTTGCAAGAGGTAATAACCCGCCAAGGCCTGTCCCTTTCATCATCGATCGTACGGATTTTAAAGGGCGACCCATGATATCAAGTGGATAATTCTGGATCCATAGTGCCTGTCGTTGCGGAATCGCTGTGGAGGTTCCTGGGCTGGTGTTAACAAGGTAGCCGAAAGAAAATATCTTGAGATCGTAGCGATAGAATGCCACTGTATATATACGAGCTTGTGCGTGCGAGGCACATCGCCATGGTTGTGTTTCTTCACCAGCCCTACCGCTATATCATCTCGTCCACGGAAGCGAGGAGATTGCAGCCCTTGGTAAAGCGCTGTGAGAAGGAAGAGGCCGGTATATCGAGGAATTCAGCCACCAAACCATAACCCTTTTCCCCGCGGAGATAAGTTGGTAAAGGCTCACTTGACAACTGTTTGCTATTATCCCGCGTTATTTCCGCCAAAACTCCAAAGATAAGACAGGGTTTAGGTGGTTTCGAGAGTCATGCCCGCTTCTAGGTTGCCGGTCTAGAAGGCGTCTGCTGTTGCGCCCATGCCTAGACTGAGTGGCCAAGTCATAGAGCGCAAGGAACCCTTGTAGAAAGTGAAAGGTTAGAAAACAATCAATCGACAGCTGTGCACGGCTTGGCTGCGTAACCGAAAGGAAGTAGCCGTGCGCGAGAGCGGCTCCAGTGTTGTCGTCATGACTGCCTCCAGGCCCTACTTTCGCGAGCACGACAAGACATAACTTCGCCACCCCCGTCAAATCCAAAGGAGACGATACTCGCTTAGTATGCCCTCATATCCTATCACCTTATTACCTAACAATGGAAGTTTAGGCTTTGACCTTTTGTGGCGGACGCGGTGCTGTTGCGTGACCGGAAGCTCGGTTTATAAACCAAGCCCCCGAGTTGTTGAACGTTTCATTGGCCTTCGAGGCTAGTAAGTACGATTGAATAACGAGGTATGAATCCCCGTGGCATGCCGTCCCTCGGACATGTCAATATACCGGGACAATTATGGATATGTCAATACGCCCGGATCCGAATGCCGAAGAGCCTTACCCGGGCTGGGCTGAAGAGGATAATGGGTCGTTATTGTTGGGCGTCATGGGGTCTATGACCGGCTTGGCCCTTGTCTTCGTGGTCGCAAGAATATACAGCCGTTTGATTTCGTTAGGGAAGGTTGGGTTTGACGACTGCATTATCATCCTCTCCGTCGTGTGCTCTCTTCCCTTGCCGGAGTTTACTCCGGTTCACCATCCGCGAGCTGGTACTGATAGAACTCGTACGTAGATGTTGAGCCTTTCGTACCTCGCACTGATCGCAGTCGCCATATCATATGGCTTCGGCAGGCATACGGCCACAGTAGACCCGGATGACGTCCGCCGCATCATTTACTACACCGCGATTTCGTTTATGCCTGGGATAGCATCGTTTGCTCTGCCCAAGTTCGCCGTGGTGATCCTGCTTGCAAAAATTCTCGACCCCGGCCGATGGCATAAAGTGGTCATGTGGATCATCTCGATATTATACGTCTTGCTGACGATCGGCATGCTTGTCGTCAACATTGCCCAATGCCAGCCAGTTGAAACGCAATGGGGTGCGGCGGAGGGTACATGTGTTGGAAGGTAGACCAGGGGGTCTGAGCACAGGAGGGTCAATGGGTCAAGGCCCAGAACGTGGTGGCAAGAGATCGGTCGGCTTAGGCCGGAGAGATCACGCGGCTTAGGCGAAACCTAGAGCAGACAAGGCCAGCTTCTTTCTCCAGTTAATTTGTAGCCGGAACAATACGATGGTTGGGTAGAAGGCCAGGTAGAAGTCAAAGAGGACGGAGCAGATACACAGCGTGAGGGCATATGAGAGCGTGAACCGATACTCCCAGCATGTTGTTGGAAGACCAACAGCCACTGACCCAAGGTGTCACACGCACAGGAAGATGGGAATTCACACGGCTGAGCCTAGGAGGCTATGAGACTCTGCCAAAGTCAATTGTCATTGTCCCCCTCTTCCCTCTGTAAGGGGGGTTCCAAACCCGTGATATCTTTCTCTGAGCAGCGATGGTGGCACCGCATGCAACCGCACTTGGGTTACTGGTAAGTAAGCCAGGCTTGGGGAAACCCTGTTGCTAGTTTGTTAACAGAGGAATTAGCGCCGGAGCCATCGCATCCTACAAGTCTTACACTCTAACTGTGGTCCCCGCCCGATCGGATTTTACATGGTCTGTTGATGACCTCGTCCTCTGGACAAAGTGAGTTTCCTCGGCTACCCGCGCCCGGCAATTCTAACCCATATCTGCATAGTATCGAAGCCAACTGCGTCCTTTTCGAGGCCTGTATTCCCTGCCTCTTCCCTCTCATCAAGAAGATGTTTGGTGCGGCGGCACTCAGTGATAGACGACACCAAAACCAAGACCAAGGTGGCACCGTCATTACCATCGGATCCCCACCCAAAAGCGAAGGCAACCTAGGGACCCTTTGGGCCTGTCGCAGCTTGCTACCCAGGAAAACGAGAACAAGAGCAATGTTATAGAGCAGCCCACAATCCATATTAGCACTACAGAGATCCAGGCAGAGGACACAGACCAGACGGTTAACACTGAACCCGCACAGCAGGAGCGGGAAGGACATCACGAGGGCGGAGGGGGTCTGCGCCAACCACAGTCATCACGATTCCGCCAGCGATGGCAAGAAAGTAGGAGGATAGAGAGGGGATAGGGGCGAGCACAAAAACGTGCCAACAGAAAAGCGTCGTCAGATGGAATGGGATCCTTTCTACCGTTTTCTCGCTTGTTATAATAATATCCTTTGTCGTGGCCGTGGCCGTCAAATCCAGGGATTGAGCCACTGCACGTGGACCGCTCTCCTCCCACGTGTCGATCCTCTGGCGATCATTGACTGTTGGCGGAGATTGGCAGGTTGCAATTTGCCCCACGACCTTGGATGACCGGACCCGGTCCCGAAAGCGGAAGGTAACAGCGCATGGGAATCGAGAGACATTGACGCGTCCCGAGCGCCGTGAGAGGTCCAATTCGACCATTGTTTGTGTGTTGCCAGCGCCGAACCATCAATGTCAGGGAAACAGGAAGAAAAGAAAATGAGAGGAGAGAAACAAGGGAATTATAAATAGGGCAGTCCAATAGATGTCAAGGTTTTGGAAACCTCTTGCTTGTTTTCTGTATGTTTTTCCAAGCAGTGCTCGCCAAGGTTAAAAGTTGCAGACAAGGGGTTGCCGTCGGGACCCGCCACTGTGACACGGGTCGACGAACCTGGAAGGCGGCAAGCGGCAAATCCATTTGTGAGATCCGAGTTGACAAAGTCGATATATGAACGGGACCGCCTCTGTGGTTACACTGCAGACAAGGACGAACTTGTTTCTGGAGCCACCGACAGTGCCACGTCAAGGCCCGGCGATCTGCCCGCGACATCCCGTGAGCGCTTCACCTCTGACGCGCAGCGGAAACAATCATGGCCATGAAGTTTGTTTTTGCCGCTGCCTGCCTCTTCGGCACGGCCTTCGCCGCCCAAGAAGACCACCTCGTCAGCCGAAAGCTGAACAAGCGTTTCATCGACGATGCCGGCAACTACAACATCTCATTTTACCACATCAACGATGTGCACGCGCACCTGGATGAATTCTCATCTTCCGGCACCGACTGCACAAAGCCGGAGCGTGGCTGTTTTGGGGGCTATGCGCGGATCAAGACGGTGCTAAAGGAGACGCGCCCGTCGCATCCGGACTCTCTACTGCTCAACGTGGGCGACGAGTTCCAAGGCACCATGTTCTTCTCCTTTTACGGCGGGGAGAAGATTGCCGAGACCCTTAACCAGATTGGCTTCGACGCAATGACACTGGGCAACCACGAGTTTGACCGGGGCGATGACCACCTCGGCGAGTTCCTCGAGAACCTCACCTTCCCCATCGTGAGCGCCAACATCGTCTCGGACCACGCGGTCCTCAACCGCACCATCAAGCCGTTCCACATCTTTCCGCAATACAACCTCGCCGTCATTGGCGTCACGACCGAGACTACACCGGGCATTTCCTCCCCTGGCAAGGGCACCAAGTTTACTGACCCGGTTGCGGCGGTGCAAAACACCATCGACCTGATCCGCGCAACAACCAATATCACTCGCCTCGCCGCCATTACTCACATCGGCTACGATGAGGACCAGCGCCTGGCGCGGGGAACTACAGGTCTGCATTTCATAATGGGCGGGCATAGCCACACCCCCTTGGGAGACTTTGACGGCGCGGTCGGCCCGTACCCGACCATCGTGGAGAACAAGGATGGCGACGAGGTGTTCATTGTGACGGCGTATCGTTGGGGTGAGTATCTGGGCTACATTGATGTGACCTACGACTCCCAGGGTAAGGTGCTGGCATACCACGGCGCCCCCATTCACCTCACCAACACCACGGCGCAGGACGAAGACCTGCAGGAGCAGATTGACGAGTGGCGTGGTCCGTTTGAAGAATACGCGAAGGAGGAGATTGGTTTCACCAACGTGGTCCTCGACCAGTCGACGTGCCAGCAAAAGGAATGTCTGCTAGGTGATTTTGTCGCGGAGTAAGTACCTACTATGCGCAGCGCAAAGGTGAAATTACCCATGCTAAAACGCGCAGTGCACTGCTCACCTACCGCATCAACGCGACCACGCCAGACGAGACCGTACCCGCCTTCGCGCTCATCAATGCAGGCGGCGTCAGGGCCACGATCGACGAGGGCCCCATTACCCGTGGCGAAGTCCTTACGGCCTTCCCCTTTAGCAATGCGGTGGTCGAAGTGACGCTCTCGGGAGAAAGGCTGTGGGCCGTCTTGGAGGGCATCATCACCCGCGTCAATGTGGCAAACGGGAAGGCGGTAACGTCTTACCTGCAGGTCTCCCGCGGTATTCGCATCGAATATGGTCCGGCTTCAAAGAACAGCACGAGCAATGTGCTCGTGGCTGTTACCATTGGGGATAAGCCTCTGGATAAAACGGCCGAGTACAAGGTTGTCACCGTGGACTTTGTGGCTGGCGGCGGAGACAACATGTTCGACCCTCCGTTTGAGAATCTAGTGATCCTAGACACCATGGACGAGGTCCTGGTGAGGCATATTGAGTCTACATCGCCCATCGACATCGCGTTGGATGGGCGATTGACGGAGGTGAGCCGGTGCAAGGTGGGGAAGGCACTGAGAAGGGCGAAGGCACGGAAGGTGAAGCGGAACTAGGAGGATCTTTCGCTCTTGACTTTTCACAAAGATAGATCATAATGCCATAATCAATCTACCCGTGCCAGTTGGCTCGAATCTTTACCCTACCCCTCACACATATTAACATCTCTGCCTATTTCATTGCCCAACGAGAACGGCAGTCGCATTGGCCATCATGGTTGGATCGTTGAGCAACTGCACGGCCAAATATGCCAACCCACGGGCAACGACCTCCGTCCGGGTGTAGCTATATTCGGTTCCAGCAACGTCGTGGAAGTCCGGTTCATGGTTGAACGCGCACTCGCCGCCGGGGCCGCAGATGTTGAAATTTGGATGAAAAACGACCTTATCGGTGGCCAAGAGTGCATGTGTCTTTGGATCGACGACGGCGTTTTGCACACAGCCTGCGTCGCTGGATGCAGGCGCGAAGGTCGAAATGGGCCAATCCGTCTGCGAGCCGAAGTCGGGCGATTTCATTAGGTCGATGAAGAGGGAGGGGATGAAGGGCGTCACCTCGAGGGCAGGGTAGACGGTGTCGGTGTCGATGACTTCTGCCTTGTCGCCGATGGCTGTTCCGACGGCATTGACAACAGAGTTAATATCGTGCGTGTATCGCGAGCGAATGTCAAAGATGATGTCGAGGGCTCCTAGGGTCGTGTTCCCTGGAAGATAGAACGAGATATCATTCTGCCCAGAGAGGGCACGGAAAGTCTCGATGGTTAATACCAGTGGACCCTTGGTGCTTTCCGAGGCGTGACCGCCAGGGCCGATGACTGTCAAGTTGACGCCGCCGTCGGCATCGTATGCTACGGTGAAAGACACTTCAGGGTAGGTGCTATCGAGGATCGAGGACACCGTTTGCCGAACCGTCTCAACTGACGATCCGTTGATTCCCAGCGATATCTCGCCTTGTACGACATTGCACTCGAACATGCCCACCTCCTCGACTGGAACGACAGATGATGATGTTCCCGGCAACGCTCCAGCGGCCAGGTCGCGCACGGCAACAAGTGCCTCATATGCCTTCCGAACCGCCTCATGATGGGTGGCGGCTCGGAAGGCGGAAAACGCGTTGATACGCGAGTTCATAGGTTGCACCGCGTTGGAATTTGTGGGATGTGCCATGAACCAAACATCCGCCTCATCAAACGCATTTGCTTTCTGCAGTTGACACTTCCCCGCTCCGTTCTCTTCGTCAGGGGTCCCGATGACTACGAGACGGGCGGGGATCTTGAGGTTGATGAGAGCCTCCCGCGCCATGCTCGCGGCTGCCAAACCGTTGAGCAAGATCTGGTTATGGCCGCATGCGTGGCCAATCCCGACGAGGGCGTCATACTCGGCCATAAAGCCGATGACGGGTAGCTTCTCGTTAGGTGGCGTGGCGGGTGTGCGGAACTCGAACTCCAGCTTCCAAGCCGTTGGCATGCCAAAAGCATGAGGCGTTACCTCCCATTTGCCCGGCCGGACCTTGGTAAAGTAATCGACGACAAGGTCGTGCGCATGGTGTTCGTCGAGTCCGATCTCGGGGTTCTTCCAGACGTCTACTGCAATCGCTTTAAGACCGGGGAAGATGTTCGCCGAGGCGGCCTTCAGATAGAAGGAGAGGGCCGATACATCGGCAGCTACGACGAGGCCACCGGTGTATGCCACGAAGGCCGGTATGGAAAGAAGAGAGGTGCGCATGGTTGCGGTTGCGGTTGGAAGGTTGAACACTGGCTTCCACCTGCTCTAGAAAGTTCGGCAGTTCAGTGAATAACATCCCCTCGCTCAACTTTAATACTCAAAAGCAACCGGAAACCCTTGCCCATCTTTACCTGCCCACGTTCAAAAAAGCACTTTGACTATGTCCGGGCCATCCGGGACTACCGACTCGCTCAAAGCGTTGTAAGCAACCCTGCTAGTACTTAGTTGGTACCCTGGAAAACTTACCGATGAGGGGATAGTGCTGAGATCGGATGGTCCGTTATACGAACCACACCTGTAGCGATCGATGCTCGTAGTCAGCACCCAGAAGCGTTATCCACCCAGGGTTGCTGCCTTCATCGGGGTCAGCATCCGTCAAGGGGGTAGTAGTATTTTTTAATTTGCTATCTCATCGGTCAACTGACTGGCTAAAAGTTTACATCGACAACATTGAATGTTATGCCAAAATCTTAACCTGCGGCATGACCTGTGGAAGCATCATGGCGAAGGAGGAAAGGCACCTTGCCCCTCCGCTACAAGATAGCTCAACAACAGCGGCTGCCTTGAGGCTGTAATCAGCCCATGTGATTTTAAGCAACCCTCTCCTTCTCAACGTGCTCGACCGTCTCACCAGAGACCCTTTTTTCGCTAGAGTGCGCGAACGGGTCGATCTTCGTTGCCGCGAATTTCCTCGCCGGTACCCGCTGCTCAAAGAGCAGGTCTAACTCGGCATATGTTCGGCCCTTCGGCTCCGGTAACCTGAAGAACACCCACACGGCGGACAGCAAACATGAACCTGCCCAAAAGAATGCCGTTCGAGCGCCCCAGTTCCACGCGGTAGAGCTAAGTTGGTAGTTGGTCATGACGTTGACAAATATGTTGCTGGCGTTGTATCCTGCGCGCGCCAGCACGATGGTTTTGGCCTTGAGTCGCGTCGATGACAACTCAGAAACGAGGGAGTACGTGACGGGGCCAACGGCAAAATCATAAACGAAGGTGAAGACAATCAACATCGCACCGATGGCCCACACCGATGCCTTGGTGTTCCCAAACGACAAGCAGCCGACGATGATTAGAAGAGTAAGTTGTGCACATAGCCCACTGAAGTGGATCGTCCTGCGGCCGAGTCGAGACATGAGGAACCAGGAACCAATGGTCCCGATGATGCCCAGCGCATACTGGCAGAGCGAGAGGGTAAAAGAGTTGCTGGCATCCATCCCGGCTTGGGTGCTATTAAAATGGTCAGCAAGGATAAGGAACGTAACAGTTCAACGAGGGGGCAAAGTCCACTCACAGAAAGTAGGCAAAATAGCCCATCAGGTTTTGCCCCCCCAATGTCTGAACGAGCCAAATACCGACGACAATCTCAGTCCGGCGGAGGTCGATACCCTGGAAACAATCACGGAACCGAACACCCTCCTTCGCCTTTTTTTCAAGCTCATTGGTATGCTCGATCATGGCGATGGTCTCATCGGCATCGAAGCCGGGCTGGTTGCGCGAGGTTAAGCGTAACAAGGACTTCTTCGCTTCCTCCCTTCTCCCATGTCTGATGTACCACCAAGGAGACCTGTAAAAATGAATAATCAGTAACTATCTATCTAGTTAAGAATAGGGACGAGAAAAGAAACTCACTCAGGGGCGAAGATCATTCCGGCAAGAATGGGGACGGGCCATACCCATTGCACGGCAAAGGGAATCTTGTAGGCGTAGTCGTCGTTTCGCTCAACCGACCCTTTGTTGACGGCAACGGCGAAAAACTGCCCAATGACCCAGCATAGGTTGATGAAAGTTGTGAGGACCGGGCGAAGTGGCAGAGGTGCAACCTCAGAGGCATACGCCGCTGTCACGCTCTGGAAAGCCCCCCACGGAATACCTGAGGGCGCACCGTTAGTTACTATTACGCGTGCAGGTGGCAAGGGGCCGGGTTTCTGAGCCTACCACATAGGACTTCGCCGACCACCAAGACTTGAACATTGGGGGCGAAGAACAAGACAAAAATGAAACAAATCATCAATATCAATGACCCAATGGTGGTCATTTTGTAACCGTAGCGATCCGAAGTCCATCCGGCGAAGATGAGACCCAAGATCTCCCCTGCTCTGGCGCCGTTTGACAAACCGGACTGCCACGCCGCCGAGATAACATATTTTCCCGCTGCCGCGTCATACTGACCGAATTTCTTGTTGAAAACCGGCGAGGCGTAGAGGTTCCCAAGCAGAGCGAGGTCATAACCTTCCATAATAATGGTGGACGAGACTAACACGGACCATCCAATGGCTTTCGGGTAAAGCTTGATAGCCTGGAAGAGTGACATCTGGTGTTCTTTGTCCGACGCTTGCTTTGCCTCGACGGCCACGACGCCGTGGTCGCGCGAAGTAGGCACCCCGGCCTCATCTTCGGGGAGCGCACCGCCCGGAAGTGGTGATTGTTTGATATCCGTCATGTTGCTGAGAACCGTTGAATACGGGGGAAAAAGGGCCAAAAAAGGTTGATCGAACGGCGAAAGGAGGTATCCGAAAACTCGGGACCGTGGAAATGGGCGGGATATTTATCCCTGGGCAGTGGAATGGGACGTCTGTGAGTGTTCATGGCCCAGTCCGCAACTGGCTAAGTAAAGTGTCCTCGGCAATGAAGCAATCAGGGGTGGAATAACCTGCGGGGTTTAGTCAGTCGGATGTTCTTGTCACTTGTTGGAGCATCAAATCGACTGGCGTACCAAACCCAGGAAAACGATCCATTCCCACAGCCGTGCATGCGGTTTCTGGGGAACAATCGGCTTTTCACACTCAATTGTGGCCACCATTGTGACAGCCCTGGCCCGACTTCCACTGGGGAAAGCTTGTCAAATGGACCTGGGGGAAGAAAAACAGGGTGGATTCGGCCGCTTGGCATTGATGCCGTTGCCGAAGTACAGGGGCGTCGGAGGCAGGGGCGGAGTTTGTTGCACACCATTGGCCAAAGGAATCTGGGGAACAACAAAGACGGTGGATTTTCGCTCTCCGTTCTCTACGTTCCATCTTGTCGTGCCTTCGTTCTACCCATGGAGATCCGATTTTACTCCAGTGAAACTTCTTTTTCCCACGTGCCTGTATCCTTGCCCGAATCTAGGCCGTGTCTTACAAAGACACGGGGCCAGGAGTGAGGCTCGAGGGAGGCTGTCCCGAGGAAGCTCACGACCTGTGCCTTGGGACAAGGGTGTCGGAACCCCGCCAACCGTGGGCGCCGGATCTGTCCGCCCACCTTGCCCCTGCGGGGCCGATCCGCGAGGTCAGCCTTGGGGGATGGATATCAACCTCGGTCGCCGCTGTAGGCAGTCCTCCATCTCCTTTCGGTGATCCAGAGACAATTTTCCTTCCAACACCTTTTTCTTGTCGGAACTGTGCCCAGTGACCCTCCCAAATCGCTTGCACCGTGATCATGGGTTCTAATATTTTTCATCACCCGAACGGCTGGGTCGGCACAGCGCCTTGGTGGAAGGGCGCTGTCTTCTATCAAGTTTATCCGGCAAGCTTCAAAGATTCCAATGACGACGGGTGGGGGGACATCCCTGGCCTGATCTCGAAAATCGACTATCTCCACCAACTTGGTGTTGACGTCGTCTGGTTGTCGCCAATGTTTGAGAGCCCCCAAAAAGACATGGGATACGATATATCAGACTACCAGGCGGTTTACCCACGATACGGGACCCTCGAAGACGTCGATCGGCTCATTGAAGCCTGCCACAGCCGCGGTATGAAGCTCATCCTCGACCTCGTGGTGAACCACACGTCAGACCAGCACCCGTGGTTCAGGGAGTCCCGGTCATCCAAAACCAACCCCAAACGTGACTGGTACTTCTGGAAGCCAGCCAGGTACGACAGCGCCGGTAACCGCCACCCGCCGACCAACTGGCGCGGGTATTTCGCCGGCTCAACCTGGACCTGGGATGAGCAAACGCAGGAATATTACCTGAACCTCTACGGCCCTTTCCAGCCCGATCTCAACTGGGAGAATGCCGACTGTCGTGCGGCCATCTATGAGGAAGCCATGCGTTTCTGGTTGGATCGGGGGATTGACGGGTTCCGCATCGACACGGTGAATAAATATTCCAAGCGCATCGACTTCCCAGACGCGCCCGTGACCTGCCCGGACGTGCCGCATCAGCCAGCGCCTGAGATGTGGTGCAACGGACCGCGAATCCATGAGTTTATCCATGAGATGCAGACGCAGGTTCTTGGGCCATACAAAGCTGTCTCCGTCGGCGAGCTTTCCAACACGCCCCTACCGGGACAGGTACTGCCATACGTATCGGCCGCGGCGCGAGAGCTGGACATGGTGTTCGAGTTCAGCATGATCCGCTTGGGAACCGGCAACTTGTTTCACGGCAAGTACATCTACCAGCCATTCCCGTTGTCGGTCCTCAAGCGCCACGTCGCGACGTGGCAGACCTTCATCGAGGGAACCGACGGCTGGCACACTGTTTTCTGTGAGAACCACGACAATGGGCGGGCTGTGTCGCGGTTTGGGGATGACAGCACACCGAAGTTGTGGGAGGCTAGTGCCAAGGTGATCGCGTTGTGGCAAGTCACGTTGACGGGTACGCTGTTCTTGTATCAGGGTCAAGAAATCGGCATGAGAAACATGCCTGCCGACTGGGGCATCGAGGAGTACAAGGATGTGGAAAGCTTAGGTTTCTACAACGAAGCAGTCGAGTCCGGTGATGGCAAGCGTATTCAGGACACGCTCCATGGTTTGCGGATATTAGCCAGGGACCATTCGAGGGTACCGTTCCAGTGGGACGACTCCCCTAACGCCGGATTCACGGGCGCCGGCGTCACGCCTTGGATGAAGGTGCATGATCAGTATCGCGAGTTGAACGTTGCCAACCAGCTCAAAGACTCCGAATCTGTTTTAGGCTTTTATCGAAAGGCATTGAGCCTTCGCAAGGAGCATGCGGACATCTTCATCCACGGGGCCTTTCGGCTTCTGGCCCCCGAGGAGGAGAGTCTCTTCATGTATGTCAAGGAAAGTGACTCGGAAGTCAACATTGGCGGCGGAGGCGCAAAGAGAAAGGCTGTAGTAGTGATGAACTTCACTAGCCATGCCCAGCAATACCCCGACGTCAGTGTCGTGCTGGGGTGTCGCGCGGGGGAGGAGCACTTGCTTGTGAGCACTGTCAGGTCTGGACAGTCGGCGCTGGCGAGCAACGAGCTGAGACCCTGGGAAGGAAGAGTGTATCTCAACTTCAAGCCGTGATGTGGGGTAGTTGATAGGGAACGAGAGAATGGGAAGGGGTTAGATGTAGATAAATACCAAGTACACAGCCATTTGACTAGAAGCCCAGATCCTAGGATGAAACCAGCGTTGACAGTCTGCATGTGTTCTGCGTCCGTCACGCTGTCGACGGGGCTTGGCAGATCCGACGGGTGGAGTGCGTTTTCCCGCAAAAGGTTAGATGGCCCCAAGGTTCCCGCTCTCCGCATTCTGCCCCAGACTTGGGGTGACTTCATCCAGGGACCGGTTTCACAGACCACGGAATGAGCGGCTCGCCCAGGAACGCAACCACATTAAGAATGGGTACTGTCTCGCGACCAAAGCGGGCACAGGTCTCGAAAGCATGCCAGAGATGCAAAAGGCTACAAAAGGGCTGCAGCGAATCTCGACCATGTCAGCGATGCACGCGAGTTGGCCTGGAGGCGGAATGCGTTCGAAACGAGGGACTACAGCAACAAGTCGTGGAGGGGAACTGGTCAGTCCCACAGCTACCAGTAAGCCTCTCGCCGGAAATCCTCCACGCCACTCCAATGGCGACACTGCCGCAGAGGCGAAGCCTGCCCCCGGCCTCTGTTGTCGGGTACTGCTTCCGTCGCTTTTTTGCCGAGCTGCATCCGACTATCCCTATTCTGAGTCCCGAGTATGTTGAGTTAGTGGCGGCCGAGGCGGCGTCGCTGGGAGGGGTCGAGGCTCAATGTCTCATCACGGCTGTCTGTGCGGTTGTCTTGATACAAGTCGAGGAGCCGAGCCAGCACATGTTCGAAGCGGACGGGATCCCACACTCCAACAGGAAGCTTGGGGAGCTCCTTTTCGAGGACGCGATGATGGCTCGCAACCATATGTCTTCGGGATTCAACCCTAGTCTGGAGCGGGTTCTCGCAACCTTCTTCCTTTATGCCGGCCACGCGTCCCTCTTCCACCACAGCCAGGGGTTTTACTTCCTTCGAGAAGCTGCCACGATGTGGCTTGTGTTGCGCATCAACGAGGCTGATACCCTCAGGCGGAATCTGGCCGACAGGCTTTTTTGGGTAATCTTGGTGTCGGAGCGCTCGCACGGAATCCGATATCGTCGACCTGTCACGCTGCAGGTCACCTCGTCGGGGCCCGACCTTGACGGCGGTGTCGAGGCGGATGCAACCATATCCGGCCTGAAACGGTTGGTTGCTTTATTCCGGCCGCTGGATACGGTCTTTTTTGCCCTGCTCAACCAAGAAGATACTGTGTTCTTGCCGGGACTCCTACCCCCGCTAGAGGCCGTCCAGGTCGCTATCCGCGGCGCCCTCGAACCGCGGCACGCGTACGTGCTTTGTGAAACGCAGCTCGCCAACCTCAAAGTAACTCAGCTCTGGTTGTTAGTTACCTTGTGGCAACTGCGTCTGCGTCTCGGGCTGTTGGTAGAGGGGCCTGGGGTGTCGGGCCACCTGACGTTCCGCTATCCGGTCGAGGTGGGCGAGGAGTTGGCTGGCGTCATCCGGGCCATGTCGCTCGGGAGCATTAGGATACACGGTGTCGGTATCAACGAGAAAATTTTCGATGTTGCCTGCGCGATGATAGATGTACTTTCTCGGGTGCCGGCAACGGACAAGAGTGGGACGGGGTTGGAGAACATTGGGTACTTCAGAGGGCTTATTCGTGAACTCCCCGGGGGAGTCTCGACGTACGGTGCGCTCCTAGACAAGCACATCAGTAACACACTCCCAACTCTACTAGAAAGCCCTGGGATAGCGGGGTAAATGTGAAGAATAAGTGTCAATTGTCGTATATACGTACGTTGCTCGCCACAGAAAAGCTCCAGTTTTTCTGTAATATAAGGCGGCGACACTTTCTGGCTTCGAACACAATGCAGTTCTCGGCATGGGAATCGACGAAGTGGAAGGTGTCAGTCGGATGGGAAGGCAGGGAGGGTTTGCAGGGTTTGGAGCTTGACGCGGCGCGTCGACGAGTGGGAGTGGGCCCAGACACGGCCGGGCTGCCAAGGCATTTCCAAATCTTCAATCTCGTCATCGCACCACCTTTGCTTTTCCAACTTCCCACAGCATGTCTAATAAATCGAGGTGGGCATTTATCGAATCAATTTCTAACTACGCGTGCTTCCAAGTGCCAAAATCACCGACTTACAACTTCGGTCCCGAAGATCCAGGCTGCGCGAGATCGTAACGGTCGAGGTTCATCACCTTGCTCCACGCCGCAACAAAGTCCTTCACGAACTTGTCTTGCCCACTCGAACTGCCATACACCTCGGAAATGGCCCGCAGTTCCGCGTGCGCACCGAAAACGAGGTCGGCCCGCGTGCCGGTCCACTTCTTCTCTCCTGTTTTGCGGTCATTGCCCTCGAACACCTCGCCGTCGACCGACTTCCACGCCGTAGCCATATCCAGCAGGTTGACGAAATAGTCGTTGGTCAGCTTACCGGGGCGCGTGGTGAAAACGCCGTTGGAGGACCCGTCGTAGTTGGCGCCGAGCACCCGCAGACCACCAACGAGCACGGCCAACTCGGGCGGTGTTAGGGTCAGAAGATGTGCACGGTCAACCAGGAATTGCTCGGTCGACACACGCGACGTCCCCCGGCCATAGCTGCGGAAACCGTCGACATGCGGCTCGAGATGCGCGAACGACTCGACTTCGGTCTGCTCTTGCGACGCGTCGGTACGGCCGGGGGTGAAGGGGACAGAAACACCGGCGGCCTGCTCCAGTGCCGCGACACCACCGAGCACAATGAGATCCGCCAGGGACACCTTCTTGCTCTGGCTAGCGCCGTTGAACTGGGCCTGTACACCTTCGAGCGCCTTCAGAACCTCGGCTAGTTGTGGCGGGTTGTTGACCTTCCAGTCCTTCTGCGGCGCCAGACGGATGCGGGCGCCGTTGGCACCACCGCGCTTGTCCCCGCCGCGGAAGGTCGAAGCAGACGCCCAGGCGGTCGAGATCAGCTTAGCAGGAGCAACGCCAGTGGCAAGGATGGCGCGCTTGAGGGTGGTAACGTCCTGTTCGTCTACAAGCGGGTGGTTGACCGCCGGGACGGGGTCCTCCCAGATGAGCACTTCGGATGGGATCTCGGGGCCAAGCCAGCGTGAGCGCGGACCCAAGTCGCGGTGCAGAAGCTTGAACCAGGCGCGCGCGAAGGCGTCAGCGAACTGGTCGGGGTTCTCTAGGAAACGGCGCGAGATCTTCTCGTATTCCGGGTCGAACCGCAACGCCAGATCAGTCGTGAGCATGCGAGGCAAGTGCTTCTTGTTGGGGTCAAAGGCGTCAGGGATGATCGGCTCGGTGTTCTTGGCGACCCATTGGTTGGCGCCCGCGGGGCTCTTGGTAAGCTCCCATTCGAATTTGAAGAGGTACTCGAAGAAGTTGTGGGTCCACTTCGTCGGCTCCTTGGTCCAGATGACCTCGAGGCCGCTGGTGATGGTATCCGGCCCCTTGCCCGTTCCATGCTTGTTGCTCCAGCCGAGGCCCTGCTGCTCCAAGGGAGCCGCTTCCGGCTCCTTGCTGACGTTGACCGCGGGAGCAGCGCCGTGTGTCTTGCCGAAAGTGTGGCCGCCGGCGATCAGTGCGACCGTCTCCTCATCATTCATGGCCATGCGGCCAAAGGTGGTACGAATGTCCCTGCCTGCCGCAACGGGGTCGGGGATGCCGTCGGGACCCTCAGGGTTAACATAGATGAGACCCATATGTGCGGCGGCGAGCGGCGATTCGAGATCGCGTGAGTGAATGTCCCGATGGCCCTTCTTCGACTCGTCGCCATCCACAACACCCTGTCCGGCGACACCCTCATTGCCTTGGCCGTAGCGAACATCGTTGCCGAGCCATGTCTTCTCACCGCCCCAGTAGGCCGATTCATCGGCCTCCCAGGTGTCAGGGCGGCCGCCCGCGAAGCCAAACGTCTTGAAACCCATGGATTCGAGGGCGACGTTGCCCGTCAAGAGAAGCAAGTCTGCCCACGAGATCTTGTCGCCGTACTTTTGCTTGACAGGCCATAAGAGGCGGCGCGCCTTGTCGAGACTGACGTTGTCCGGCCAGCTGTTCAGCGGCGCGAACCGCTGTTGGCCTTGGCTGCCACCGCCACGGCCATCAAAGACACGGTATGTACCAGCGCTGTGCCATGCCATGCGGATGAAAAGACCGCCATAGTGGCCGAAGTCGGCCGGCCACCAATCCTGGGAGTCGGTCATGACCGCCGTGATATCCTTCTTCAGCGCTTCATAGTCGAGAGACTTGAAGGCGGCGGCATAGTCAAACTCCTTGCTGTACGGGCTCGACGCAGGCTGATGTTGGCGGAGGATGTTGAGGCGCAGCTGGTTGGGCCACCAGTCGTTGTTCCTGGTACCACCGCCAGCGACGTTGGCATGGTTGACAGGGCACTCACCCATGGTGGTTGGTAAGTAGTGGTGTTATAGTGGACGAGGGAAGTTTGGCACTATGTACCCAAAAGGTGTATGTGGCTGGAAGAGATACAAGCCAGTTGGGGAGAGGGAAGGAAGGACGAGAATGGGCAACGAGAGGAACAGATAAATACCAGGTATCTTCGGAGGGGCCCGATGGGCATCTGGGAACGGTACCTAACCAAGCAGAGTACCCCGCTCCCGGACAAGTAATACCGCTGTTGCGCCAACCCCGCATCCATGAGGGGCAAGATCGCGACATCCATCTCCTTCCCGCGTCCATGCCGCCCGCATCCGGCCTCGCATGGTTCGACAACAAGCTGCGCGGGCCACCTTCATAACGGTTCCGCGACTGCCGACATCCATCGGTGGGCAAACCATAGTAGTCATCACACAAAGGTGAATATGTGTGGCTAATTCATCCCACATGGCACTGGGGAGATCAAGAGTATGTTGATGCACCCCCCTTGTGAGGGGACATTCCTTGAGACGGTTACAACCGGGTAGTTGTGTTGCGTGGCTCTGTAATCTACCCCACTTGATTGGCCACCGCCCGAGGGCGCCGTGCTCGGAGCTTCGGAGATGCGAGTCGCCTTCGAACGCCATTTCAAGTCTTCTGGACCTTGTGTTTCGATGACCGGCGCGCCCAACCTGGGTTTTCATCGCCTAGAGCGGGGAAACAACTGGAAGATCCCGCTACGTCCGGTGTTTCCAGTCCCCTTTCGCCATGCCGTGATCCCACACGGTCTGGGTTTCGGTGGAGACTAGAAACACGCAAGTACCTTGATGGGCAACGATTCTCTCTGCATCGATCACCCGGTGTCACATGTTACAAGATCCTTCGGCTGCCGTAACCGGCCCGGGTGTCCTATACGAAGAGTCCCGAGCAGCGTTTGTCAACTCCTGATGTGTGCAAGGTTTGGGCTTCATGACTGCAGAGTGCTCAGGAGACCGTACCACTAAACGACTCGACATCTCGATGTGGCTATTGAAACCCCCATGGTTCATCGGATAGTGGCCCGCCCACGTGGCTCGGAGCTCAGACGAAAACATGCAATGGCTCAGACGAGATTCCACACCAAACTAACAGATGCTCAAGAACTGAGCGTAGTCAAGTATTTCCCCTTTACAATTTCACATTCTCCATCCGAGACTTCGACCGGATCTAGGAAAATTCTTAGAAACTACCTCGACCTTAACGCATAGTCGGCGCCATTCCTAGCCGTGCATCAGAGGGTGAACAGTCGGCTGTTAACAGATTACGCAAGTAGGTCTCTCAACCCCCATTGATGGAAGCTCGAACGGCAACCGGCTCCCATTGGGGGTCCTGTCCGAATGGACTCTTGGTAAACCTCACCACCTACAACGGGGGCCGTCGTTTGTTACTTGGTCAATGAGCATCTTGAGCACTCACATTTGCGTGGGGGAAATTATCCGACCCTACCTAAGACGAAGGGCAGCGCAAGGGGCACAAAAATGCCAGGCTAACCGGTACATTGGTCGGTGTATATTATTTATTATTACAAGGCCAACTTCCTCCCATCTTCCCATTATTATCCATCTATCCCTCTAAAACACCAACATTCGTCCAACCTTCTAATCCAAGTTCTGCGCCTCGCACATCTTGCGGTACATCCCCCCGAGCGCAATTAGCTCCTCGTGCGTGCCCTTTTCCACGATCTTGCCCCCGTGGAATACACAAATAACGTCGGCATCCTTGATGGTCGACAACCGATGCGCCACGGCGATAGTGATGCGGTCCCCGGCCTTGGCCGCCTCAGCCAGGGCATTCTGGACAATCTTCTCGCTCTCCGTGTCCAATGCACTTGTTGCCTCGTCTAGCAGCAGGATCTTGGGATCTCGGATCAGTGAGCGGGCAATGGCAATGCGCTGGCGCTGGCCGCCAGAGAGCTGTGTGCCGTTGGAGCCCGCCGCGGTAGCCAACCCATCCGGGAGCGATGACACAAACTCCCAGGCATTGGCAGCACGAAGAGCTGCTTCGATCTGCGAGTCTGGGACTGTGGGACCTGTGTTGGCCGTGTAGAGTGCCGACGTGTCGATTGTCGGGTCATCAATGCCGAGGGCAATATTCTCCCGAATGGAGCCCTGGAAAAGAGTGGGTTCCTGTTGAACAAGGGACACGATACGACGATAGAGCTTTGGGTTGAGTTCGCTGAGGACATCGCCGTCGATATGGATGTTGCCCGTGGACGGATCATAAAAGCGCTCCAACATGGCAACGACGGTAGATTTGCCGCAGCCGGACGCACCGACAACAGCTGCAAACTGGCCCTTTTTGATCTGCGGAGGTCAGCTAACGTTAACTTGGCGTTCCCCTGCGGTCTTACCTCTAGATCGACCCCTCGGAGCACCACAGCGTCTGGCCGTAAGGGGTACGAAAATCGGACATTGTCCAATGAGATGGGCCCGCCAGATTTTGGCCCGTTGTCGCGGTTCTGGTCTGTCTCCCTCACTGTCGGCTGCAGCTCGGAGAGCCAGAATATGTAATTTGCCGCGTTCTGTCCCTTGGTGATGCCTTGACACAGTTAGCGGTTTGCCGGGTCAGGACCCTCAGCTCAAGGCAAATAACTAACTTGTGGAGAACTGGAACATCTGCGCGGTCGCTTGTCCACAGAAAAACACGCCCATAAAAGCGACGAAGAAGTTGTACATGGATGTTTCGTTGAAAGCAACGAGACGACAGCCATACCTGTATCACGCATCAGATAGGAGAACAGGGTCATTTGCGTGCATGAGGTAAGGTGGCATACCAGAAACCCAAAGCCATGAACCAATACTCGATGGCCTGTGTCAGAGCAAAACAAATCATCACCCTCGTCAGGGGCTTGACAGTGTCTGCCACTGCACGATCCAGCTCAGCCGTGTACCGGGCAAGAACACGATCTTCGATGGCCAAGGAAGACACTGTGCGGATGGCGGTGATAGCTTCAGAGGCAACCGACGCGCTAACGGAGCTTCTCTTGGAACTGTCGTGGTCCATCTTCATGTCCAACCGAATCTTGAGCCACCCAGAACCGAGCAGGGGAGGCAACCCGCCAAAGACGACCACCAAACCTAGTTTCCAGCTGTGGACAATACCCAATATGCTGCAGGCCGCAACATTCAGCACGGCAATGACGATGAGGCCGACGTTAAAGCCCATCAACTCGAATACAGACTGAGGATTCGAGTCGACCCGGCTCGTCAGGGCGCCGGTGTTGTTGTCGGGACGGTCGAAGAATTGAAGATCCTGACGCAAAATGTCGTTGAACGTCTGCCTGCGGAGGTTATGGGAGAGGGTCTGTTGACAAGATTAGCGCCTTTCCTTGTGGTCATCAAGAGGGGAGGGAGGGGGGAGGGGGGTTCCATGCCTGCGCGACGACATTCACCGACCAACCCAGAAGAAAGTAGAAGACGAGGCAGCCTGCTGCCAAGACGATGAACATGGATGCAAAGAAGTTGCCGCGCTCCTTCAAGGCCTCGCCTTCCAAAGTGAACACGTCCATCATCCTAGAAAGTAGAATGGCCTGGCCAGGGAATATGCCGGCTACAATGGATCCTTTGTCAGTCGAAGTCACTTCTAAACCAGGCGCAGACAAGAAAAAACTCACCGGCGGCGACGCAGCACGCCAGGACGGAAAGATACCACAGCCTCAGCTCTGGGCTGTACTTGATGAGGCGGAGGATTACCGCGATCAAGCCTAAGTGTTTGTGGTCATCGAAGTTGTCACGATCCTTCTGGGTGTCTAGGCGGGCTTGGTCTTCAGTGGCGTATCGGGTCATGGTTTTGGTAAGCTCGGCAGGGTGGCCTCCTTCATCGCCAGCCGTGCCCTCCTCTTCAGCATCCGACGAACTGGTACCAGAGCCAACAGCCAAGTCCTGAATGCTGACAAGCCGAGCGTAGGTGCCGTTATGGGTAATCAATTCCTCGTGTGTCCCCTGCTCGACGATGCGGCCTTTAGACATGACGACGATGTTGTCTGCCTTGCGAATTGTGGCTAGCTTATGGGCAATCACAATGGTTGTGCGTCCCTCGGCCGCGCGGTCCAGTGCTTGCTGTACAATTCCTTCAGCGTGGGGGTCAAGGGCGCTCGTCGCTTCATCGAGGAGCAGGACCTTGGGGCGTGAGATGATGCTGCGGGCGATAGCTACCCGTTGCTTTTGCCCCCCAGATAGAAGGCTCCCGCGCTGGCCGATATCGGTGTCATATCCGTTAGGTAACGCGGATATGAAATCGTGAGCAAATGCCGTCGTAGCTGCTTCCTGCACTTGGACCATCTGTTCTTCTCGGCTAGCATTTTCCCAGGGTGTACCTACGAGCCCATAGGCAATGTTGTCAAAGACAGACCCCTGAAACAAAACTGGTTCCTGGGACACGTTAGGGGACAGCGAGATGGGGGGGGGGCTGGCGTGGGAGGGGGGACGTACTTGTTGGACAAGTCGGACATTATTCCGAAGCCAGTTCAGGTTCAGGCTGTCGATGGGCCGCCCGTCTAGCTTAATGGTCCCCGAGGAGGGGGTGTACCAACGCTCAATCAAACCGACGATAGTGCTCTTTCCAGAACCACTTTGTCCCTGGTAAGGTCAGCACTCGTTGTTACGTGCTGACTCGTTTATCAAGCTCCTGTACTTACCACTAGAGCTGTGACCTTGCCGGCAGGAACCGTAAGTGAAAAGTTATCTAAGACTGTGATTCCAGGACGAGTAGGGTAGGCAAATGTGACATCCTCTAGCGCGACTAGGCCGGTAATGTCGGACGGTTGTTCACCGGACTTGTCGAATGGGTTGATGGCCGATTGCCTGTCTATAAGCTTGAAAAGCGAAGCGGCAGAGGTAGCTGCACGAGTGAAGTCGATGGAGTAGGGCGCCAGCATAGTGATTTGGATGGAACCAATGGCGACAGACAGAAGCACACTATTAAACGATCAGAACGGGAGCCAAGTAACAGCAACGTGAAGGGCGCCTGAACTCACGTGAATATTTGGCCGGATGAGTTAATCTCGCCTCTCGCGAGCATTTGAACGCCCTGCCAAAAAGCAAGGCCGAATCCCAGGTAAATTATGGTGTACTCGATGGAGAACAGGGCGCCAAAAAGGGGCGAAATCTTGTCCCCCACGCGGTGTGCCTCAGACAGATAGCCATCAAACTTGGCCACGAGCCTACTCCGCATCTCGAAAGCATGAACTGTGCGGGCACTGGCAAGGACGCCTTCGGCAAAAGAGTTGGCTTGGGCATGCAGATCAAGGATCTTGGTCTCGTGGCCGGCCTGGATGGTAGCGACCACCCCCATGGTGAGAATATTGGCTGGAGCAATGCATAACGTGATCAGTGTCAGCTTCCATTGCGTAGCGAAGGCAACAGCGAATGCAGCGACGAAAGCGGCCAGTCCTTGAAACGTCAGGCCGAGCTTCTCCGAGATGCCGCCCTGGATAAGTCGACCATTGGATGTGGCTTGTGTGGCAATGGAACCCCCCGTGCCAAAGTCGAAATAGGCTACTTCTTGACTGAGAGCGGACCTGACATAAGCATGGCGGATATTGCGCACGACTCGGTGGCTAACGTAGGTCAGGAGGGTGTTGTATATGTACGAGAGGGCGAATCTGCCAATTCCGAGGTAGACAAAATAGAGACTGACGATGCGCGCGTTAGTAGCCTTTCATTGTTTCTCCTGCCTGGTAAGCGGGACACAAGGAGAGGAAAGGTCATACGCGAGTTCCGCGACATCGTCGAGAAAGACGTCGCTCGATGTTTTCCCGGCGGCGTAGTCCGTTATGACAGTCACAAACGCGCCAAAAATCAAGTTTTGCATCGCGATGCCGGCACCGGAAGCAATGGCGGCAAGAATGGCGATCCCCTGGAGGGTGTACTCGAAAGCGCCGGCATAGTGGAAGATGCGCTGTGCTGCAAGATCAGCCCCCGTTCATAGAGTACTTTTAGCGTTTTGAGACGCTTAGTCGGCATACCTGGTATGCTGCCCAGCCGCCATCTCCCTCCTTTTTCTCTTCACTCGGGGGCTCGGTCGCGGATCGAGTAGTCGAATCTTTCTCTGTGTGGTCGAGTTCTTTGTCGGTGTCGATGTTCACAGCCATAGTGGCAAGACTGCAGGAGCAGTGTGTGCAAAGAAAAGATGACGCCCACGCCGGTGCCAAACGAGGAGAGGATAAAAGAATGAAATAGAGTTACTATAACTATAGATATTCTGTTCGGACGACGCAAGGTTTCAACTTTAAAGTTTTGGGTGGATCAAATGGCTCGCTTCCAGATTAAAAGGATCCAGCCAGCATACTTGGCGCCAAGTGTGCCATCACTTCGGGACGCGTAGATTGTGTGCTGGGTGGTGAAGAGCTGGGCAGGGCGGGCAAGGAGTTGACCCGATTTCGACGCCGGTGGGCTTGGTGGGGTGCCGTGACTGCTGCAGCTGCACCGTTGAGAACACTCCGAGGAGCCCAGATGATACGCTGGAGATTCTGGGCGCGTGGTTCGTGAGTCATTCGCCGGAATCCAAGGTCCAAGCCGTGTCTTCTGTCTGAGAATCCAGCTCACCTCTTCCAACAATTCACGAACAATCATCACGGAGACTTCCTGCTGTCAAGCAAAAACCCCGGTCTCTCATCTCTTGGGCCCACAATTGCGGCTCCAAGGGTCCATACCGGGTGCGCGGCCTCTTTGCCGAGTCGGACCCCGCGCGTTCCGCGGCATCCGTCTTCTTCCCTTCTGTTCTTTTCTCCTTGAGCTGCATGGCACCGACCGCAGGTTTCGAGTAGTAATCCAGCCACTGAGTTCATTGCAGCCCCTTCAGCTAACCCCGAATCGGCCGATATGCCGGAGTTGACCTGTGGTCCTGCAGCTCCCACAATGGAGGACGCGACGGACGGGGCCGAGTCGCAATCGCCGCCTCCCGCGGGCCCTTCTCAGACCCCTGTCCCCAGGGCTGCAAGTGAACCCCATCCCGCCGCCTTGATGGATGTGCCAAGACAAGGTTGAAGACCAGAACTGACCAGCTCGTGATGTGAAGTGTGACGCCTGCCGGGCACGCAAAGTAAGTTTTCTGTTCTCCTTACCTAACTGCCAACGTCCCAAGGGGTTGAACTAAAGAGACATGGATAGATCCGCTGCAACAGAGAGTCTCCTTGTGCCCACTGCCTGCATGCCCGGATAGAGTGTACTCACTCTGGAAATAAGCCACGAGAGAAGCGAAGCCGGATTCTGTTGACCCATCAATAGTGAGTTTTGAAGTTCCAGTACATGTCACGGTAACCTCTCCAGTCCCAACACCTCGCTCGGTCATGTGTCACGCTGGCATCTCACACATAGTAACGCGGCTGCGTAGTGAAAAGAAGATTGACCAGATCGACCGTCGCCTGGACGGTGTGGTTCGGCTCCTCGAAGAGCTCAATACACAGCGGTTACAGGCATCGCCTGTGCTTACAGTACCGGCAAAAGTATCGGTAGCATCGGCCCCGAGCACTGTTGATTCCTCCAGTCCCTCCAGCTATGGTGCCCGTAGCAACCAGACCCAAGTCACCGGGACCATGGTTGAGGGGGAGTCTTCCTTGACGGCTCAGTCGGTCTTCGCCAACGATCTCCTCCAAAAGGTTGCGAGCCGGGATTCCAGGCCCGAGATGCGTGAGAGGATAGAAGCCCTTCGACACTTGGTCGAAACCTTGAAGAAGCAGCCCGCAGCGAATGAGATGAAGTACCCGAACGCTAAGCCTACGCGGCCACCGGCCCTCGAGGGGTGCGAACTGCCCCCAATTGAGGCGACTCTACAGGTCATCAAGCTTGCCAGATGTGGGTAACTTGCAATGGCCCGCCCAGGTCGCCACATGTAATGCTAATTCTTTTTGTCCGAGGTCCCAGCCAACAAACAGCTCGGCGTGGCCTGGTTTTTTCAGATGTTCGGGATGGATCGCTTTCCGGAGCTCTGTGTTGGTGTTCACATGGCCGAGGAATATAATGCGGCCCAATTCCTCACTGTGAACGTCACCCTGCATTTCTTGTTCCATACCTACGGTTCTTTGCTTCCGGAAAAGGCCGATGAATATTTCCGTCTGTCGCGCCTCTGCGCCGTCAACACCGAGACGGCTCTAACCAATCTGCCTTTACATTTACCGGCCACGGACGATGTCATCATTGCCCTATCCTTTGGGGTACGGAAACTGCCTGACAATCCGAACCCTACTTGTTGTTCCCCAGTTGACACGTTGGCTAGGCCTATTATGCCATCGAGCTTGCGAAGCCTTCTTTGGCTTGGATCTTGTCGTCTAAAGCATCCGACTTGTGTCAGTCTCTCGGCTATCATCGGAGTGCGACATTTATCCATGAGTCCCCGGAGAATGCCCAGTCCAAGCAGTTCCTCTTCTGGGGCGTGTACACCATTGATAAGGGCCTGGCACTTCGCTTGGGGCGGTCATCGACGATACAAGATTACGATGTCACCGTACCTCACCCAGGGGAGGATGGGGTCCCAGTCGCGGGTGATTTCCCCTTAGCATCCTTCTTTGGTCTGTGGGTCATTGGGTCTAGGATTCAAGGCCAGATCTACGAACTGCTATATTGCCCCGACGCTATCGCACAATCAGATGCGATCCGGAAATCCCGCGTGCAGTCGTTGCTAGATCAACTGGGGGATCTTGATGAGCTGACCCGCGGCGTCGCGGTGAGGATACCTCCCTTACTCGAACCATTCATGTTGAATAACCCCCCTGGCCTCACTACATACTAATTTCATCTCTCTAGGCAAAATGGGATCAGTTCTCTAGAGCAACCGCCGGCGAGGACACAACCGACTTTTTTGTTTTGTCAGATCTTGTTCTCCGGCTCTCGACTCGAACTTTAATTCTCCGAGCTGTTCCCAACCCGCCAGGCTCTCCGACAACTTTCACGGAGCAGTGTGTCCAGACGGCCAGAGAAACACTCAGCCGCCATCAAGAGTGCATGGCCGTGGTGGAAAGGAATCCCATTGGCCTCTTCTCAACATACATGAACTGGTATGTACGCCCTCAAGCAACGTACAATGCACGTACTAACTATGTACCAGGACGATTCTTTTCGCTCCGTTCGTCCCATTCATAGTCCTCTTCTGCCAAGTAATTGAAGCCCGGGATAGAACGGATCTTTCTCGACTTGAGGCGTTTGTCGCCTCTCTGCAGCCGCACACCGCAGTTTCAGAGGCCGTGGACAGACTCCATCGCCTCTTTCACGTCCTTCACAGCGTTGCATCACAGTACCTTGAGTCTCAGACAGGAGCTAGTAGAGATGACCAGCAGGCGAGTACGGTAGACAACTGTCTAGCTGCCCTCGGGTTCCCATCCCAGCCAGTGCCAGGGTTCCAGGAAGCGTCGTACCCCGTGGGGAGTGTCACAGGCAGTGGCGATTCGGCCTTCCAGAGGGGCGTCAATCCGATGATCTGGATGGGGAACGGGGCCCAGCTCGAGGATTGGTTTTACAACAATGAGCAGATGATTAACATATTGGAGGACGGATTCCCAGAAGGTGGCGGGTGGGCAACTGGCTAAAGCCTTTTGTCTGGTCAAGCGGGAAAACGCGAGGTGAGATAGCCGAGCTATGAACGCCCTGGTCCAGGGTAGGTAGTAACAAGCTCGCCCCGTTTGTTGCTTGCAGGGCTAGAGGCTGGCCAACCACAACATGATAGCTCTCTCCATTGACCCCTTGTCGTATCCCACCGCCGAGTCCAAGGCCACTTGGACGTGAACTTCCCCCTTGCACTCCGCCAGCACCATAGCCTTGCCTTCAAACTCCCGGTAGTCTGTGTCTCTGCTGGCAGTCACAGTTTCTGCTCGGACATGGGTCTTGGCAAACACACGACAGCAATCCAACAAGATTTCAGACGTGCCGGCAGTGACCATCACCTTCTGGACCAAACCGTCAGGACCCCGGGCGAAGACACGGTTCCACACATCATCTGACCCTTTACCACCGCACAGGTCTGTCCATATTTCGTCATCTTTCCCCTGAAACGCAGCCATAAATTTATCCACCTGCGGGCGGTCGATGTAGTCCTTCCGGCCGTTGATCTCATAAGAGTCAAAGTTCCCTGCTTTTGGCGGTAGCCTTACAAACGGACTCACGAACAAGGCAGCCCGGAATTTGTCGTTAAGCTTTACCGGGGCCGCATAAGGCGATGGCTGCAGCACGTGGGCAAGCAGCGCCCCAACAAGCTGTCCACCTGCGCTGTCGCCCGCGAGCACAAGTTCGTTCGGACGCAGATCTCTCTCGTCCAGGAGGTACCGGAGTGCCGCAATGCATTGGACGAGCTGCGCCGGGTACGGGTGCTCCGGGGCGAGTGAGTACTCGAGAATGGCGGCCTGCTTGGCCCCGCAGGCTGTGGCGCACCGCATGATGAAAGGCATGTGGGCTGGGCCGCGGAGTGGATTGACGAAGCCGCCGCCGTGAAAGTAGAGGAGCGTCGAGCCGTTGCCATCCTCGTTTACCGAGGTGGGTGTGAGGAAGTGGAGGGTTGGGTCCGGTATTTCGCCCTGGGTGACATCGCGGGTGGTGGTAGTGGCATCGAGAGTGATGGATTTATGCGGGATGCCCTGCTTGGCAGCATATCGAACGATTGCCTCGCTGGTTGGGACTCGCCGGACCAGCCAGCGGAGATAACGGGTTGGGAAACTGGCCCTCTGGGCTTGTAGAAATGAGAGAGCGAGCCGTTGGCGCCAGTGGAGCTCATGCGTCTTGCGGAAGAGGAAGAAGCCAAACAAGCGGACGGCTAGAAAAAAATGGCATGTGAATACACGATCGTTATCACGGGTTATTAGGGGTTGTGGTTACCGAAGAGGGGGAACAACCCAAACAAAGCCATACGGTCCCATATCGACAACTCCCCAGTCGCTTCAGAAGGATTTTTGGTGCCCATGTTGTCCCGTATTTTGGTTGGTGCCGCGAAGATGTGGCTTTCCTCAGCAATGGATGCATTCGGCGCCTTGGTTCGAGAATTCAGGGGTACCTAATTAGCGCGAGCCAGGTGCCGAGGTTAGAAGAGCGGGGCTCGCGCTGAGGTGGAGTTCGAAGGCTGGACTTATCCTTCGAGGCAGGTAATAGTAGTTTGGAACTGTATTGTCAAACGCTCTCTAGCAATGTTTAGACCATTGTAAAAGGTGCTGTTTCTCAAGCCCCGTCATGTGTCATAAGAGCCTCTGAATCGATGCCAAACATACCGTGCTATGATCTCAGAGTCTCAGACCGTCGAAACCCGCCATATAGGGGGGGACTTGAAAACTGGGACCATAGGTACCTGGGTAGGTAAGGTAGTTATTATTATTAACGCGCTAGAACTGGCCCTGAGCTCAGAATTATCAATCCATAACCGAACAGGCACTTTAGGCAGCCCGAGGCTGCCATGGGTGTCATTGTACGACACGGCACCCCATCATTCCCAACCGAAGCCTCGAAACCATGGCCATGAATAATGGCCCGAGCCTAACTTTTTCTTCTTAGTTCTCAACTCTTAGCCATAGTTATCCACCCTCGTTTTTCAAATAGAGACAACTATGATCCCAAGCCCTACCTCGTTACCTACTTACATACCTAGGTGTTCACTAGGGAAGAGCAATACAGCCATGATGTTGTGGTCAACCAAACAAACCCTCAACCCCCTGCAGAAAATCCCGGTAGCTACTGTGTAAGGACGCTTGTTGAACTTGTCTCGCTTCAACAACCCAGGAACCTGGATAGGGATCCCGAATTGACGTTAATCGGCCCCACCCGGCGCTGCCGGCTCTTGTTGGTTGCGGAGCTGGTGAGCCGGGGAACTTGCAGGGATCACCGATTGCCTTTCAGATCCCGCTTCGCCCGATTCGTTCTGCCTTTCCGGCTTGCCCTGAACCCGCTTTTGTTAAAGCCAGCAAGAAGTTGGAAAAATGCCATGGTTCAGCATGGTTATTTTGGGAAATGGAGTTCCAGTGCCGCTTCTGGGGCTCGGTGCAACATCGCACTCCGCCGCCCAGGTTCTCCGCCCCATGCTCTTTGCCGATCAATTTCGTACCGCAAGTTAATACGAGATCTGACGGCATCTCACAGGAAGACAGCCGAGCTCCTCCTCAACAATACGAAGTAACGTGGCATTCTCACCAAACACGTAGCACATAGCCTGAATCCGTTGCATCAGCGAATCCGCCAACAAGGTGGGCGCGCTGCGGATGGAATCGAGGAGGATAACTCATCGGTGGGGTCAAGGGGGCTATTTGTGTATAAAGAGACAACAATGCCCTCAGCAGGTTCTCTCGGCAGATAGTCACACCATCACCCTTGACATCGCCCACCAGCGCCATCAACTACCCAAACCCGAATAAAAGCCACCCTTCAACCGTCAACATGCACTTCAACACCGTCTTCCTCGGCCTTGTTGCCAGCGCCAGCACGGCTTTCGCCGCCCCGGCTCTCAACTCGCGCTCCGGCGCTGTCTCTGCGATGGCTGAGGTCCCCGAATGGACGATCGAGTCTTTCACCCGGACCTGCAACGAGGATGACACCTCGTGCGATATCTCGTTCGGCATCAACACGCAAACCGCTCCCGTCACCGCCTGCTCCTACACCGTCACCGGGGCGCCCGCCAGCCAAGCTTCCACAACCGACATCAAATGCGGCGCCTACACCCTGAGCTCCAACTGGAGTGGCCAATGGGGCGTCGAGAACGGGTTCACAACCTGGTCGCTCATCGATTGGGACAGCCGCCTCATCACCTGGCCTTCGTACGCCGACCACGAGCTTGTGAACGGGGAAGCCGTCACTCCCGACAAGAGCTACGCTCCCCAGACTTTGGCTTAGATACCTCGCTCTGGATTGAGTGTGCGACTGATGAATAATGGGATGGAGAAATTGCGGATTGACTGCGTCGGAATAATGTTTACCACAAATGGGCAGAGTGTTATCTTAGATATCGAGTAATATTAATTTGGTTTACTCACCGCTATTGTTGACTTGTCTTGCTTCCGTTGCATGGTGGGTTTGAGCTTGCAAAATAGCGGTGGAGAGGAGAGGTTGGTTTTCTCGCCCCTGGTATGGTTGCCTACGAGTTAACGGTTCTCGTCTCAACAGCACCTGATGATCCCACCCCGCGTTTTGTGGAAACCCGGAAGCCGAGGATTGAAACAGCACGATGTGCAGTCCCCAAGACGTCGGACAACAGGCAGCCAAGCCATCTTGTCGGGAGTTCCCAACAAACGCCACCATCGAGAAACATTAATTGGTGCATCTCATTGATCTCAAGCACAAAGGTTTGAGTCGTGGTTAGGCAGCAATGCCCCAAACGGCCGATCAGGCGGAGAGAGCATTACATGGGCGTCGTTGAGTCGTCGGGCCCGCCCTTAAAAAGAGTTGTTTGGGGTTCTTTCTGGCCCAGGAGAATCTAATTTGTTGAACCCGCACCCTTCTCTCTTCCATAACATCGATTTCATTCTTGCTTCCCCCCAAGCCCCAACTCCGCATATCAACATGGAATCTGCACCCTCTGAGACCGCCAACAGCAAGATAACTTCCCTTCTTGAGACGGTCTCTCACGCGCTCGCCGACCAGGCGGACCTGAGTGTTTTTGCCTTGGGTGGGAAGATCAATCTCAGTACGGTCACCGAGGCGTTGTCTAATGCATCCGAGACAAGCTCTCTTGTCATCCGCTGGGATTCGGGCGATACCAACCACTGCCGCAAGGTCTCATTACCAGTGGTTGAAAGCGATGCAGATTCCCAGGCAGCGTTTGCCAAGCTTCTGGAAGACTCGGAACCGGCTACGTATGGTGTCGGCAGCGAAGCGGTTTTGGATGAGACCTACCGGAAGGCAGGCAAGATGAACGCAGCGAGGTTCTCAACTAATTTCAACCCATACGAACATGGCGTGATCGATGCCATCGCCCAAGCCCTCACCCATAGCGACCACCGTGGCATCAAGGCAGAACTCTACAATTTGAATGTAAGCTGAACTCCCAGGCGCCCCAGGCTCAAGCTGACAGTCACTAGATTTACTCCGGGCCTTCGGGCAAATTCAAAGCCCACGTCGACACGCCCCGCTCTGAGAATCAAATGGGATCACTCGTTGTGTGTTTTCCGTATCCACACCAAGGTAAACACTCGTCCTTCCGAACCCGTAGTACGCCACAAGAACCTTGCTAACCCCATCTACTTAAGGTGGCCAGTTGGCCGTGAGGCACGGCGGACGCGAGGTGATGTTCGACTGGGCGTCAGAGACTGCCTCGGCCGTTCAGTGGGGTGCTTTCTTCTCTGATTGCGAGCACGAAGTCTTGGAGGTGACCGGCGGACACCGGTTGACCCTGGCTTACAATCTCTACTGGACTCCCTTCGGGCCAGCCTCAATGGCCGACGGTCTCAACATCCTCGAGCCGGAGTCTCTCCATTTCTTTGGCGCAATTCGAGAGCTGTTGCAATGCCCTGACTTTCTTCCAAAAGGTAAGTGGCATTCCGCGTTCGGCTTCAGACAACTGATTTTAGTTCATTCGAACTAACTCTTTATAGGGGGTCTGCTGGGCTTCACTTGTACTCACTCCTATCCTCACACTTCTGACTCATCCACCACGACTTTGCAACACACCTTGAAAGGCCTTGACATGCTCGTGTACCAGGCCTTAAAACGCTTCACTAGTTCCGTGAAAGTGACACATGCCCTCGATGATCACCTATTCCAGGATGAGTGGGAGGGATACTTGGATGACAAGAGGGACCGCACAGCCACGGGGGCAACGCAACCTTCCTATGCAAGCCTCGCTACCATTGGAACTTCCATCCGGGGCCCCATCGCCTTGGATGGTCTCGGAGACGGCTATCCGGATCCTGAAGAGCTGCACTATACTGATTACAGCGGCGGCGATTATTACGGTGCCGATTATTCCTGCGACCATATAGACAGGACAGGTGACATGGCGTTTACTCGGGATCACGTCACATGGCTCAACCACCATCCCCAAAAGACAACACCTCGAGAACTTGCCGTTGCATTTCTTGTTGTAAGTGTAATGCCCAAATGCATGGCCGGTTGCGATTTACAACGACGCTAATGGTTTGCACAGTACGGGAACGAGCCTGGAATAAATGTGTACTACTCAACAGCGGTTATTGTTGCCGACTTCCGTAAATCATCGACCCCCGAGGTCAATGAGGCCATCGAGAGCAACGAGCCCACAGAAGCCACAGAGGCCGCTGAGTGAGACCAGCGAGGCATGGTGTGATGTGGAAGGAGTGTATGCAACCGGCACGCGTGATAGATATGAGGCTTTGATGACTTCTCGTAAGGAATCCGGAACTCTCTCCTGGCGATGGCGAGATGACCGGCTAGTCAGGTAGCTACCGTCGAACATATTGGGAACCAACTATTACTTCCAGTCGCTTCGGTGTTTGTTAGATACTTAGAAAAACTACACATACTGGGAGAAATGATTGAACCACGCCCCATCACGGCAGTAATTGACCGCCGCCATCAGCATTTTGTTGTGTCCGGCGTGACACAAATCAACGGCGCCACCAATGCTGAGCCCTATGGTTGCAATTAGGCTCCCCGGTTGGCGCTTGTTATTTTTAACCATCAGCTTGCTCGGCCACGCTTCCGAAGGGACAGGGGAATCGGCGTCATTTGTTCGATACTAATACGCCACCGAGGAGCACCTCATGCCGCGCGGTATACCTTACTTGCCCCTACTTTACCTTTGGATCATTTAGATTGAAGTTCGCCGCAATGCTATCGCCGGACATCCGCACCCCGATACCTTCTTCGTGTCATGCGACCTACCGAATATGACACTGATGTCTCGCAATTTCTTTTTCTTGCTCGTCGTTGGGGCAATCCAGGCCGCCGCAACACCATACAATGCCACTGTTCTCCTCACCCAACTCAACTCTACCCTTAATGGCCGGGTCCAACTTTCTAAGCCACTCGCAGCGCCGTGTTTTTCCGAGCCAAGCGGCGCTCCTTGCCTCGCGGTGAAGAAGCAACTCAAGGCCCCACTGGGATTTTATCACAGCAACAAGTATCAAGGGTTTCAGTACATGCAAGGAGAAGCGTGCCTTGCCGATCCGAACGATCAATGCCTCCTCGAACCAGGTACACTCGACACCCCTGGCAACGCTTCCTGTAACCAGGGACTAGTCTCGTCTCTCTACGTCGAGATTAACGGGGCTACTGACGTGCCGAAAATATTCGAATACGCACGAACGTCAGGTACAACCTTATCCATCAAAAACAGCGGCCACGATTATGTTATGCGCAGCAGCCGCCGTGGCTCACTAGCAATCTGGACCAGGGGGCTGCAAGGGAAAAGGTTCCATGCGTCATTTACCCCCGCGGGCTGTTCGAACAGTCACCGAACAACGGCCATCACGTTTGGGGCGGGCGTAAACACTGACGAGGCAGTCACCTTTGCTCACGACAACGGCTTCGTCTTCGATGGGGGTAGTGCCAGTACCATTGGTGTTTCAGGCGGGTGGCTCCTCAACGGCGGCCACAGCGTGCTCTCCAACAATATCGGTCTGGCCGTGGACCGTGTGGTTCAGTTGACCATTGCTACTGCGGACGGGAACATTCGAATTGCCAACCAGTGCCAAAACTCAGAGCTGTTCTGGGCCCTCCGTGGTGGCGGTAGCGGTTCCTTCGGCGTCGTACTTAGCTCCACGTTCCGAGTCGATCCGGAGACCCGTATCACGGCTGCTATTTTGGGATTTGAAGCGAACCCGGATGTCCAAAAACGATTCGTGGAGATTCTTGCGGAGAACATGCCAAGCTGGGCCCTGGAAGGTTGGGGCGGTCCCGTAGGGCCAAACCTCGCGATTCTCGTCAACCCTCGCAGCGATGTGGACGTCTCAACGGCGGACAAGACACTCGCCCCTTTGGTGGCACACACTTTGGCACAGCATGGAAAGGCGGCTATCACATCATACAACAGTTATTATGACTTCTACAAAGCCGTTATCAACGGCACTCATGCCGCCATAGTCCCTGTGAGTGTGGCTGTCATGGTTACCAGCCGGGTTATCCCCGAGACCGTCTTCGTCAACGATACAGCGCGAGCGAGTATGGTTGATGCGATTATGGGCTTGCAGAAGTCGGGATTGGCTGTGTCCATGTTGTCAACTATGCCATTTCTCTACGGCCGCCGTCAGACCCAACGGATGACATCGGTCCATCCGACATGGTATCGCTCTGTATGGTCTGTGGTCGCTTATGCTATGTGGAACGCCGATAGCTCTTTTGAAGAAAGGCAGAAGACGGTCACACTGTTGCAAAAAGAGACTCAAAGTCTGAAGCAACTCGCCCCTGAGGGATGCACCTACGCCAATGAGGGTTATGCTTGGCTTGCGGGCTGGTCGCAAGAGTTCTGGGGCGAAAACTACGATGCTCTGTTGGAACTCAAGAAACGCTATGATCCATACCGACTTTTGAGTTGCTGGCATTGTGTGGGATGGGACGAATCACACCCGAACTACGAGTGCATCTCAGGGCTGGCTCCGAGGGTCAACTGATCGGCGATATTGGTAGCATGGATCGCGCTGTATGTGTTGGAAACGACACTCAGATCGAAAGATGGGGAGGAAGAATTCATTGATTGTTTTTTCTGCTTCTGATCCGAGGAAGAGAAATCAGGCTATATATACTTCATGCTATGATTTGCCACAGCATGCCACAGTGGCGATGGGCAAAGTGTTAGCATTGAGCCACCCTGAGAGATCAGTTGCTGGTATCCACCAGAAGATTCCATGTGGCGAATCCAACAGTATGATGCCTGATGGGAGGATACCAGATATGATACCATGGACTTTTCCTTCTACATTTAGAGTTTCAGTAACCACGGCCGAGCCACAAGTGTTCGGAATCGGGCATCTCGGCCCTAGAAACTACAGTCTGTTGACAGGTGCGACGTTGCCTGAGTAAGTTATCAATCGCCCTTAACCCTGCGCTTTCGGAACAAGATATGTGCTTTCATGTCTGGTGCCAAAGACCCATTAGGCATCGAAAACCGCTTGGGCTTCTCCGCTCCCGGTGGCAACTTGATATCGTAGTTCATGAGTAGATGAGCAAGCACAATCTTGAGTGTGTTCCCAGCAAAAGCCCTTCCAGGGCATGCTTGCAGGCCATCCCCCCATCCCGGAGAATCTGCTCCGAGACTGGTAAACTGGTGCATGTCTTCGTGGCCGGGCTGCTTTCGAAGCTTCAAGAAACGCATCGGGTCAAAGATGTGGGGGTCTCTCCACAGGGCCTTAGATATCCCAATGTGATACGCATCGACACATATGAGAGACCCAGCCGGGAGCCTTGGTCCAACAGACAGCTGAACTGGCTGCTTCAGCCTTCGGAAGAGCGTCACTGTGCCAATTATTAGCCGGAGTGCCGAAGCTGAAAATAAACGTCACTCACAGTAGCCAAAAGGGTGAACGCGGGATGATTCGCGCATGAGACTGTCAAGCTTCTTCAGTTCCCCCAGGCTTGTCCGGGGTAGCCGGCCATCTGCCATGTTGTGGGATACTTCTGCTCGGAGTTCCTCTATCAAGGCGGGTCGAATCACCAGTTCAGATAATATCATGTAAAGCGTTCCCGCCATGGAAGGTGTCGACTCGAATGAAGCCACGATTAAATCGTGTGCCACCTGCCCCGGGGTAGCCTCGTCAACCTTGTACCGTGACAGGAGCCACTTGGTCATTGGGAAGCTTCCGTCGGCTTTTGCTGGGATGAAGGTCTTGTCACCATTATCCACGGTAGAGCCGTGGCTCTTGAGTTCGTGTCGTATTATGGGTCGCAAAAGCCACTTCATGTAATAGTAAAAACACCATGCCGGGGTAAACACAATCGGCGAGACCACGAGACGAATGATGCTGGGAACGGCGTGGGAGGCAAATATGGCGCCCATGATTGCAATAACGAACCGCTGTAGTGCCTTCAACCATCTAAAATCCATCCCGAGCTTCGGGCCGACAAGTCCGGTGGCGTTGGTAATGGCGATCAGGTCGATGGAGGTTTGAAATAGGGGCAAGGTTTTCCACTCCGAACATGGGCCTACAGCCAGTTCAAACGCCCGTCGCGCATGCTGTTGCCGTTCTTGGACTTGTGACGGAACGGCTCTGGCGAGGTCTACACCGATCGTTTTGTAAAGACTGCTCGACTCATAACCGAGGAACCGCCACCCTTGAAAGAAGACGTGCGTAAACCACTCAATCATGGATGCCTGTGAGGCCGGAAGACGTTTGACCTCGTCGAAGCTGGATGATGGGTAAACGACGTATTCATAACCGGAATATGCGAGAATGTATGGAGCGTCGGGATAGCGTCGTGCGCCTTCTTTCAGCAACGCTGCGTAGTCCCATCGGTGAACACCCTTTGGCCGCTCCAAAACGGGCAATCCATGACGGCGAAGCGAAGTAAATCGTAAAATAACTCGGTCCAAGAGGCTAAGTGCACTGAAGATTGCCACGGCCAAGACGACAAATTGTATTGTTTTGTTGTGGTGTTTTTTCCAGTCCTGCCAGCCCATTCTGGCGTCGTGCCATGCTTTTCGTATTGTTAACAGAGCCAGTTCAGACCTGCTCAGTCGAAGCATGGCCATGGATTCCCGGATCACCATGTATTGTTCAGAGATTTCGGCATATTTTTCTACCACTGCTTGCCACATTGTGAGAAAATAGTGCCTGTCCCAAGAAAGTCTGGAGGACGAATGATCATTTAAAGGGCCTAGTCCATTCGTTGTTGTAATCAGCGGATCCTGCCCAGGTGTAATCTCAAAAGTACAAAAGAATTACCGCCCTAGCTTACTGCCACGTGCAAGGGGTTGTTTGTGTTCCGAGGGCCCCTCGGAAACTGCTCCGAGTGGATAACAAATAAGTCGGCCTTTTGTATGCCCCCTGGCGCGCCAAACGCTGGGAAATATATCTTACCTTCCATATTTACCTCCAGTGAAAGGTACACCCAGTCTTACTTTTTGCCGACATTCCCGAAATGTGGAAACTACTTCTCTTCCTGGTGCCACTCGTCTTGCCGGGCACCGCTGCTCTTGTATCGCGTGGTTCGGCGGGGCAACGGCCAATCGACCGCTTCTCCGTTAACGATGAGACAAGGTGTAAAGTCAGCCATGTGACGAGATACGACATGGCGAGGAAACGGAATCCTGTATTCTTCTCCACCAGCCCCCTGGATGACCTGGAACAACCCAGTATCGAGCCGATGAACTCGACGGCTGGAGAACAGTGGGAATTTGACGGGGTCTCGGAAGATGGCATGCAGGCATTCGTCTTTGGGTTCTACCGGGATCCCAACTTCTCCTTCTTCGGAGCTGGCAATTTACGCGTGTACGCCGAATTTGCGTTTGCTAATGGCTCTCGTTATGCGATAGTGGACTATGCCGAGGAGTCGACCATCGAGTCTTGTCCGCACACAGGCACGCGCGGGATTTGGAAAGCTGACGACTGGGCTTACATGTTTGAGATCTCAGCCGACATGTCGCAGACGAGGATCACCGTTAGCAACCCAGAGGCTGAGATTACAGTTTTGATGGCGTCTATATCGCCTCCACGGTATGCTGATGGCAGCCCGTGGCCATCCGCCACTGCCAGTTTGCTTACAGTACCTCATTTTTACTGGACCGAGCCTGTCCCCGTGGCCGAAGTGGCCGTCGATGCCACGATCTACGGCGAGACGTTGTCATGGTCGGGAATGGGCGGGCATGAGCGTCTTTGGGGGGCTTTCAACTGGTTTACATGCCTCAACAGCCTCCTAGTAGCTCGGTTACGCGCCGGGCCATTTGCACTTTCATTTCTGGAGTTTGAGTCAGGGCAACAACAAGCCCTTCTTGTCCCGTCAATCGTCCTGGCTGAGAACGGGAAGCACATCTTCGGGACTCGGAGAACAAAGAAGTCTGAGACGGAGGATTACGTTCGGGTTCGAAAGTTGTATGCGGGCCAGGGAATTACCACCGAAGCACTGGGAGATAAAGTCACTGGCATGGAGCTGGTATTGGTATCCCCGAGCCGCAACCGACGGTGGGGATTTGTTCTCACGCACAAAAATCTAGCGTTTGAGTATAACTTGGGAAGCGGCCGAGGAGGTACTGCTTACGCCGGCATGGCGGTGGGTGGCGTGACCGGGGAAACTGAGTTCACAGGGCCGGCATTCTCTGAGGTTATGAGATTTCCGGCGCGGTCTATGCTCTTGAGCAAGAATTTCGTCCGCTGAATCGCATCCTACCTATGTTCTCTAAAGCTCAATTTGAGGAAGCGCCGTCCGACTCCCCGCCATCCTTTATGTGGTACACAAGCTTTTCTCCCGAGACAGTTCCTTTCCTGAGAATCTCGATTCCTTCTAGTATTGCACCAAACCCAACCTTTTCCCCCACCCTCGCGGGGTGAGGCTCGAGGTCGCCGTTGTCCAAGAGCCGTTGCGCACACATGAACCAGTCCCTAGCAAAGAGGCGTAGCTCTGGCCTTGCCTTTATGGTGTAAGGTGCTTTCCAATTCACATCCTTACCAAGAAGCGCCGGACCGAGTATCCAGTTTGGCCTGACTCTCTTTCGGGTGTGCAATTGCTCTGGGTAGGGCTCGAGCGTCGTGTAGCGCCCGCCTGCACGGCCTATCGCCGCGTAGCAATATTGCATGCTTGAAGCGTCACAGTGGCAGTCAAGAGCGTAATCCAGAGCATTCTTTGTGTACGCCCTGATACCGGCGGCACTACTTGGGTCGTGATAGTCAAATGCCTTCTCGGCACCACGGCTCTCGACTAGGGCAAAGTTCTTTGGCGAGCATGTGGTGATGGGTATTAAACCGGACCTGTCTCGGTCAGTTTCGCGATAACAGTCATTATAATTGATGGTCACTTACTTGAGTATTAACTGGATTGCAAGCGTACCGGACGCGGTGCTGCCGCCATAGACTAGAACATACTGTGGCGTCGTCGCTGGAGAGTCTGGATGTCCGGGTACCTTTAGGGACTGGAATAGGGCATAACCGATGGTCGCAACACCAATGCCGAGGGTTGCGCCAGAGTCGAGGGATATGCCATCGGGGAGCCTCAGGGCACAATCGGCAGTGGCACCGACATATTCTGCAAAGGCTCCAATCCGGGGAGTCGCGGGATTCATAGGTGTGATGGCGGCGCAAACCCGGTCACCGACAACAAACTTGCCCGGGGGCACGGCAGAGCCGACTGCAACAACAACTCCAGAGCAATCACTGCCAGCTATGGCACCCTCCACTGCCATAGCCTTAGTGAGCTTAACATCCACGGGGTTGACCGCCACAGCTACTGTCCTTACAAGGAGCATATCAGGCTCTACTTCGGGGACGGGGACGCCATGAGCAACGGTCAGACTCCCCAAATGGTCAGCAATAATTGCTGTTTGGCTATCTGGAAGTGGCATTTTCTTTTCTGTTGCTTTATGACTGACACGGAGTATGAGCCAGAAACACAGATCACAAGATTCCAGAACCAGTATTGCCAAAAAGTTCCAGTCATTTTTTTGGGCTATTATTATCACGGCCCGGCTACTTGCAAAGTAAGCATGCCTTGCAACTAAGCATGCCTTGCAGCTAAACATGCCTTGATGAAACAATGCCGGTTGGTTGTCTCCTGTATCCGCTTCAGGATCGGGATCGGGATCGGGATCGGGATCGGGGTCAGAACCGGGGTGGGGCCGTTGGCTGCTGAACGGAGTCCGATATCCCAGTCGTGTCCAATCGGATGTCCACTGTGCGACCCGCGGCTGGGGCTCCAACACTCCCGCGTGTAAGCTTAACTGCTTTGGTCGCATCAGGCAACAACCCGTTATTTAGCTAGAGCGTAAGACGATCTCAACATCGAGCATCGAGCCGCCATTGAGGGAAGGAAGTACATACATATTACCTCTCTGAATAACGTGGTGTGTCATGGGGAAACTTACGTGTACATGCATGCATTTCTACATCCACTTCCTTCCGTGTTACTGTGCTCCATTCCCGCCCACGAACGAAAGAGGAAGAATCGCCGGCTGTTTGCGGCGTTCGAAATTGGTTTAATGTGCTGCAGGCTGAGGTTGGATGGCATATTCCGCTGTGACACCGTCGAAAGTGACAGAAGTGAGTGAAATGAGCACCATGTACTGTGTAAAAAACGGGACGCGACTGCCCCGCATTTGGTCAGGAAACCCCTTCCTGTGTTGGTTGCCTTAAGGCTGTTGTTTTGCGAGCCCCTTGCTGGGACGAACCTGGAAGTTAATGCGTTCGTCCCAATGAAGCGGAGGGGGGAATGCCTGGTGGGCCAGTGACTGGATGGGCCAGCGAGGGCCTCGCAAGCTGTACCACCACCACAAGAGCAAAGGCAATCTGGCTTTTCCTTGGTTGCCAGAGGTTTGCGTCTGGCACATTCACACAACATTGAACTTAACCCACATTCCACAGAGAGCCGCCCACACCTCCCGAGCCCCAACCGCACACCAAGTGGCCAAGCTGCAGGATTTCCACGCTAACTGAACCAAACGATGTCCTCTCCGAAAGAGCTCTGGTGGGCAGCACGCAATCCCCCATCTGACCCTCAAAACCTCGACTTCAAAGACAAGGCAGTCCTCGTTACAGGCGCCAACTCGGGTCTCGGCCATGCTGCTGCCATCAAATACGCCGCCCTCGGCGCCAACCCCCTCATTTTGGCTGTACGATCACAACAGAAAGGAGAAGAAGCCAAGGCCGATATCATTCGCGCTACAAAATGCTCTCCCGATATCTTCGTGATCGAGATCCTCGAGTTGACAACTTTTGCGTCGGTCAGAGAATTTGCCGACCGCGTCAACGCCCGGGTGCCGCAGCTCCACGTCGTCCAGCTCGCCGCCGGAATCTCAACACCAGGTTTTGAGAAAAGCCCCGATGACTACGAGATGGGGCTGCAGGTGAATGTGCTCTCGACAACACTTTTGGCGTTATTGCTACTGCCAAAGCTGCGCGAGACTGCGGTCGCCACCACTGCCGGTCCGGATGGCTTCATCCCGCACATGTCCTTCGTCAACAGCATTGCCCACCTCGAAGTCAAGCCTGAATGGATTGCCGATGGGGATACCTTGCTACAGCGGATACAAAACCAATCCAAGTTTGACAAAGTGAGCCAATACTATTTGATCAAGCTTGCTGGCATGTTTGTCCTGCGGGGGCTCGTCGAAAGAGTTGGGAGCGAGAGATTGGTAATCAACGCCACCTGTCCCGGCATGTGCAAAACCAACATCGGGCCGCAACCACCCGCTCGTCGAGCGTATTTTCATGGCCATCTTCTACGTCTTCCTGGGCCGTTCGGCAGAGCAGGGGAGTCGGTCCATGGTCAGTGCCACCGGTCTGGGTCCCGAAAGCCATGGAAAGTTTTGGGTAAATGACAAGTACCTCCCGTAAGTATTCCTTCGCATTGAATCGGCTCGTATTATTCTAATTGTTGCCTCAGACCGAGCCAGTTCATGGAGAGCGAACGTGGCAACGAACTGTATCGAGAGACATGGAACGAAATTTTGAGCATTCTCCGCAGTCACGTTGACCGTGATACCATTTAGGGAGTGACAAGAAGAAGTGGATCATCTACCTCGGGTTGTAGGACATGGGAGAATATTTAGTTTGAAGCTTGAAAATTGGCCATCCCAGACGCTACCTAGTAGTCAAGTTCATTCTTAGTTCTGTGACTTGAGTTGACGATTCCACACACTTCTTAAGACAAAAGGCTTTACACCTGTACAACGATCAAATCCACGTAGACTACCTAATTCTTCTCCTTGAACAGCAAAGAAAGTCCAGTATTGGGCATGATATTGTGGTGCCGCTCAATGTTTGCTGGCCGGCTCTCCACGCCCTCGGGATACTTGAATTCGTAACGGGTCAAAAGCCGGATGAACATCAGCTTCATGACGTCCTGGGCTAAGAATCGACCCGGGCAGGCATGTAAGCCGCTCCCAAATGGGAGCATGTCTTCTGAGATTGATGCAAAATGGAACTTGTTCGGATCGATCTGCTCTCTCTTCCGCAGAAACCGCTTCGCGTCGAAGGTCTCAGCGTTCTCATGCAGGTCAGGGTCTAGGCTGATGAGCTCGTTTGGCATCGCCATTTGAGTACCGGCAGGTAGGTGAAGACCGTCCTTGAACGTGAAATCCTCTACTACCATTCGCTGAAGCGTCACTGTACGTCGAGTTAAAACGGAGGCTTGGAACAAGAATGCCTTTCACTTACGCTGCTGCAATGTGTGGACCCGCTGACTCTCTTTCATGAAGCTGTCCATGATGCGAAGTGCGGCCAGGGATTGACGCGTCCAGCTGCCATATTGCATGAATACCTTGGAGATCTCCTCCTGGATTTCTGCCAGACACTCAGGCCGATCCATCAAGTCATAAAGAATCGACAGAGCGGTGGCGGCGCTGCTGTGAATCGACGCAATCGTAATGATGAACTCATCTTGGGCAAGTTTATCCGGGGTCAGAGTCGACCCAGTAGAATGGTATGCGTCAAGGATCCACTGGATACCATCCTCGTGTTCCACTTTTTCTCCCTTCCCCCGTGCTTTGTACTCGGCTTTTCTAGCCTCCAGGATCGGCCGCAGGAGATTTCCGGCACGTTTCCGGTACCTGTAAACGTCTTTGACGTCCCCATCAAAATACTTTGCCAACCAGCGAGTCCAAGGATGGTACCGAACTCGAACACCATGAGATGCCTTGAACGCGCTGTTGGTGAAGCCAAGAATGATATCCTGCCACTCTTGACTGTCACAGAGCTCAGGCCCAACCAGGGACCGCGCAGTGATGCGAGAGAATACGTTTAGCAGGAACTGGTATGTGACAACCGGAGTCCAGTCTGGTAAATATTAGCAGATGGGGACACTCATAGTCGAGAGCGAGATGAAAACAGGGGCACCTTTGCACGGTGGCATCAGTTCCTTGTAGGCTTCAATGCACTTCTTGTTCATGTCGGGTATCAACTCAGCTACAAAAGCTTTAGATTCCATGTTTGCATTGGAGCTCGGAAGTACAAACTTAGTGCCTTGGTTACATCGTGCCGAACCACAAGGATGGCTTCATCCGTCATCTTGGGGCCTCCGATATCATTGATGATGGTTGACTAAAATCATTAGTCCGGTTCTTGTCCGGAAAGTAACAGGGCACCTACTTTCTCGAGCGACAGGGGGAAGCTCAACTTGGTTTGTGGAGCGCTCCTGACCTCCTCTAAGTACTTAGGAGGGAGGATGACGAGCGGGCTCAGGAAGTCAACATGGTTGAGCATCGAAAAGGGCTTGCCTTGTTTGATATACTGTTTTTGCGTTAGAGACACTGGATTCACTTTCTCATCGTTAAACACAGCCACCCACCTCGGCGTAACCCTTTCTCATTAAACTCCGTGTGTCGTTCAGATATCTGAGCAACGAGTTGTCGCCCTCAAATTGAAGGTAAGGTATGTCAAGCTTTGGGCCCGATGCCCGCACTCTCAATACTAGCCATGCAGCCGCGGCAACAAGGACGGTGGAGACAAGAGCTACGGACATGATATCCGAGTACCGTTTGGTGCAGTGTATCCCAGTATTCCAGTTTATGGTGAGTCGAAAGCTGAGGTGAGGTCGACTGACTTGGCAGTGCAGCAGCGCCCGTTTGCAAAGCCAGGTGAGGATGGGGACGGTGCTGGCGTTCACAACCAGCTTCTTCAGAAACGGGAGGTACCAGTACCTTGAGCGCCAAGGGGCCACGGCTCGCAGTTGAAGTAAATGTTGGCTCCCTACTTAGCCGAAATGTGCAGTGACACAGTGTGGTGACACGGAGGGCGCAGCATCCCAATGGTGCGCGTTCAGACGCAAACAGCAGCCACAACTGCAACCAAATTACGAGTCCCCCCTCCGATTGGGCCTGGCCCCAGGAGGTTGCAGTTGTATTACCATGTTTAAAGGGGCCTGCACATTGGTGTCTTGGGGTCAGGGGCGGCGGGCGGCGGGCGGCGGGGCTGGAGCCATTCTTGATCAACTCAAGGTGTTGTGTTCAGCCAATGGACAAATGCAGTCAAAACTCCCTGCGAGGGATTCAAATTGTTCGTGTCAGAGGTACCGGTTACCGGTTGTAGCAGGCCAGCAGTTATTCCCTTCCTCCCACAGTAAAGAGGCCTCTCGGGAACGCTGGCTATCTCCCTGGGAGTTGATAAGCTACCTAGTTTTGTAGTCGGTGATTGCAATGAAACCAGCAAGGTTGGCCTGTGGTGTAGTGGTAACATCAACGGTGCGGTCGGGTTGTTAACACCCGAGGTACGTCGGTACCTACATAGATGCCGCGGTCCCCCGGTCTTGTAAGTATACCTGGGCCCGGCCTCACCAAGGCCCCCGCTTCGAAACTGGCAAGTGCCGTGGGCTTGGTTTTTTATCTCATATATTTTTGATTTTGAGCGAGCCGAGGAAAATGGTATTACAAAGCGTCATGCACGTAAGTTTGTTAAGTCAGTCCCCAGAAACGGGGCTTAGAGCCACCTCACCCACCGTTGAAGAGACGGGGGTTATCACATCAACTGATATGGCTGCAGGTACCAAAATAATTAATATGGAAACCGTCAACTACCTCACCACAACCTACATGTAACTACTCTAAACTGTCCCCAGCAATCGCGGAAACAGGACCCCCCCTCCCGTTGCGGAGCGTTCGAGATACAGAGCCAGTAAGGGATCCATGCCCGCGGCTGTTGCGAGTTGTATCCATTCAGAAATTGAGACAACCCTAAATGGTTCTCCGTTTTGGCGTCCCAAAATCGATTCAGCGTCGTTCGTTGCAATTTCAATCTCGCCCGATTCGTGAAGATACTGAACTTTGGATTCCTGCTTTCGAATGCTTCTGGACATTTCCTCAATGATCATCCGAGCCGTAGTCTCGACCGAAACGAAGTCAAAGTAACCCCCTTTCGCACCCAAATAGGGCATTGCGTTGATCTGTTGGGCGTATTGGAGGAGGTTGCTCATGAGATCGGTTTTGGAAGCGCCTGATCCCGTGATACTACTTGGGCGATGTATCCAGACGGGGAGGCCAAAGTCATTGCTGGCATTCTCGAGATAGACTTCGGATACCCATTTGGAGGCTGTGTAGCCGTCTGCTTCCTGTGACGGAGGATATTGCCTCACCGAACCCGGCCTAAAGATGCTCTGTCCGACCAGCCGCCCAACTGTGGCTGATGAAACGAAGTGGAGTGAAATATTCCGAGGGGCACAAAAACGGACGAGTTCCTTTGTTGAGGCCACGTTGACTAGTCGAAGGCTCGGGTATGACTTGAGGAATGACACGTCTGCTCCAACATGCAGAACAACGTCCGCGGTAGAGAAGATCTCCCGGGTCGAACCTTCGCGAAGTCCTAGTTGACGGTCTCCGAGATCTCCAAAATGCAACGAGACTTTGGTGTTTGTGAAAAGGCTTGGTAGCCGTTCCTTGGTTTGTCTCACAGCGATGCAATGTATTCGTGTAACTCGCGTGTCCGCAATGAGCTGACGGAGAAGTTCTTGGCCTAAAAAGCCAGTTGATCCTGTGAGAACAACTGTGCTGGGAAACGCCAAGCTCCCGTCAGCATGATCAATTGGCCTCCCTGCTGCCAGTTCCGCGATGTCCGCTGAGAGCTGGGTCTCATGGCCCCAGTCGACTGGTTTGTTTTGCGATTCGCGGGAGGCTGCTGTTCCACGGTCGAGAAGCATAGCCATCTGACCAAGTGTAGCCGATTCAAACAAACGATAAATGGGCACCGTGATATGGAGGCGCTCCTTGATCAAGCCTTGTAAGTCCACCACCGCGAGGGAGTTGCCCCCTGCCCGAAAAAAGTCGGAGTCGCTGCGAATTCTTCGGTGCCATGTAATCTCGTTTGGTATAACCTCTCTCCACAAACTCAACAGAATCTGTTCGGTTGTGTTGAGGGTGGTAGCCTCGATTGTCGGGGTATAAGCCGACGATGCCTTGATGGGGATCAAGTCCACCGCTGCTCGGTCAATCTTGCCTGAGACCATGGTTGGGAGTTGGTCGACGATGAGGGCCATGGAGGGGCGCATATAAAGTGGAAGAGATAGCTCGTCTGGGAGATTGACCACGTAATCGTCCGGGGCGGGACCAGCGTTATCCCCAGACAGCAACAGGAAGGCCACGAGAAACTCTCCCCCTGTTTCTGAATCCTCTCTCCGGGATACCACCGCCTGAACCACATCAGGTGACATGGCCTCTATTATGGTGTTTTCAATATCGGCCAGATCAATCCTAATGCCTCGGAGTTTGGTTTGGGTGCTGCCGCCGATTCTGCCATGTAGAACTAACCCGCCGTTGGGGTTCAATCGCCCACGATCCCCGGAGGAGTGAAGTGTAACCCAGCGTCGAGACTTCTGGAACTCCGTGGCCCGTTGGTCAACAATAAATGCCTTGGCACCCTCGTCTGGCGGATTCAGGTAACCCGCTGCTACTCCAGCGCCGCCGATGAGAATTTGCCCGGGAATGCCAGCAGGAACTGGTTGAAAATCATCGTCAACGACAACCAACCTATAATTGGGCAGGACCGACATCTCGAGGTTAGAATCGAGGCTTTTGTGGAAGTCTACCACTTTATCTGCGCATCCGATGGAAGCCTCTGTCGGCCCATAACAGTTTATCAGCTGGAGGTCCGCCTTGGTTAGAGACTTGAATACTCCGAGAAGCGAATTGGTCAGGGGTTCGCCCCCAGTCATGGCGCACCGCCATTGTGAGTCACGTAATTGCTGGGTGCCGTGTTTGGCCCAAGAGAGGTACTCGGTCGGTGTTGCGAATGTCATGGTAATACCTTGCGAGGCCACAAGGTCGCACAGCGCTCTTGGGTCCCGCCGTTTGGCAAGATCTGGGATGACCAGGGTCCCGCCGTAGCAAAGACTGGCGAAGATTTGAAGAATGGAAATGTCGAACGCGTAGGCCGATTGTTGGAGAACGGTTAGCTTGCCTTCCGTGATTCCCCATCTGGGAAGCGTAAACTCGAGGAAATTTTGGTACGAATGGTGCCGTATAACCACACCCTTGGGAACACCTGTGGAACCGCTGGTATATGTGATGATGGCGTCGTCATGCGCCTTGGCCTGGTTTGGCACAATGGTGGCCCTAGGATGTTGTAGGTTGGGAAGGGTTGACACTTCCAAGATCAGTGCCTTCGAATTGGACACAAATCCGCTCTGTCCGAAGGTCGATCCATCGACGAGGATAACCTGAGGGATGCAGTCTTGAAGTAATAAGGATAGCCGGCCAATGCCAACATTGAGGTCCAAGGGCACGCCAACCGCTCCCGTGCGGAGAACGGCAAGCAAGGAGCACACCCATGCCGTGCCGGGTATCTGGAAAATGCCCACACGAGACCCCTTTTGCACTCCTCGGGCTGCCAACTCAGTGGCAATACTGTGGACTTTGCGAGCCATGTCTGCATATGTGAGGCTCTCTCCTGCGCCATCAGTCAACGCCACTTTGTTGGCGTGCGCTTTTATCATCTCGTCAATGCGGTCCACGACTGTGGGTGGCCATCGAGAATCAACCTCAGCACCATGTCCTTGTGAAATTCCTAACTTGACGTCCTCCTCGGTATGAAGAGGCGGCCAGCAAACCCTAGCTGCAGGGTTATGGGCGAAGGCTTGAAGAAGGTTGAGGTAACTGTTCTGCACCGCTGCGGCACCATGTTTGTCGTATAAATCCGCGTTGACGGTAAGAGTGATGAGGCTCCCCCGATCATTACTGTCCACGATGTCCAAGCTAACATCATAGGCATTTCGGCCGCCCGATACCAATTCACCCTTGACTTCACAGCCGCAGAACGTGGTCGTCTCTCGGATGTTCTGGCGGTAATTCAAAAACGTCTGGAACAATGGCGTGTGGGTAACTGACCGCCGGATGTCCAACTCACCAAGGAGCACATCAAAAGGAACACGAGAATTTGTGTAGGCGTTTTCAATGATCTTTTGGGCATTCAGCAACGCCTTTGCGAAGGTGACATCTGGTGTTTGCCGGAACCGCAAGGGGAGGAGGTTGAGAAAGAGGCCGAGGCTGCGCGTGGTATCGAGATCCTTCCGATTACCATCCGCCACGCCGATGCAAAGGTCCTCTGGGAAGGTGTTTGCATAACGGGCGAGCACCACAGCAAAGACGGCGGTGAAGAAGTGGAACTGTTTGACCTTAAAATGCCGGCAGGTTTGGATGACCTGCGACTGCAAAACTTCGTCCAGCCGAGTTGTGATCGAGTGCGTCCGAAAGGAGGGCGTGACAAGACGAGTGTGCCTGTGGGAGATAAACAGTAGGGGTAGAGGTTCTGGAATGGTCGCAAACTGCTGCTTCCAATAGTCGATTTCCTGAGACCATGATCCGTTACGGTACTGTTGTATCTGCCTGAGTGAATAGTCCGGGTATTGCAGAACATCGGATGAAGCTGTGTTCAGGGTACCGCTGAATGCTTTTTCTAGCTCCAAAAAGAAGATTTGGAACCCGATGCCATCTAGTATGATGTGATGGTAGCCGAAGATGAGTCGGTGAACTGCTTCCGACAAGGAAAGCAGTGTTATGCGGAGCGTTTCTCCCTTTGACACATCGTACACATGTCTCTCAAATTCCTGCACTATTTCCTCGAGCTGACGCTCGGTCTGAACTGTCGCAGTCTCCAGATGGGGAACCATGATTGGAAGAATCCCCTGCATATGATCCTTAGTGACCTTGTCGGTGTAGAACGCGGTGCGGAGAGCTTCGTGTCGTTGTCCGACAACCTGAACAGCATTTCTCAACCTTTCGATATCGATGCGGCCCTGGAGTCGAAGCACCGATGTGATGTTGAATGCGCTGGGATCTTCAGCGAACGATTGAAGAAACCAAAATCTCGACTGCGCAAAGGAGAGCGGAACCGTTCGTTCGAACATGATCCCCCCATTCTTAAGTTGAGAGCTTTTGCCTTCTAAGCTTGTATCAAATACCTCTGGGGTGTCTTGGAGATGCTGGCTTTGATTATCCGTCTTGGGCGTCATCGTAGGGGAAGGGGGAGTTGTTGCGGTGTTGCTGCTTGAAACGGAGGTGGGTGGGCCGCTGGGAGCTGACAGGTCGCCTAGTTCTTGGTCCATGCCTGAAGGTTCTGCGATAAGGCTCGCTGTGGTTTCCAATGATAGGTTTTGGGCAGCCAAAATTATTTCCCGAATGGACGGGGCATTCAGCAGTCCCAATATGGGGATATCCACGTCGAGTTCTGCGCGGAACCAGGACTGGATGTCGAGGGCGACGAGTGAATCGATGGCAAGTTCGTCAGGACTTAATTCTAGAATCAACTTTTCTTCATCAAAACCTAGGACAGCTTGCAGCTTGTTGATGATACCGTCTGTTGCTTGTCAGATAATGAACTATCTGGAGATTTCTAGGGACTTGCCTTTCAGGATTTCGAATTGTTGCTCGCCCGTGGTAGCTGCCGATAGCCGAGATTTTATTGACACACTTGATCGATCCGTACCAAGCCCAGTATGTTTATCCGACCTTGTTACAAGATGGTGAAACATTGGATTTCTTGCCCACTTTGCTGGGGAGTCTTTAACAGTGTTCTCGAGCCTCAGCCCGGTTGAGATTTCGAATACATCGCCGGAATCTGGCAGACTTGCAAGAACCCCTTCGGCAAAGATCTCGTGGAAATCCTGCTCTGATAGAAAGGAGTACCCGGCCTGATGTAATGCCCGTTGCTTTTCGGGGGTCAGCTCACGGGTTATGTACCCAACGCCGACCACGGCGCCCAGGTGGATCACTGAAGCAGCAAGGCCCCGGCTCCGTCTCTGCGCGGCTAGGCTCGTCATGAAAGCGTTGGCCGCGGAGTAGACGCCTTGCCCGGCATTTCCGGCCAAGTAAGCGACAGAGGAGATGAATACAAAGAAGTCCAAGGAAGGGTCGTCGAAGATCTGATCAAGATGAATACTTCCCTCAATTTTTGGTTTCGTGACTTCTTGCCAGTGGTTGATCGTGAGCTCTGGAAAAACAGCATCTCGCAACACCATGGCCCCTTGGACGACGCCGGCTATAGGCGGCATCGATCCGGTGATTCTGTGGTACACGTTTTGGACGGACCGACTGTCTGTGATGTCTCTGTACCCATGTCAGCTTGATCACGAGTTTGAGCTCCTGTAACTTGCGGCATTACCCACCCATCAAACAATCTCACATTGCATCCCAAAGTGGCCATGGACTTTACCCAACTCCGTTCAATGACGGGGTTCCGGCTGGAGATAGCAATATGCCTGGCGCCGTGTTCCGCCATCCACCTGCAAAGTGATTTTCCCAGGCTGCTTTTAAGACCCACAAGCCAATAGCATTTGTCGGGACGGAAGGCGACCGACTTGCTACTTGGCTGTACTTGGATTTGTGGAGGGATATCAGATTGCCATGACAAGATAGGCAGTCTGTTGGTCGGCATGCAATGTCCTGTGATATCGTGAAGAGTTATGTTGGAGGCACCGAGGGATGTCCAGGTCGGCAGCTTCATTGCTTGGCAACCCATCCATGCGGAGCTAATGTTGTCAGCAACTGGTCGGATGACGTGTGGTGATATGTCGGACCGGGTGAAGGCTTCACTCAACCCGGGAAGGTATATTTGTTGGCAATCCGTGGGCAAACATGCCCGGATTGTAGCACCAATCTCCGTGTTTTTGCCCATGTCCAAGAATATTCCGATTGCCGGTGGAAGTACACGTTTAATCGACCTTTTTGTGTCCAATGGATGAATAAACACCCAGGGACTCCCGATATTCCCAATCGCCCGGTCAGTGGTGACGAGACCCAAGTCGATGCCTCGCGCAGCAGCGATCGTTGCTAAGACATCCCCGAGGTACCGAGGTGGGCTAACGATGAGGATTCCCTTGCCGTTAACTGCCCTGTCGATGATGGACTGGGCATTGAGTTGTGTATGCAAGGCAAGCAGACAGACGAGCGCCTGATCCATGTCGTTCGGAGCCGGTATCGTCCACGCCGACGGCACCGAGATAGTTGATTGCAATGAACTCGACAATGCCAACACTCGTCGCCCTGTCTCTGAAAGCCCAACTGAGAGGAAGAAGGCCGAGGCTGCCGTCCATACAGGTTTCATTACCGAATGAGTAAGTAGAATTTGCCCCCCGAACGCGGATGCCATTGTCTTCACTTCTTCGACGTGAAGTACCGAGTTCCTACTCACGATACCGAGCGTGCTTTTGGCCGCCGCCGCTTTGGTCAGTTGCCGTCGCGCAGCGTTGTACCTTGCATTCCGAGCCTTTGCAAGCCGCATCCGCGGCACCATAACTTGACTATCTCGCACTGTCAACTCCGGTTCAATATGCCAGAGAAAATCAGTCGGGAGATTCATGCTTTCCCAAAGACCGTATGCTTCAAGTTGTAAAAGCTTGGTTGCGATTACCTGGGTGTCGATATCCGCTTCTCGTTCGAAGTTAATGATCTGCATCCGGACATGGGGTAGTTCAAGCGCGAGTGTTCTTTGGAGGCCGATGAACATCGCCTTGTTGGGGTTGGTCTCTTGGGCGCCGGCTGTCACCCAGATGACTATTTTGCTGCGGTTGAAGATGGTTTGCAGGGCCGATAAATCACGACCTTTCAAGTCCTGGAATATCGACACTGCTCCTAGATCGACCATACAGACTACGGTCGATGACAGGGGAACGTTGGCGGTTCCTATTCCATGGAGTGATGGTATGAGATCGATGGTGTTGTAATGCTTGACGGCGGTCTCGGCCAGTGTCCTAGATGCTGTATGCTCTCCAACAATGACGACGCAACCAAACCCATATGATTTAATCGTCGGATTCAGGGGTTCGATGAGAAGCTTTACTCGGTCGTCCACAGCTTGTGTGACCATTACCGAAAGAGGAACAGGAAGGTCTTTGCTGTGGGAAGCGATGGTGTGGATGCTAGAAAAGCCTGACTTGCGCATAAGATCCCCCCAAGCCGGGATGGAGACGCATGGGGAGAGTTTCCGATCATCCGCGTCTCCAAGCCACCAACCGGGCATGCCTCCAAATATGAGCCCCAATCTCAATGGAGTATTGTCTGTCACCTCTAGTATGATGAGGTAGCCGCCAGGTCGGAGGAGCCTTCTGGCATTGGACATGGTGGCCAAAAGGTTACGTGTGGCATGCAGCACTAGGGATGCTACCACCACGTCATAGGCCATTTCGGTGAATCCTTGATCCGCAACCGGCTTCTCGATGTCCAGGGTCTTGAACATCATTTTCGGCTGATGGGACGCAAATTGTGCCCGGGCTTCAGGAAAAAAGCCGCTGGAAATGTCGGTAAATGTATACGACCCAATAGCGTGTCCAACCGCCGCGAGGACCGAGGTTGTGGCAGCTCCAGTACCAGCACCTAATCGAGTGTGTCAGCGCGAATGCTCTGTAAAAGCCTAAGGCGGAATTGAACTTACCAATTTCCAAAATGTTGAGGTTAGCAAATCTGTGAGACACATGGTGCATCACACGACATATCTCCCCGAGATACTCCCTCATACCCAAGGCATCTTGGTAGTACTTTCGTAAGAGACCGTTGTTGGTGATCGTCTCGAGAAGATTCAATTCTCCACGAAGGGCCTTGGGTAAACCTTCACCGACAGCCCGAAGTATCTCCAAGTCCGTGTTGGTTGTATGCCTAAAATGACATTTGATGAGTAAATTAACTTGCGGGGGCAGGTAGTCAATGTTGTCTCACTTCTGTGCGAGAAAGGAAATACCATCTTCTGTATCCTCCTTCCACTCCCGTCTAACCCACCGGTGTTCGCCACCATCAACGCTTTCCAAGCAGGAGTCCGCGTAGTCCAGAAGACGGAGGTAATTCCACGGCAACCCGTTTCTGCTTTTGGGTGGAAAAAGTGCTGCTAGCTTTCGAAGATAGAAGTAGGCAACTCTTTCCAACAACAGCGCCAAATCTCGGTAGCTTGAGCAGACAGGACCGCTCCAATGAGTCGGTGAACTTTGAAGTGTTTCTGGGCCCCAGGACGTTTCGATAAAGAGATTCACATCGTTTTCTGGCGATGGGGGATCCAATGCTACACCGTGAAGACCCTGAAGCTGGAAAATGATACCATTGTCATAGGATGCCTGAATATCGACGTCTCCAACAAACTCCCCGCCGTGGTAAGAGTCAGCAGATGCAGCAAAGGCGAAGGAAGAGTCGGGTTGATGAGATTCTGCCAGCCAGCCGGCCATCGTTACCCTTATCAAGTCGATTTTGGTAGGTAGATAGACCGAGCGAAGTCTCCCATCACCTGGGTAGCTGTACGCAAGTAGAACAGCCTGCAAAGCACAGTCTAAAACACCAGGATGAGCTATTGCAAATCCATCCTTTCTGGCGTCTGGCGGAAATGCGATGGAACCAACCGCCTGGTTCAACTTTCTGCGGGTATGCTTCAGGCTTCGAAAGGCTCCTTCGTAACCGTAACCTTTCTCGCTTGCCCAGTCGTAGAATCTCTCCGGGTCGACATCCACAAACCCGCCTATGTCTTGATCCGGATTGGGGACCGGAAGAGACTTCACTGGCCCATTTCGGATCACCCGAATCCTGCCTCTCGCGTTTTCCACCATCTGGTTCGACCGTTTTTCAACAGCCTCGGAATGGAAGATAAACTCTGCATCCAGCCGTTCAGGATTATCCTCAAGTATTTTGAGAGACAATGCCGTCTCGATTGACGTCCCATTGTCTGGGAACATGATGGCTTTGCCGATGTGAATATCGGCAAGCTCAACCAGTTCCTTTTCCTCGGGGTAAAGTTGGGCAATGGCCTCCAGCGCAGAGGAAATGTAAGCGGCGGCCGGGAAAACAACCTGGCCTTGGATTTTATGGTGTGAGAGCCACGGTTGTTGTTGAGGGCTCGAGTAGTTCCTGAACTTGATCTCCTGCATAGTCCCATCAGGGCATATGGTTCCGAGCAAGGGATGCGGCACATCCCCGCTCGTTAGGAAAGCTTTCGTGTACCGCGTCTCATGCCAATATTGGCGATCATGGTCCCATGTGTATGGTGGAAGGTTCTTGAGGACCTTCGGCTGTGCGGCGAATGTGCCGTGCACAGATGATTCGAACGCGGCAAAATCGACGGCGGAATCACCGATAATTTCCCAGAGTGAGCCCAGGCATTCCGCAAGAGACAAGGTGTCGTGCTGATTACGAACCAGGGTCGAGATGTAGGGGACGTCTTGCCCCGTAATTTCTTGCAGGATGTCGGTTGTCGGACGCTGCAGAACTGGATGTGGCCCAACCTCGACCACAGCATCAAAGGGACCATAGACACCCGTCGCATACTCAGTAGCCTGCAGGAAGCGCACCGGTTTGACCATGTTATCGGCCCAGTAGCTGTGAGCCAGAGAATCCAAACCGATCCTGTCAGCTGGTTCTGTTATCACGGTCGAAATCCAAACCGGACGATTTCTTGGGGGCTGTTGGACGGATATCTGGGCCGCTTCCAGCGCCTTTTCGTATGGATCGGCATATTGTTTTATGCGGGGCGAGTGATAGGCTTGGTTGACTTGAAGAATCCGAGCAAACTTTTCTTCGTCTTCAAGAATTTCCTTTGCATCCCGAATGGCATCCGAATCCCCAGAAAGAGTAACACTCGAGGCGGAGTTGTAAGCTGCTATAGTGATCTTGCCGTGCAACGAAGGCAACTCGCAAAGCTCTCGGGCGTCCTGGTGAGAAGTGCCAACCGCCAACATTTGACCTGAAACGCTATTCATGTCAAGAAAAAAGCCTCTGTAATAAGCGATTCGGATCGCAGACTCGGCCGTAAGATACCCAGCCGCATAAGCTGCGGCAATCTCCCCCGACGAATGCCCAACGACTGCTGTAAATTTGACCTTGGCAGCCATGAACAAGTCGACGAGTGCCACTTGCACAGCAGTGCAGAGTGGTTGTGAGATGGCAGCATCCCCCAAACGAGAACTTTCGCGATCCTTGAACAACTCCTCGCATAACTTCCAGCCGGGGGCGTGGTGGGGAGGTAGCGAGTCCAGGGATGCTTGAAGCTTTTGGAAGCAGTTTTGAACGAGTACTGAACTTTTGTAAATTTGCAAACCCATCGTTGCCCATTGTGCTCCCTGTCCGGTAAAAATGGCAAGAATGGAACCGGAAACTCCTGGGTGGGTGTGGGAGTTGAACGGTGTCTCCAGAGCTGCCGCCTTTCTCAGCTTCTTTTCGAGTTCGTCGGTTGTCAATGCTGCGATGGAGGTCCTCGCTAACAGTGTTGACCTTCGAACATTCAAAGTCCACGATAAGTCTCGTAGACTTATTGAAGAGGTGTCCCTGACAAAATCGGCATAGGCAATGAGGTTGGCCCGAAGAGACTTGTCGGACGCGGCAGAAAAGTTGAATGGTGACACCAGAGTGATCTCAGACTGTGAGCTCCGTATCGATGTGTGAACGGGCATGAATTGCTCCAGAATGGCATGGGAATTTGTTCCCCCAAAACCAAAACTATTTACGCTAACCCTCCGTGGTCCGCTTGATACCGGCGGCCAGCTTTGGGCCTCCTGAAGGATCTGCAGGTTGCTGTAGAAAGGCTTGACTGTTTGACTGAGTTCGTTTAGCAGCATGTTGGGAGGCAGAACTCCATGTTGTAATGCAAGAGACGCCTTCATAACCCCAGCAACACCAGCAGCACTTTCTGCGTGGCCGAGTACCGTTTTGATGGAGCCCACGTATAGCGGTTGTGATCCGCTGTGCTGGTGATTGGCTTGACCGAAAATGGCTTTGTTGATGGCCTCCGCTTCGATTGGGTCCCCAGCAGGTGTCCCTGTGAAACAAAAACCCGTCAGTTGTGAACTTGATCCCCGGCGAAGGAATGGGCGCGACAAACCAGTCCCATGAGCTTCAAAATACTGCGGCCGTTCGGAGGGTCGTGACAGATCGAGACCGGATCTTAGATACGTTGTCTTGATAAGGTCGATCTGAGCCTCCGCGCTTGGCATGGTTATGCCTTTTGTTTTCCCATCCTGGTTGACGCCAGTCTCCCTGACCAGGCATTCGATGGAATCACAATCACTTAAGGCCTGAGATACCCTTTTTAGGACTAGAACAGCAACCCCCTCTCCACGTCCGTAGCCATCCGCATCTTTATCCCACATGCGGCTTCGGCCACTTGGGCTGAAGAGCTTGAGTTTTGTCCCCGCGATGTATTGCTCGGGGCTCAACAACAAGTTGGACCCGCCAACAAGGGCACAGTCCGACTCGCCGCTTCTCAAGCTTTGGACTGCTAAATGCAAGGCCACGAGACTTGATGAACAAGCGGTATCGATGGTCATGGAAGGCCCGCGCAGGTCGAAGACGTAGGAAACCCGGTTCGAGATGATGCTTCTCGCCGTGCCCGAGGCAAAGTATTGCGGGACGTTTTGAAGGTCCCTCCCAATGATATTGGAATAATCCTCGGTCATGAGCCCAATAAACACACCGGTCCGTGAGCCTTTTATCTTGGGCAGCGGGATGCCGGCGTCTTCGAGGGCGTTGTAGGTTGTTTCGAGCAAGAGACGCTGTTGTGGGTCGACGGCATCGGCCTCCAGGGGTTTGATGCCAAAGAATGGTGCATCAAAGCTGTGGGGATCCTGTGTGAGAAAATAAGAATGGCGGACTGTGACTCAGTCAATATCATACGGGCTTGGATCGTTCATCTTGTCTTTTTGAAACTTACCGTTTATCGTCCCGCTATGGTTCATATCAGGATGGTAAAACTTGTTGGCATTGAAGCGGCTCTGCGAGATCTCGCTCAGAACATCTCGAGGCTGGCGCAGCAGATCCCATAGCTCCGATGAGGAGGAAACTCCGCCGGGGAACCTGCAAGCACTGCCGACGATGGCGATAGGCTCGAGTGGTCCATCCCGAGAATCCATATCATTGAGTGACATGTTTGCAATGTGGCTTACTACGAAACTGGATTGGTGATAGAGATGAGTAACGCCACCGATACAACATGTGTATGGGGATATGAACCACGCAGCCCAGAAATTCGATAAGACGAAGGCCGTGCCCCTGACAATACCATGCCACAGAACGAACTTCGTCAATGTTCACTGTACCTAGGAATGCATGGATGAAATCCCCTGGTCACTGCCAACCTAATCGGAGTTGACATCGGAAGAGTAACCAATCGGCCTGCTGCTTTATTAAGACGGAATGAAGACGCCGGCTGTTTCTGGCGGCCCCACCATGGTCATCCATCCCGGGCATCGTCTGCTTGATTCTCTCTCTCCTTGACTCGTGAACAAGTTAATAGCCATGCATCACTTTTTTCGAAACCGCTTTTTCGACTTCGAAGCAATTCGCCTCCTTGGAACGGCGAGATATGGAGGTTCAGAGGTCGCCGAATTCCTAGACGCGGTTGGGCAAATCCAGCAGAACAACGCTGAGAGTTGGGGGGCCATATGGTTGGATCAGGCACGTCATGCCGAAGAGATCGCACGAGAAGCCGAGGCCCATGGACAAAGGGCGGCCGCACGAATGGCCTACCTCCGAGCTTCCAACTACACACGTGCCAGCGCGTATATGTTGACAGGCGACGGGTCCGGTGCATCCAATTCTCACATCGTGTCAAGATTACAGAAGACAGCGGCCCTGTTTCGGAAAGCTGCTCGACTTTTCGACGGGCCGGTTCATGAGTTGAAAATCCCCTTCGGCGACCATACCCTACCCGGATATTTGTATCTCCCTCCGGGGCCTTGCCGACTTCCCGGTGGAACTCCCCTCGTGGTCAACCTCGTGGGGGCGGATTCGACTCAGGAGGAGATTTACTACACGTTTCCGGCTGCAGGACCGGAGTTGGGTTACTCTGTTTTTACGTTTGAAGGTCCTGGGCAAGGTCTGACCCTCCACGAACATGGCATCCCGATGCGCCCTGATTGGGAAGTCGTGACGGATGCCGCCATGAACTATCTCATGTCCTACGCGGAAGAACGCGGGGGGCTGGATCTCGATTGGGGCCGCGTTGCCATCGCCGGCGCTTCTCTCGGCGGATATTTTGCGCTTCGTTCGGCTGCGAGCGTCCGGTTTAGCGCCTGTGTCGCGGTCGATCCGCTGTACGACCTGTACGAGTTCGCGACGAAACATGTTTCGAGGCGTTTCTTTGATCTTTGGGATAAGGGCTGGATTTCGGACTGGTTTGTTGACACCTTCATCGGCCTCGGCACCCAGTTGTCCTTCCAGACTCGGTGGGAGATCTTGACAAGTGCCAAGTTCCTTGGAGCAACGACACCAACTGATCTCCTCCGGACGATGCGGCGGTACACGCTGCGTGGCCATCTCGACCGGATAAAGTGTCCGGTCTTAGTGAGTGGCGCGGCCGACTCTTTGTACCTGGACGCCGAGGACCATACGGCAGTTTTGTTTCGGGGGCTCACCCACGCTGCCAAGGAGATTTGGGTTGCGCGGAAACCGGGTGAAGGCAGCCTGCAGGCCAAGGTTGGTGCAATGGCACTTTGCAACCAACGTGCGTTTCTCTTTCTTGATAACCATTTCGGCGTCAAGCGGGGGTTGGTCTCGACAAATCGAGAGAGTACGTGAGCATGCCATGGACAGGCCAAGAAAATGAATGTTACGATTAGCTTGCCTCGCACGGAATATCAGCCCGCAGCAGCCAACATGGAATAACTAGACGTGGAATCCGACGGTTCTTACCATCATTGCCATCTTGGGCTTAATATCGTGCCGTCCCGCTCGTTGGGGTTCTCCTACTTTGCAAACAGAACGTCCCTGCGAAGGCAAATCCAACGGCCCAGCCCAGCTTCGACCCACACCACCGTAATATCTGCAACTTTTCGGGTTGGGAACAGTGTGAGAAGCCGGTCGAATGAGCTTCTCCAGCATTTCGTGGAGCAGCCCTGTGCCGTACGATCGGCGTGCATTTTACGGCTGACCCCAGTGTGACATCCGTCTGCTTATTCCATGTGCAACCACTCCCAAACTCGCCCACTGCTGGTTCGTGGCATCCAAACGTTATCCCTTTATCACAGGCTGCCATTATAGTTCTAGGATGTTATTCCTGGAATCGAGAAGCGCAGCAGTGCAACCTCCAACGCAAGGAGCTTGGCAGATATTGGCCCCTGGGGCCGTGAACGTGCAGGGAGGCCATTGCATATGCATGGACGGTGACTGTGGCGCGGCAGGCAGCCGGGCGCTCGCTGAGAGTGTCTTCGGGTGAGGTTTCAACCGGCCAAAGGCCCCCAAGGTGTACGCGGTAACACCACTGAGCATCACATTAGCCAAGTCCCGGTTGTAATCTCAACGTTGAAGCCTAGTTCCATCTTCTATCTCTGTCCGCCGTAGTCAAGATCACCGCATGTCGTCCTGAGTTGTCAAACTTGAAGCTATTGAGGCGAGGAAAAGTATGTGGGGGTATGGAAAAGTCCCGACATTCTCGAAAGTTTGCCTGCGAGCGCTGCCGGAACTACAAACTAAGGTGAAGGACCCCCGCTCTAAATCCCTGACCCTGAGCCTCCTGAGCTACCTTACTCATTTCATAACCGCCTCAGATGTGAGCGCAGTGGTGCTTCTCCTCGCGGGAATAGCTGCGATCGCTGTCTCCGGACCGGTGCTATGTGCGTGGCTGCAAGCAAGACGGCGGAGCCACGCTCCTTGCAACCGTATGCCTCTCCCCGACCTTCGTTTGGTGGAGATTTGGGAACCATCGCGGTTAGGACTCCTCATGCGCCCACCGTTTCGCTGCCACCCAACGACCGACAACAAGAGACATCAACAGCTTATATCGAAGTTGACGGTTTTACCGGTGACTTGGAGGCAATCGGCCCAGCCCTCGGCAGTACCGTGAGTACCATCCGTGCCAACGCCACCCCAAAGCCACTTCCGCTCACCCCTACTCAATCCCCCACCCCATTCTTGCCGACATGCATGAAGGCTGACGCAAAGTAGACCCGCCGTCAATCGTCGCTCGGGTTTTCACTGTCAAATTTCACCTTTCCCGGCAATACTCAGGAGTCTTCGCATACCCCCAAGCAGCTAGAGCGTCGGGAAAGCAACACTGGGAGTTTGTCGTCCATATTTGGTGATATGCCCGAGTTGAGGAACTCGGCTGCTGCTGGTGTCCTCCCGTCACCTGCCAGTTTCGACGCACCGCTGACTATGCGGCCCAAACTAAATACACACCGAGAGGCTTTCGAGCTTGGCGCAAGACTGGCTGAAGACTTTGCTGCCCTGACAGAAGGAAAATGTCAAAATCCTGTCACAACGGCCGTCGAGAGGGCACTGGGGGCAACGTCCCAACTCTGCGAAATTCTTCAATGCCTAGCACAGCAAGACGAGCCATCTGCCAGAGACACAAACAGCCATGCGGCTACGCAGATGGATATGGATCTTTCGGCAAACCCGTTCCTACTTCAAACCACGTCTAACCAGACGGAACAAGTAGAGACATTGCAGCGTGGGGGTGAGAATCCAGGGCAAACTGGGATATCCATTGGTAGCAATGCTTCAACAAGAACGACGCCTCAGCGCACAGCTCCAGATATATTGCTCGTCACGACGCTAGTAACGGCCTACATCCTTTTAAAACGCAACTGGCGGTGTATATTCTCGATTCTTCTTGAACAGCTTGAGTCAGCATCAGGAGGCACGACACGCGCTGGTCCTTTGGAGCTCCCAGATGTGCACATGGGAGGGTTCCAAATCCGCAGCAATCCTACCGTCCAGATCCTAGTTTTGCTGGAGTTAACATCCGGTATGCTGCACACAATCGAGACAGCCCTGGGACTGACCTACCCGGCAAACTGTTCAAGCGAGGGAGCGAGAGAGGAGGGCGTAAACGGTTGGGCTGCACTCATCGATCCAGTCGCGGTGTCGGTTCGGGAAACTCTTCTGTCCCAGGAGAGGGTACGCACGGGCAGGGAAGAGAGCGCTGGAGGGCTCTCGCTGAGACAAGCGATGGAAAAAGTAAAGAGGCAACTGGGCAAAATTTAGGGGCCCCGGTGAGGTATTAGTATGAGTAGGTGGGTGTCAAAGAACACACCCAATGGGAAAGGGATGTACCCACGCAGTTTGCGGAGAAATGTAGCACGGGCAAGGAACTAACACGTGTTGATCTTACATGCCCGAAATGCCAGATGGATGGGAGGCTGCACGTGGGTATTTGTTTTACTTGGTGTTATTCTACTTCCATATTACCTCGGGCTAGCACGGGGAACAATATATTACGGGCTTGCATGACTGACCTGCCAAGTGATCAATGGGTGGGCATGTGGTTACCTTTCTACGTACCTTGAGTGGTGGTGGACCAACCATCAGAATCAGGTTTGCTTTCCAGGGCGGCACGGCTGGGTAACAGCCTCAACTTTCTGGTCTAACAAACTCAAGCTGAGACGCAGGCGATTATGATGCTGTATTTCGTTCCTGTGGTCTCTTGGTTTGTCTGCATCGATGAACCTGGATTCCTTTCTTTCTACTGTGCTTCATCTGATTACCTTGTTCTCTGGGATTGTCTGCTAAACTTCTCGCGTGGCACGGGGTCGCGTGTGGCCATGAATGCCGACCGGGAAGGGGGGGCTGAATCCAATTCCGTGTTGGTTGAGACGATCCAGCTTGCGGCCTGTCCGAGGCAGTGTCACTCGGAATTCATGCTGTGTATCCAATCCATCAAGCCCGATTGGCGTTTCCGTTGTCCGCCAACCGGAGGAGGGGCTGCGCCGCACGCTTCAACATTAAGCGTTACCACACCTCCCCCGTCGTGGTCGCGGGCGTTTGGGGGACATTGCCATGGCCGGCGGAAGGCCCAGCCAGAGCAACATTTTACTGCAGTCCACAGGGACGGCTCAAAGCCAAAATGATGGCACATTCGAGCCAAATTCCCGGACAGCGCCGCAACACGGCAGCATGCGGAGACGAGGTTTACCACACCTCACAGGTCCTTTCAGCGGCAATTCGCATCGCTCAAGGTCAACTTGAGACTTACAACTCTCAGCAGAGCCATACATAAGGCCCAACTGAACCTGCAGTGCGCGGCAGCCCCGCCGTCTTCCGTCCAAGTCCCAGACACCCCAGAATCTCCACAATGTCGACCGTACCGGCATCCCAGCCGAACCCCAACGATCCGGGCATTGGTCCCGTGATCTACGGAGTGTCATGGACCTTCACTATTCTCGCCCTCTTCACAGTTGGCTTGCGCTTCTACGTTCGACGCGCGAGCTCCCGTTTCTTTGCCCTCGAGGATTGGGTCATGGCGTTAGCCCTCGCCCTCCAGCTTGTCTATCAATCCATTCTCCACATCATGTGTACCTACGGCCTGGGAAAGACAGGAGCCAACATCACCCCTGACGAGCTTTTGCATACCCGGAGGTGGATGTGGATTTCATCACCTATTGCCAACAGTGTTTCGATCTTTGCTAGGCTGTCTGCCATGATACTCCTGGTTAAAATCTTCGGTACCACACACCAGTGGTTCAAATGGTTCTTGATCGGTTTTAGCATCATCATGGTGATTCTTGGCATTATGTCGCCCATTTTCTTGTTCGCCCAAGTCACTCCGACGTCGGCGCTCTGGGATGTCAACGTCGTGGGTCAATACCGGTTCACCCCTTACGTGCAGTACTACACCTCATTTACCCTACAACGCAAGGGCCCCCCTCTCGTTCTCTGAATGACATCTCGCTGACCTCAGCCATAGTCGTCTTCACCATCACCGACCTCACCTATGTGTTCTTCCCGGTCTGCATCTTGTGGAACCTAAGGATGCCCACGCACCAAAAGATTGGGCTTATCCTGGTTATGTCTCTGTCGCTCATTACTATGGGCGCTGCCATGATCAAGGTGGTGTTGGTCATCATCCAGCTCACCAACGCGCCCGCGGTGGGCCACGGCAACCTGGCCTACTTCAACGGTCTCTACAACCTTTGCACCGGAGTCGAGCAATGCCTCGTCATCATCATGGGCTGCATCCCGGTGCTGCGGTCCATCGCCAAACTCAGTTTCCCTCTCCTCAGCACCATCAGCTTCTCATTCAAGCGGAGCAAGTCCAGCATCTCCTCGGGATACTATTCTGGTCATCGCAACGATTCACACGACTCGAACATGACGCCTCGGTTGCGGGCGTCCGATGACGGCGAGCACTCGGTGAGATGCGATGCCGGGGGTGGGACGAATCAAGAGGGTGAGTATATACAACGGGTTGATGGGTACAGCGTGACATACGGGGAACGCTTGCGCGAGAAGGTCTAGTTGGTGGTATCATTTTGCTTCCTTAACCATAAGTTCATTTGCGTACCTGAAGTAGGGCTGCTGGTTTTCTTCTCGGTCGAGTGTTACCAAAGGAAAGGGATAATTATTTTATGGTGCCTCCAATGGCAGCTCACGTCGTGCGAGTCGGCCCAGTCCACGCCCCGTCAACGTCATGTGGTGGCTTATTATTAGCCCCCCACGCTCAAGCTCAACTCAACCCACATACCAGCCCCAGTCATCAAAGATGAGAAGGGTGTGAGAGATTGAGGAACACGTTCAAGAAACAAGCTCGATCTCAGCTCCGTGACTAAGTTCAGTTAGTTAATGGCCCAGGCGAGTGCTGAAGAAAAGCGCCCTTATTTCTTGGGCGAGGGCCTTCCGAACACGTTCCATGCTTGGCGTCACCCCCTTGAGAAATCGGGTAGGAATTCGGTCTCCGACGGAAAGTCATCCCATGCGCCCACACCCTTAATGGCTTTCGCATCGCTGCACGGATAAAGAGGCTCGACGTGAAAAGCCGCTGCGCGCAATCGCACTCGCACTCGGGTGTGGTGAGGGATGGCATTGACGAGCCGGTCCCAAGTTCGAATTCTAGAATAGTATAGCAACGTTGGTGGCATACTAAAGCCTCCAGGCTCTGAACTACAATGCGTATAAATGGTTCGAGAGCAATGCACGTTGAAGTTCCAACTCGTTGTTCAATATCACTGCATTCATCTTGATCTCTCAATACCAACACCACGCACCCTAACAAACCTTTCAATATGACGACTGACCGACCCCCCGCAAACGCCTTCGTTGCCGCAGCTCGTAAAGTGTATGGCCCTGTCGGCTTCACTAAAGGATACAACTTCATTTTATTCTTCATCTTTGGTGGGGCCTTCTTGGGCTTCGCTCTTGCTCGGTTGCAGTATCTCGCCCTTGACACAACCTGCATCTCAGGCAAGGACTCAGAGAAGCCTCTCGACTGTTACTATTACACCGAGCGGTCCATCGACAGAGTCGGCATCCTCCTACACCTCGCAACGATTCTCCCTGCGTCACTCCTCACCTGCCTCCAGTTTGTGCCTATCATTCGCCGCACCTTCGTCCTTTTTCATCGCATCAATGGGTACCTCATCGTCATCCTGAGCCTCGTGTCAACTGCAGGCGCTCTTATGCTGGCGCGAAATGCAGTTGGGGGTTGGATGGATGTTCAGATGGCTGTCGGGGTTTTGTCCATCGCCTTCCTCTCCTCGCTGGCACTCGCCTTGTACAACATCAAGCGCCTGCAAATCGAGCAACACAGGGCATGGATGCTGAGAGCTTGGTTTTATGTAAGTGGGCTTGCTCGACAACCCCGATGCGAATTCTAAATTTCTAACTTCCCGAGGCCGGTTCCATCATCACAATGCGCCTGATCCTCATCATATCTGCAATCATCATCAGTGATGACGGATACCTGGTCCCCATATCCTGCGACAAGGTTTTGTACCTGACAGGTTCACAAAACAAGACTCTCCAACAGCACCCTGACTGTGAGGCGTACTTCTCTGGTCAGAACCCCAACAAGGCTGTCCTCGTGTCCGCAACTATGGACGGGAACGGGAGTAATGCAACCGCCGTGTTGAGTCTTGGTTTTGGAGCTGCGTTTTGGCTTGCATTTGCCATGCATGCTGTCGGGGTTGAAATCTATGTGAGTAATCAAGAACACCATTAAGCACTAATAATGACAGCTGACACAAACGTTCCAGCTACGCCTCACCCCGGCCGAAGCAAACCGTTTACGGAACGTGTCGTATCAACGCCAACTCGAGGCTGGCATGAAGCACCCTGGTCGCTCTGGCCTTACTGCGGACAGGATTGGTGATTCAGCGCTGTGGGAACCCAAGGGTCAAGAGCACTCGGCCGAGAAAGTCGAGGGCGCTGAATAAATGTGTAGCCGCCGGCTCCGATTTTGCTAGGGCGTCGTTCAGCCTGCACGGTCACGGCTATGGGTAATCACACAGCTGAGGATGAAGTTGAGAATAAAGGGGGTGAGAAGGATAATAAACTTGTACTTTGGGCACCGCGCCACTAAATCGACAGTCATCTACTTGCCATGAAGAAATCCCAGGGATTCGAACTGTCCTTCCTTCCCAACGCCAACGGCAAAGTCTTTCCACTCGTCCAACAATTGTCCAGTCTTGTCATTTTCCAACTTGAGCACCCCCCAGGAATCCGGTCCGAGTGGCACCCGTAGAGGGATAGCATTCCCAGAAGCCAGAATCGTGTACATGGCTTTGGCCACGGCATCCGCATCAGCCCAATTCTTTGACGCCTCCGGGTCATCCATGTACTGGTCGAGAATCCGAGCGGGCGTATCCGGGGCGCTATAGGCCGGATGTGGCTCGATCTGGATCATACTGCGGCTGAGGTAGTCTGTCTTCACGCCGCCCGGTTCGCTAAGACAAAAATGCATGTTCCATTCTGGCCGCACTTCCTTTGACACGGACTCGGTGAAGCCCTCGACGGCGAACTTGGCGGCGTGGTAAAAAGCATTTCCAGGAAACCCGGCGCGACCTCCCATGGAGGAGACGTTAAGCACAACTCCACCTGGGGGCCCATTGAGCGGGTTAACCTCGCGCATCACGCGCATCGCATGCCGCGTGACGTGTACCGTCCCCCAAAACATGGTGTCGACTAGATGGCGAGCGGCATCTTCAGTTGCGTTCTCCGTGTCCCCACGCAATGAGTATCCGGCGTTGTTGACAACCACATCCAAGCGGTGGAAGTGGGATAAGGCAGTTGCGATGGCATCATCAATGGATGGGCGGGATGTGACGTCTACGATGAGTTTGACGACACGGGAATCATTATCAGGCAAGTATGCCAGGTCGCCGAGCTTTCGAGCGGTAACAGCAACACGGCCGCCCTTGGAGTGGACAAGCTGTGCAAGAGCTTTTCCAATGCCGGATGAACATCCCGTTACTGGAGATGGTTGGTCAACAATCAAACTTTACCACGAAACCACACAAGGGATCAGTCATGTGTACGAAATACGAGAGGTACTTACTGAACCAGACTGCAGCTTCGGGAAGTTTGTACGCTTGTTGGAGAGAGCTTGCCATTTCGTCAGAGGTGGAATTCATCACAATAGAAACAATAGATTGTCGCAGCGCAGGCAAGAGAATTGCAGGAACATGAGGTTGGACGCAAAAAACGTCTTTCTTTTTATAAAGGAGTTAAGGAACATGGCTAGCTAACTCCGATCTCCTCAAACTCCGGCAAATGCTACCGATAGGGTCACGGCCAGCTGATGTGTGTAATCAGCATAGCCAAAACAAGCAACGTGCTCTTGATTATCCCAGTCCACAAAAGAGTAAGGTACCTAGGTATTTACACTGGCACATTGCTTTATTGGCAACATTGACGACCCTAACATCGCTGCCTGTTCCTTTAAGCCTATTCACACTAGTCAGCACGTTAATGCAAAAGCCACTCCTTGGGTTAAACTCACGCCAAGGCAGTAGTAAACACTCCAGCACCTGTGAGTGCCATCGTCATAAAGCTGGTGATTGTTGTCGCGGTAGCAGTTGAAACCGTGGAAGCTGTTCTGGCCAGGTCTGCCCATGTTGATGTGTGTCAGCCTCCTCTCCGCTATTTCGGGGTGCCACCAGGTCCTGGACCTACCCGGCATATTGCCCAACGCTATAACCACCAGCGCCACTTTGGATATTGGAGGTGAAGAAGGTGTTGGTCGGGAAGGTGCAGGTGATGGAAGAACCTTCCCACAGCTTCCAGCCACCAGCTCCCGGGTTCGTCACATAACATTGATTGGAGCTCGAAGGCACAACGTTCTGACTGGCTTGAGAATCATCGGCGTAGTAAATCATCTTGGAGTAAGGGATGTCGCCAAGGGGCGAGCGCTGGTAACAGTTAGCGAGGTGTACTCCCTCGCCACTGCGCTTATCAACCACCCCAGCGCTGGCCCCAAGGGCGAGGAACATCAAGGAAGCAAGGGCGTTCAACTGCATGTTGACGGTAAGTGATAGATGATAAGCGAGGTGGATCAAGTAAGGCCAGAGGAGAAGAGATCTTTGGTATCTAAAGACTAGACTCTGCAAGGGAGATACCGTGGTCATGTTATATATTGTTGAGATCTCATAATACTTCCTTAAAAGCTGCCGTGATTCATATGATCTTTCTAACCATTGAGAAAGTGAATATTAATCAGGCCTTCGCTAAGGGGGTAGCCGACTGCGATTTTGGAGCCGCCAACACGAGTGTGGGAACGGTTTAGGGGGGCTGAATAAGGACGTGCCGGCAATGTCAGCGCAATGCGACCTTTTTCGGTCTTTCGCTTAGGCAACAGCCAATATTCAGTCAGCCCTCTGCATGAGAAGGTGCACAAGCGCAAACAGACACAGGCTAATACTCGTAGTCTGTCTGACACACTCCGTAAATAAGTCCATAGACAGGCCACGGAGCGATCGTTAGGTCAACCGTCCGACGCGCGCGCGCGTTAGTTCCATTCCAATTTTTCCGCAACCCCCCAGTCTGTTGATGCCCAACCCTAGACGGTGATCAAAATCACGAGCAGCGTCGTTACTCGTTATGTTAGCAATTCTGACAGATATGTGTTCCTCCCCTTGCCCGAAGTGACCCGAACTTGAGGCTACCCCACAAGGGGGCATATCTTCCCTTTTGCCAGCGGCAACAAGGATTCTAATTCCCTCAACAACTTTTCCTAATACCTCCAGATCGAGTCTTGATTTGGCACAGCCAATTTGACGACCTACGTGTTAAGGTAGCCCAGTCTCCAAAAGCTGGGTTGCCACCTTTGAGCCACCTTTGAGCCACCAAATATAAGGTAGTTTTGGCTCAATATAACACAAGTTTCGTATCAGAACCTATCCGCCAGCTACATGTAACAGGCGAGGTGGTCGCACAATGACGCTAATGAAGAGCCAACTAGCGTCGAGGCCAAACGCTGCATTGGGTTGGACAACAACCAGTTCTTCCACGCTGGGCTGACAGATAGAACTCAGGAGAGGACGTAAACATGCTGAGCTGGGAGCTATTGGGGTTGCAGCAGCCTATACTACGAGTTGTTGCTACCTACAAAGCGGCAAATGCTACAGATGACTAGGTACCTAGGTAGGTAGGTACCGTGGTCCAGACAATAGGACGGTTAAAGTAACAACATAGGTAAGGTACCTAGGTAATTATCCATTGGATCAAGCTGCAGAAGTCAACGGCCTCCTACCGGATGAACAAATGGGGAACAGGGCACACCGCTCCACAGAGCTGGCTCTCCGGCTAGTAGTAGCCCAGGTCCAGGAGGCGTGGAGACAGAAGGGTGCGGCATCCCTATTGCAACTGGACATCTCAGGAGCCTTTGACACGGTCAACCTTACCCGACTGCTAGCAACTTTGCGAGAAATGGGCTACCCGAGGTGGCTGGTCCTCTGGACGAGAGATTGGTTGACCGGTCTAGAGGCCGCCCTTCGTTTCGACGGCCAGAGGGCGGTACCGCCGGCAATTCGGGCAGGGGTCCCCCAAGGCTCACCCCTTTCCCCTGTTCTCTTCATCCTCTACATTTCCTCATTATACAAGCAGCTAAAAGACGAGCACTCTCACTTGGCTATAACAGGGTTTGCGGATGACACCAACCTCCTGGTATTTAGTCGAAAACCCGAGGCCAATGTCCGGCAACTAGAGGCGGCGTGGGAAACGTGTATGCGATGGGCGGACAGCCGGGGGATGAAGTTCGCCCCGGAAAAGAGCGAACTCATCCATTTTAACAAAGGGCGACGGCAGTGGACCGAACAGGTAAACCTTGCCAACCCATGGGGGGGCACTAGCCCCGTTAAACCAGAAGGGTCTGCCAGATTCCTGGGAGTCTGGTTGGACTGGAAACTCAACTGGAAGGCTCACCTGGTGGCGGTAGAGAAGAAGATGAGGACCCAGAGCTATGCCCTGTCGAGAATCGTGGCGGAGACGTGGGGAATGGGGCTAGCTAAAGCGCGAGAAGTGTACACAAAGTGCATCCGGTCGGCGCTGGCCTATGGCGCATCGTCGTTTCACATCCCCACAGATGTGGGAGGCGAGCCGGTAAAGAAAGGCATCACTAAGGCCCTCGGGAAGGCCCAGAACAAGAGCTTGCGGATCGTGGCGGGAGCCTTTAAGTCTACCCTCATCCGTAACCTCGAGACAGAGACATGGGTACCACCATTGGACTTGTACCTGAACAAACGGCTTGCAGATTTCGAAAACCGAGTCCAACAACCCGATCTGGACGACGGTCAAGGCGGCAAGAAGACGGCGGGGAGCGTTGTCCTCACCGGCTGCCGCAAGATACAGCAGAGACTTAGCTCGAGGAGGGGCAACAGGGGCCGACCGCGAACCTTGGGACCTCAGGGGCCTACGGCGGTGGAGAGGGCCGCGGGCACGGTCATGCGCTGGACGGGGGGAATCGTTGATACGAACAGGGTAGTAGAAGAGGCTTGGAAAGCGAGATGGTTAAAGGAACGGGACGGCAGGGCGATCACTAGGCCGGCGGACGACTTTGACCATCAGCAGGAGACGCTATTCCGGAACGAAACCCTTAAGGAGGCACGATGGTCTCAGCAAGGCGAAGAGCTCACTGCTGATTCAAATCCGGACGGGAGCAATAGGACTACGGGACTTCTTGTTCACACGGGGAGTCCCGGAGGTCCTGACGCCTGCCTGCGAGTGTGGCGAGGGACGAGAGACTGCCGAACACCTGGTAGTGTGGTGTTTGGCCCCACCGTTGGCTCGAAGATGGGAGAGGACTGGAATTCGGACACGACGGGACTTTTACTCTGTTCTACACGGTATCAATCCCACGACTGCACGGCTCGCGAGGAGGATCCTCGACTGGCTGATGGACACGGGGAAGTTGCCGATGTACAGCTTAGCCAGGAGGCTCGAGCTGGAAACGGCGGCCTGAAGCGCCCCCGTTCGGAGGCCAGGAGGCCTCCTCTCTTTGTATATGTAGGCTCACTAAAACGCATCGCTCCTTGATTGTTGGTACGGGTTTTTCACCCGGCCTGGGAGGGCACGGTTTTCCTGTACACTAAATAGCAGAGGGTCCGGCACGCCCTAGGGCATAGCGGAGTATGAATAATAATAATAATAATGGATCCATTGGATTCCCAATCTACTACCGAACGTGACAGCTCCCTTATCTTTCCATCACCCCAATCACTTTCTTAGCGTGGTTTTCTTTACCCACAAACTCAAATTTGAACTGGTTACTCGCTGTAGCTTCAATATTCCTCGGTCCGGGCTTGTTATTGGCTTGTATAATTTCGGGTTCCTCTAGCAAAGCCTGATTTATCGGTAATCTTCCAGCTTTCCTCCTCTTGAATGTTTCCTTGGCCTTTCAACCTCGGTAACAGAACCGCCCCTAAGCCAATCTGTCTCGGTTCCCAGTATAACATTGGTTCAGGGCGAGGTTGCATTGGTTATCTGGACAGCTGATCAACATTGGCCTAATAGGCAAAGCACGAGTCTCCCCGCACACCCTGCATCCCCGGAGCAGATCGGCTCGATCCTATTCGGCGGTGGCCAGGTATTTGCTGCATGCTGGCCTTGGTGCGTGGCATCCCAGGTCATGAGATCGGATCGCACAAAAGGAAGAGTCTCGGTACTTTCTGCATGTGCATCCTTCCAGCTCATCGACCCCATGCACTGTTGATCTTCTGGAACCCTCACACTCCAGCCCACGCCCTTATTACGGTCTTGGCCATCTTTCCATAACTTGTTTATCTTGCCGCGTCGAAATAATAGTTTAAGATACGACGCGATGGAATTGCTCTTTGCAGTGTACGAGGCCAGGGGCCTGTTGCTTTGTCTTGGCCTGGCGGTCTACCTCGTCTACAAAGTCTGGGTGTACCGTCGACTCAGCGCCTTCAAAGGCCCGTTTAGTTCGGGGTGGTCCGAGGCATGGAGTTCGGTCACCACGGTTAGTAATATCGCGCATCTTAAACATAAGGAAGTATGTGGCAAATATGGTACGCAGCGACCCCATTCCTACCTCGATGGATCAGTCCAAATTGACAAGCCGTTCAGGGTCAATCTCTCGAATCGGTCCGAACGACTTGGTTACCAGCTCCCTGGAGCTCGTCACTCACATGAGCGCGGCCCGTTCTCCGATATAAAAAGGACGAGTCTGGTTATGCACCGGGCAACGCGGACCCAACCCGAGGGGACAGACCCATCTGATTTAGTGAAGACCAACGAGGGTATTTCATAACCCGCAGGGCAGGCAGCAAATGGCCCTAGGAGTAAGTCTAAACCACTCATACCTATCTCCAAAATCAAGACTTGATACCAGGCTAAACAGTCCCCGGATAGTACTCGGGGAAGGAGAATCTTGAACTGGAGGACACAGTCGATACGTATATTGGAAAACTGATACACCTGATACGATCCAAGTATCTATCCACCCCCGACTTCACACAGCCATTCGACTTTGGTAAGAAAACCCAATACCTTGCCGTCGACATCATCAACGCCATCGGCCTCGGGGCACCCCTCGGCAACCTCGACACAGATAGCGACCGGTACCGATACATCGAGACGACCGAGATGGGATTCAAGATTGGGAAAATTTTCCTCGCCCTCGGCCTTCTCCCGCTCATACAAAACCGCTGGGTCATGGGCCTCTTGGCACCGTTGGGAGAGGACGGGCTCCGCTTCGGCTGGCCGCTGCGGAACGCGCGGGCGCGCATCGACGAGCGGCTCCAGCAGGAGACGGAGACGCGGTCCGACATGCTCGCGTCGTTTGTACGCCACGGCCTGACCCGCGACCAGCTCGTCAACGAGTCCCTGCTGCAGCTGATCGCCGGCTCCGACACCATCTCCACCTCGATCCGTGCCTTGTTCCTGTACCTGCTGACCCACCGCCGCGTGTATGCTACCCTACAGGCCGAGGTCGATGCCGCGGTGGCCAACGGGACCGCCCCGCCTGCCCCTGGTGTCATCTCGGAGGCGGGGTCGAGGAGCTTGCCCTACCTGCAGGCGTGCATCAAGGAGGGGATGCGTGTGCGTCCGCCTGCCGGGGCCTTGGTCCCCAAGAGGGTGCCTGACGGGGGGGACACGATCGTGGTGGATGGGAAGCCGGTGTTTTTGCCGGGTGGGACGAACATCGGTGTGTCTATGTTTGCCTTGCAGCTGAATAAGGGGGTCTTTGGTGAGGATGCGGAGGAGTTTCGCCCTGAGCGGTGGCTGTTTGAGAAGGATGAGAAGAGGTTGGCTACCATGCACCGCGTGCAGGAGCTGATCTTTGGGTATGGTAAGTATCAGTGTCTCGGGAAGTCCATCGCGTTGATGGAGGTCAGTAAAACAGTTTTTGAGGTACGTCACGTCGTAGTATTTTGGATGGAGGCGAAGAGCTGACGGGTCGGTAGTTGGTGCGGAACTTCGACATGTCATTGGCAAGGCCGGACAAACCGTGGGAAGAAGAGAACTCGTTGGGGGTCTTTACCCAACGGAACATGCTCGTGACTGCGATCGACAGACTTGGGGACGTGAAGAGCTAAAAGGTTTTGGCAGTTGCACCCTTTTTCCGCGATGGGAACCTTGGAAAAGGACGAAGCCATCTGGCTATTAGGTTGGGAGTAAAGAGCGGATGACAGGTCGACGAGATGCAGGTATCATTTCGCGGTTTGAATAGTTTGAGCAGATGTTGCATCTTTTATTATTTACCACGCTCTAGTCAAAACCGATGCCCATCAAGGCAAGCAGGTCAACAGGCTTTGCAGCTTCTTCAGCACCACAGCCTGCTTCTCCGCCGGAGCGGTCGTCTTGTCGTTGGCATCTCCCACACTGACCGAAATGTAGCAGCCATCCGTGTCCACAACAGACGTCTCGGTGGGCAGCCGCGTCTCTCCGCACTGCTTGGTATCCGGAGACGAGAACAGGCCGACGTTGATACGGCTCAGAACCCACTTGAACTGGCTAGCCTCAGTGCACTGGCCCTCGACCTTGGGGAAGTTCACGTTGAGGAAGACGTCCTCCGGGAGGTATGGCTTGCCGCTCGCAATGACAGCATTGGTGAGTGTCGTGGCCAGCTCGGCGTACACCTTGCTACGCTGGGCCTCGGGGCTGGCGTAGGACAGAGTGCCGTCGGACGCACCGGAGAAGGCGAGGGCGGGGATCTTCTCGTTCTTGGCCGCGTAGACGGCGGCACCGACAGTGCCGGAGAAATGCACGGCCAGGTACAAGTTGCTGCCGACGTTGGGGCCCGAGACGGCCAGCTCAGGGGCTTCGCCGTTCCAGAGCTGGGGGCCGATGGTATCGATGCCGTACCGCATGGACGTGACAGGGAAGGAGTTGACCCAATTCAGACGCGGTGAGGCCGCATCGCGTCCAATAGGGCCGCTGTTGGCAGGGCAGCTGTTATACTGGCATGCCGTCGTCCTAGGGCTAGGCTCAACATCGAGCGAACCTAGGGGTGTAAGCTCCATGTCCGCCCTAAGTGATGGCGACTCGCGAATCTTGAACACTTACTCGTTCCGGATTTGTTCTCGGCGGGTGCAGACAGGACGGCGTCGTGTCCCGAGGCAATTAAGGCATTATGAAACGATCGGGCGTATTGCTCGGCCCAACCATCATCATTGGCCTGGATGATGCGGATGCCGTGGGCGCCGATCGCGGGCAACAGGGCAAGAAGAGTCTCGGCGCGCATCGTGATGGCAAACTATGGCCCCTGGTAAATCGGACTGCCGTAGTGCTGGCTATCGAGGACAAAGAGCTCTCCGGGCGTCAGGCTTTATACGAGGAAGACATCACGAGAAAGAGGGCAGGTGGTGTTGACGGGAGAGGGCGACGGCATTGATCATTTCACCCATTGTGACCAATCACCTCCCGAATCCCATCTGTGCTCCTGATGCTGAAACTTCCGCAGCCACTGCTGGCAGCTCAGCGCATGACCTTCCGCTTTTGATTCGGCCAATCCAACCCACGTGCCTGGCACTGTGGGTAATGAGGTCGCCGACGCGTTCAGGGGCACTCCGCGGCGCGTTGTATTCGGTGGCGAAAATGGGGTAACGGCCGACCTGCCGAACCGCCGCAGACGCCGCTTTCACATGCTAATTCCTGATGAAAGGAAAGGAAAAGAGAGTAAGGAAGGTAGACGCAAAAATACATCGCAGGCTTCGGAGGATGTGGATACACTCATGACATCTGGCCTATAAGAGTGAGGAAATATCTGGGAGGCGGACAAGGGTCTCGTTTCTCTTTAGCGGCAGGCAGGGTTCCGGATCTGGCGCTTCATAACAGTTCACCTGTTTCCTGCAACGCATGCAATGTCAGGCCGAGTTTTCTTTTTCTCACGCAAGTTACCGAGTCTCTTGTTCTCCTGCTCCCACTCCGCTTCTCAACACTGCTTTAGCGTTCAACGTCGCTTAATGACCACCCCCTGCCTCTCTCTTCATGACTGAGGGAAGAAGTCTTGATTCCGTGTGTTGCGTCTCAGGAACATCTGTTGGGAGGTTGAGCTCCCCTAGCTACACCAGACAATAAAACCTCCCGTGCTGCTGAAAGTCAAGAAAAGGAAAGCGAGAACAAAACTCATATCCCACCCGTAAAAAAAGAAGAAAAAAAACACAAAGCTCGGAGGATGGTTTTCAGCACAATCTAACTGCATCCCCTTGGAGGTTAACGGCGCTCTAGCAGTTGCAGTTGTGGGTCTGCGGATCGACACCGTATCTGTTGCCATTGCTCCAAGTCACGAAGCCGCCGCGACTGTCCTGATTGTTGCCATGGCAGTTATCAATGAGCCAGATTTCAGCGTTGACACACTCAGAGAGCTGGTCGCCCTCGTTGATGTTCCTCTGCTTCGTATAGTGTATCGTCATGGGGTTACCGGCGGAGTTGAACCCAGGGCGTTCATAAACTCGGGTCTGGCCCAGAGCAGTGTCCTCTACATAGTCTTCATTAGCGCCCGGTAGGCTGGGTAGAAAGGAAGAAGGAAACTGACTGAGGTAAAGGCACGCCTCTACTACGCTGTCTTTCAGGACCGCCTGCTTGGCCCAAGAACCGCTTCCGTTGCAGGACTTTGACTGACGCTTCTCAACCATGGGGCGGCGAGGAACGAGACGGGCCATAGCATCAGCCTAAAGTGCGTTGTCAATGTCGGTCATGTTGCTCCTCGATCCATCTGTGTTGACAACTTCGTGCCAAACGATCGGCGTATGGGCGTGGATCTCTTCCAAAACGTTAACAAGTTCAGGCTCAAGAGGGGTAACCTGGGGGGGCTGCTTGGGCACCCGGCAGCAGTGGGCTGAGACCAGCAAGAAACACGATTCCAACGAGCATCTTGTTTTACTCCGGCGGCAGGAGGTGTATGGATTTGGGGAGAGGGTGTGGAGGCGAGTAATGAAGCGAACAATGAGTGGTGGGAGGACGAGGTTTGAGTCGAGGAGATAGCTATGGTGGTATTTATCCAAATCATTAGGCACAGTGTAGCTTGCCAGTTTGCTCGCCCTCGACAATCCGCTCCTGATGCTACTCGTAACCGGCATAACGTAGCATGTCTAGCAAAAGACAACGAAGAGACAATAACAGGCCGTGGTTGGTCCAGCCTTCGTAGCATGGGCAACTACACCCGTTTGCAGAAGTCAGAGATTCCATACGTCAGCACTACTGACGTTGTGCCCTTTTGTCGTGAAGCCAAGCACTTAGCGAAGCTATGGCGCCAGGGACCTGCGTGGCTTTGTGACTATCAGCTCCCAACGCTGGGAAATTATCCAGGGTTGTTTGGAATCATTAGATCTGTAATCATACATATTTATCGCAAGCCAGCAAGCGAGATGACTAGAGGGGATCCTTTAGTGAAGACGCGCATAGATACATGAACTTCACCCAGCTCCTAATACAACATGGCCCATGGGAGAGGTCGCCGGCATTCGGACCCGGACTCTTGGCAAATTCGCCGTGATCCTAGGGACAAATCCCCCACCCCCAACACGAAGCCCCCAAGACTAGAGCTGCTCTAGCCTTCCTCTACTCAAGGCTGAACAATGCCGAGGTCTAGGGGAAGGTATTATTTCTGAAACGGCGGGCTTGCCGTCCAGCGGCCCGTGAAACGGGCGTTGAATCTCCAACCCGCTTGCCCGGCGTGGCGCGCGCGGGCTCACACTTGTCTCGAAGTTGACTAGATTTGGAAGGAAAAATCGTGGCTGACCCAATTTACTCACCTCCCGAAAGGGTGACGTAAAAAAAAACAAGCGTTACTTAAGGTCTAGGTCAGGGTTGGGGCCTTAGCATCTCTATTTTGCCAGGGCAGAGACTGGAGGGTGTGTGGCATGCCAGCTGCGTATTCGATAATCATCCAGTTCCCAGAGAGGTCTAGGCGAGGTTAGATGTCCCCGAGAAGAGGAGAGGGAAAGGTGACTCAAAGTGGAATGGTCACCAGTCCGTGACCAAAAGCAACTTGTCACGGGCATGACCAGACGTGTGAGATATGCCAAGTGGGACTTGCAGGTGTTGTAGATAGCCAGAGTCTGGAACGTTGCTCTGATCGACTGCGTCTTGCACATCAATCCTCGCGACCTATAGAAGGCGAGTGCCCATTTTACGAGCTACGTACCTATGTATGTCCGCGGGGCAAGGACCGAATGATGTGGTAGCAACTTGACAAAGTGACCAGAACACCCATATGGAGGATAAGGGGGGCCGCCGGATGAACTCGCATGCATATCTGCTATGCCCGACGATACGATGCTAGCAGCCGTGGTTGGTGTAGACGATAGTCTGGAGGGTGGCGCGAGAGAATGAAGCCGCGAATAATAAAGGTGGTTCCCCAAACCCAAACTACGCCTGACGTGACTGCATGCACCTCTTTGCAGCAAACGCAAAGCAGCGAGTGAATATAGCCACTCGATGCAGGAAGCCTATAGGACACATGAGCTAGATACGTCTGCAATGAAACACTTGGGCTTCTAATATTGAGTGCCTACATGAGCTGAAAATATGCGTCGGTGCAACGGAAAAATGAATGGCTGCACTTCACGTCCCCGAAGCTCACAGATTCCAACCAACCTTGTCACACTGCAGAAGCGACTGCAGAGAGCGGGGTAACGATGGTTATACGGGCAGTGGTGGTGGTTCAGGAAGGCTCGGATTGGCAAGTTGAAGCCGTGCCAGTCAAGATAAGACTCTATGTGGCTTTGGAGAGGGGAATCAACACCGATGATATATCAGGTGGAACTTCGAGGGTCAGTTTGTGATAACGATGGCAGACAACATACTCGTCGCCAGCACGGCTCAACTGACCGAATAACCCCTCCAGCTTTGCCTTGTCCGAAAACTAGGGCTAAAAGTCTCTGTCGAGTCTGGAGACTAAAACATGTCGACTCCAGCTATCCAGTTCTTGCCCAGGACGGCCATCGCCGCATTCGCTCTGAGCACGAGCGAAATATACACGTATGCTCAGGGCTCCAACAAGAAGCTTGTTCAAGTTTCAGGCAGCGTCTCCGATGCCAAGTATAGCTCAGATGACTATTCCAGTGTCAATGTATCTGGAATGACAACTGCAAAGCTCTTCACCCCTCTGGCGGCAGCTTTCTACCATGACAAGTCATCGAATGTTGACAGAGTGAGTAACACACTCTCCCCACTCATTTCGGACCCCAAGATCGACTAACCGGGTAAAGCGTTATGTGTTCTACGTCGACGACAACAACCTTCTCCGCGACGTTTACTTCGAGTCCAACAAGTGGCACATCGGGAGCCTCTCGGGCCAGAACTGCGTCTGCGCCCCTTACTCAAAACTCGCGGCCATCCGACTCGTAAATCCCGGCGGCTACAATTTTGTCACGGTTTACTACCAGACCACGGGCGATAATGGAGACATCAAGGAGGTCAGCTTGAACAACGGAACTTGGGCCAAGGGCCAGCCAGACCTGGATGACCCACCTCTCTACGGCACCTCGCTGTCCGCTGTGACGGCGGAGCCTGGCATCGAGTCGACGTCAAGCTCAACAAGCGACACAGACAAGAGCAGGCTTCCCGTCATGTTTTTCCAGTACAATACCCTCGGCCTCGGGTCTTCCCAGGACGCGATTGGTAATTTGCTCTCGGCCCCGCCCCGTATAGACTGGAAATAGAGAGCTAATTGCTTTTTCACAGCGTACTCCAGATGGACAATCGACGACAACAGCAAATCACTGTCGAGCCACGCGGCCCTCACCGCTGTCGATGACGGGACAAACCTCTGGGCCTTCTACACCTCAGACGACAACCAGGTACAGCGTGTCCGGATCGACAAGGACGCGAATCTAACGCAGCCGACGGCCGTGGCCCTTGACATGACGCCGATGCCGGGCAGTCCGCTGGAAGCTGTGTTGGTTACGGACAGCAACAACGACTACATAGTCCTCTTCTACCTCCTCCACTACGCCGCCAGCGACGATGTGCCCACCCGCACCGACATCTACGCCACTGCCCTGTCCAAAACCTTGACAGCCGACGCCGATACCTGGTCTACCTCGAGCCGGGTGCTGCTTACGGGCTGAGAGTGGGAGTGTGGATTCAAGGAGACAACCCCCAGGTTGAGGTACCGAGGGTTAGTCTTGAAAGTACGACGTTGGGTCACAAGTAGGCTCTGATATTCAACATCTGGTGGCGGTCTCATTCTCTAGCGGATACACCATGAACCAACTGTGTGTAGCATCGTGAAGAATTACCATAGTCTTCTTAGCAAGAGTCTTGTTCTGGACAAACCTGTTTTTCTTGTTTTACTTAACGTGATTAAATGACTAATTATTAATAAAATGCCTGAACTCTTGCGGCTCAGCTTTTGTTACCATTGGGGGGGCACATTCGCGGCACGGCACCCAAGAGAAAGCCCGGGGTATTCCGACCTTTTGGGACCCTCTGCCTGCTCGCATATTTCCGGTCAGTGTCTCCCATCGGGCCAATCAATTTCCGGGAAAAAAAAGAAAGAAAAAAGGTAGTTGGTGGCTGACTCCTTTCTCGGGAACGTGAAACAAGCTTTGATGTTGGCCAACAACTTGGTCACCTTGCCCGACGGTCCGGGCCCCGGCCACAGGCCAATAAGAGCGACGCCTTGTTTCATGCCATCCCTCACGGACACCAAGTTGGGAAGCTGTGCCACCAAACCGGAAACGGGGCCCGGCCATAAAATAGTTCACTATGACAGGATCAAGTCTAATCGAGCTCAGATCTATAATAACCAGGGCCCACATCGCGTCGTCGACCGTGAGTTCCCACAGTTCCCCTAACTAGTACCGGATCAAGTACGATTCGTTTCTCTCTTTTGTTTACATTCCCCTGATAAGCACAAGAGTTTCAAGTTAATATGCGTGTCTTCCTTGTCCAAACGGCCCATGGTCTGAACGCTCCCTCTGGAGGATACAGATCTAACCTTGGCTTCATCCGTCAACTGGGCGCTTACGGTCACGCGGTTGCCCAGACATGCTACGCCTGGGATGACGAAGTGGAGGCAGGAGTGGCAAAGGCGAAGACAAAGGGGGTCAATCCGGAGGTTCAGCGTCTACCTAACGTCGACCTTGGTCAAGATCCCAAAACTGGGATCAAGCGGCGACTCCGTGTCACCAAATTCGTTGATGAAAACCGAATTCTTAACATTGTCATCTCGCGGGCGTTATGGGAGTTGTATCCCCACGCGGAGCAGGTGGCAGACCACAGAGCATATCTGGAGGTGGGCGCCCTTGCAGCTTCCACCGCCAGCAGAATGGGCTTATCTTTCGATGCTAATACATTCTCGGTGCACAGCATAATCTTGCGAGCCCCCGTTTGGCAGCCCTCGTCAACTTGTGGTCGAGCCAGATCGCAGCCTTCAAGCCCTCGCACGTTGTCTTCAACGACGGCCTCACAATGAGAATCACCCAGCATATGCTGCAGCCTGGGAGTCCATACTCGCATATGAAGTTTAAAAGAGTGTGCATCGTCCACTCTGCAGAGCAGCTCCCATTTGGGCCCTTCTGCGGCAGCCTCTCTGGGCACTGTCTGTCCGCACCGGCCGAGAACAAAATGCTGAGAGGACTCGACGGGATATGGACCGTGTCGCGTGGTATTCAGGACTACGCGATGAAGCATGGTAACCTGAAGACGACCTTCTTTGTCCACGCGACTTGGACATATCTCGAGGGCGGTAACATCCCAATGCGCCGGAACAACGTCGATAAAACCGAAGTCGGTCTGGTCAACGCTTGTGCACTCAAAGGGCTTCCTATCTTCATTGAGTTGGCCAAGAGAATGCCGCATATCAAATTTGTCACTTGGAAGAGCTGGGGTACCAAACAATGGCATCTCGACCAGCTTCAGCAGCTGCCAAACGTCAAGTAAGCCTCAAGATCAGTCACACCAATAACCTCCAAACAACTCTAACCGTCTTCAACAGAGTGGAGCCTTCAACAACAGACACAGAGCGGGATATCTGGGACAGGATCAAGGTCCTCTTGGTACCCTCGGTGTGGAACGAGGCATGGGGGGCCGTCATCACCGAAGCGCAACTCCGCGGGATCCCCGTGATGGCGTCTGACGCAGGCGGCATTCCCGAGGCTAAGATTGACCTCCCTTACCTCGTCCCTGTGAAGATGGTGACGGGCGAGGTGGACGCCAAGACCGGTGACTATGTTGTCCCTCCCCAGGATATTGCGCCCTGGGAGCACGCACTCGCCAGGCTGATGGCCAGGGACACGACCGAGTACGAAGAGCTATCTGACTACACGGCGCGGAAAACGGTGCAGTGGATTCGGGGCCTTGATCAACGAGCTCAGGAGAAGTGGCTCCTCAAGATGTGAGGACTCAGAAAAGGGGTAAAGGAAAACGGCAGGGATCTCTAGGGGCAGGACATATACGTTATCGTTAGAAGGATATTACACCGGGCTGGGAAGAATGTTAAACAATAACTGTGATCGGTGGGATCAGTTTCGAGATGATGTCAAATGGGGGCATTTTTGGGCGAGAAAGCTGGCATAGTTAAAACACGATGTAACTAGGTAAACCAGTAACTCAATAACTAGATATTGAGTCTGTAGCCAAACTTGAACACTGCCGGCTATGTCTTTTGCATCTATGACCATGTCGAAGCTTCTAGAATGTTAATTTGACAGGAATGGACTCGGCAGTCGGAACTCCAGCCGTGATCTTCCCAAGCCAAAAGCTTAACATCACGGATTGCCCCTCCGTAAAGCGCAGAGCCTCCATCGTACTGGACACGTGTTTTCAAGGTAGTAATAAATAGCATATTAAGCAAGCATCGGATTGGGAAAGTGAGAGGATGGTTGGTATTCGGCAATTAGCCTGTAGGGGGCCATGCACCCAAGATCTGGGGCTCGGGAGTTGCCCGTCCTGAATAGCCGGATGGCAAACTCCAAACCAAAACATGCCGAAGATAGTTTAAATACGGCCATGTGGCCATCACTGCTCTTCGATTAATCTATGCTCGAGACTAACCCGCTAGTTATTACGCCTGTGCGAGGCATCATCACCAATCTTGCAGTTATCTATCCACTTACATCTTGAACACCGGCCCCAACACCCAACCCCAACTCACACAATAAAGAAAGGGAACAAAACACACAAGAAAACCGCCCCACCACCACCCAAAAACAAAAACCCAAAATGCGCCCCTCCCTCCTCCTCGCCCTCCCCCTCGCCCCCCTCACCCGAGCCGCCATCAACTGGGACGTCTACGAGTACGGCGTGGTGCCCAGCTTCCAGTGGTCGCGGCCCTTCCCCGAGGACGGCACCGACCCGGGCGGCTTCCAGGTGCTGTGCCGGCACGCGGCGTCGTTCGCCGCGCGCATGTACAGGCTGCGGGACCTGGCCGAGGCGCCCCCCGCCGGGCTGGCGCCGTGGCGCGGCGGGATCGAGGCCTTTTTGAGGGCAAGGGAGTATGTGGGTAGTTGGGATGGGGTGGATCATAAGGGGGAGGATAGGGAGTTGGTGGTAATGGAGTGGGCGGAGGTGCCGGAGAGGGTGAGGGCGTGGATTGAGGAGCAGAGGGCGGATGAGAGTGAGGCGAATGAGAGGAGGTGGTTGTTTGGTGTTTTTGAGAAGCCGGAGGAGAAGGTGGCGGGGGAGAGGGGGGAGGGTGGAGGGGAGGGGCAACAGGAGGCGGGGAAGGCGTCGGAGGTGGCGAGCGGAGGTAAGATCGTTGTGTTTCCGGCGGGGGCTCTCTACGAGATTCTGCCGTTGTGGGTGGCCAAGGGGAGCGGTTGCGAACGTAAGGATTACCTTGTGTGGCTGTCCGGAACGAGGATGCTAACAGGGTACTGTGTGCAGGCGACCTCAACAACCTGACCAAGTACAAGCCCCGGGCTGGAGAGGATCACACGGTGCTCGCGTGGCCTGTCGATCATACCAAGCCCCAACGCGACCTCGGCAAACGGGACATCACGTTCAAGATCGAGGCTCTGTCGGTCGTGGAGACAGAGGAGGGAAAGAAGTCGCGGCTAATGTGGGAGAAGATGCATAGGACCATCAAGAGGAACGAGCGGCGGCAGCAACGGGAGGAGCGCCAAAAGGCCAAAGAGGAGATCAAGAACGGGTGGGTGAGGGATGAGCTATAGAGAGGGAAATCCTCGTTGCGTGTTGATCATTAGGCGTTCTATATTCAAAGCTGTTTTCCTCTATCCTGTTTCTATCCTGCGTACCCAAAACGTACCGATCACTCCCGGTCATACAGGGACAGTTTCGTTCCTCGTGGCTGAGGGAGGTTTGGGTTCGCCAGTCCCTTCCATGTGTGCCGCCCGCTCTTCTACCGTCAGCTCGCTCTCGGCCTTACCGATTTTGATGGTGGTGAAGATGAGAAGGACGACGGCGGAACATGCGGTGGCAAACCAAAATGCCACCTTGTGACCCTCGGTGCCACCCCTGTTTTCGTCCTCGGACACGGCCAGGTCAGCGAGGCCGAGGAAGAAGCTGATACCAACGAATAATAAAGTGTTGATCAGGGCTCCGGCAATGCCCTGCCTCTCACGGGCCACGTTGGTCGTGATGAAGACGTTGGTGACAAGGAATGTGATATCGATACCGATGGTGGATCCAATCATGGCAGGGAAGATGAAGGCCCAGTAGTTTGCGTCGATGGGCGCAAAAGCGAAGAGGAGACAAGTGACGATATAGCCACATGCCGAGATGATGAGCAGGATCCGGCCTGGGAGCAGATGTAGGGTGAAACCGCCGACCGTGGCAAGGATAATACCGCCTGCAGCCATAGGGGCAAACCAGACGGCGGTCTGGAGGGCCGAAGCACCCATGAAGTCACCGATACTAAGAAATGGGTCAGCTTCCATGGAATGGGAACCAAGGGAGGGTGACCGTCTTACTGGAAACTGGCGTAGAACAGAAATATGCCAAACACGCCGTAGGCAAAGAATAGGGCAACGGACATGCGACCCATGTACTTAGGCTTAAACAAGTCAAACGGCAATAAGGGCTGCTCGGCGACCCAGCCCTCGACGTAGACGGCGGTGGCCAGCAGCAACAAGCCCAAAACAAACGTGACTAGGATGTAAGGGGTCTTCCAGCCGTCAGGTGCGTGAGCGCCATCGGTGATGGCGAAGGTGGTTAGAATCAATCCGGGTACGGTGGTTGCCACTCCCCAATAGTCCATCTTGATATGGGCGTTCTCGGCGCGTGTCTGGGCCCGGTCACGCGGGATATGTGATGAAGGAGCACACGGACACAAGAAAGGTGACGATGGAGCCTAGCCAGAAGTACCATCTCCATGACAGATACTCGCTCGTGGCACCACCGGTGATAATACCCAAGAAGAAGCCGATAGGCGCAAATGCACCCCACAAGCTGAAGACCAGGTTCTTCCGCGGACCGGGGCGGTAGGTCTTGCCGAGCAGCATGATACTAGTGGGCAAGAAGGCGGCGGGTCCCCAGACCACCCAAAGCTGCGGGTTACGATGAGCATCTGGTAATTGACGCTAAATCCCGAAATGAAAGTCCAGATGAAAAACCAGACGATGCCGGCGTTAAAGAGGGATGTAGGCGCCGTGAATGTCGGCGAGGCGGCCAAATGGGGAGAAGGAAAGGAGCCGGTGACCAGGGAAAAGACACTGGCGGGCCAGGTCTGGGAACCTTTGGGAATGTCGAGGGCCTTGGAGACATTGGGAAGGATAATGTTGAAGCCCGAGATGAAGAATTCCTGAGCAGGTTGGTCAGCGGCGCGAAAGGGAATGAAAGTGGCAAGGGAAACCCACGGCCATAAACATGGAAACTAGCAGGGAGCTGCAAAAGAGAATCTCGTAGACTGCATTCTTGAAGACGGCGGGCCGCTGGCGGCCGAGCTGATCGAGGTCGATGGCATCAGCCTCCGGGTTCGGACTCGGAATCTCGGTGTCTGTTCGGTCATTGTCATCGGATCCGGAGAGAGGGCCAGTAGTAATGCTTTCCACGTCCTTGGGGGTCATGACGCAGGCGCTGCAAGGCGGCGTTGAAGAGAGCGTGTTAGTTATTGTGACGAATGATCAATGATTAACCCATACTCTCGTAGTTGTGGTTGTGGTTGGTATTGATGTTGATGTTGATGGGAAGCTTCGGTTTTAAGCCAAGGCGAAACTGAACTGCTGCACCAGGATGGGATTAGTCACGAATTTCATTTTTGAATGAAGCAGTCCAGACCCTGCAGCCGTTGAGGATTTGGTGCCATTCTTGGTTAGCGCTGCAGAGCATGGCAAACTCAGGGATCCGCATTGGTCCCATCCGATCTTGGGGTGGCCAAAATAGGAACCATTCTGAATCAATCGGAGAAATATCGAATCTGTATCGATAACGTCAACCTGGAAACGGGGCTGATCCCGCAGGTCGATACGCTGATATTCTTGCCTCATACCCGCGGATTACAAATTACATTTGGCACGGCCTCCGCTTCTTGGACCGAAAGATAAGGTACCTAGGCTCGCTAGGTAAGTTGGTTGATGTTCGCCAGCTGAGATCTGGGGCGAATGCAGGTGTGCGATTCAAGTGCCACTTTGAGCCTAGCGCTTCAAGTCCGGAGTGCCAAAACCGGCGCCGGTGCTTGCCGAAAATAGTGGGGAAGTGGATGCCATTGCCTTCGATTTCGGAGCCGTCAGTTTCCAACACCAAATTACCAACACCACTGTCACGACTGCAATCCGTACCTACCTTACCTTACAGACACCCACCAAACGCCAGGGAATGAAGACGCCGTTAAAGCACCCAACACCTCGATGCAAGGGCTTGAGCCGCTTGACCGTGCACCGGTAGCCGCAAAGCCCCGGGCTTGTCACAACTGCCGTCGCCGCCGTCTCCGCTGTGACCGCTCCTTCCCGTCTTGTCGCAAGTGCGCCATCTCTGGTGAAGACTGTCTTGGCTATGGCACCCTCTTGCGGTGGGCCAATGCACCCGCTGTCCGCGGAAAGCTAGTGGGACAGTTGGCCGTGGCCAAGGCCGGGAAGCCAGGACCGAAGCCGGTTTCAGTTCCACCTCGGGCTGCAATCCAAAAGTCAACACTCTTCCTCCATCCATCGCTTCGTGATCCTCTGCTGGATGGGTTAAACCGCCGAAACAGGCATTATGTTCACCACTGTAAGCAAACCAGACCAATACGCTACTCATTCTATTATGTCCCGTTAGGTAACCCTTGCTCACATCCACAGTCGCCACCGCCGTGTGTCGAGACCTGGTGTCCTTCGATCAGCATGACTGCAACCCTTTCCGCGCTGTCGTCCCTTTGCTGTACGAATTTGACTTTCTCAAAGCCGTCATCGTAGCTACTGGAGCCATGCATCTTGCCGCCCTTCATGGTTACCAAAACCAGCCCGAACGACCTGAGCTGGTCGACGCCCTGGTAGCCAAAGGCAAAGCCATCAGTCTTCTTCGGTCTGCCGTCGACAAAATGACGCCCGAGAACCAAGCCATGGTCTTAGCCGCCACCGTCTTTCTTATCAATCTAGATCTGATCGACTCCGGCAAGGGGGGCTGGCAAGTCCACATGGAAGCTGCCAGTGCTCTCATGTCGTCACTCCGCCATCCGGCCCACGGGCATCTGGACCAGGGACTCATGGCCTGCATTGATGCCATCGCTGCCGATTGTCTCACATATCGCGTCTTCGGGTCAGCCATTAGCGGGGTAGCCCTAACAGCTGGGACCGAGCACGACCCATCCGAGTTCTTGTCCATCCTCAGGCGTGCCGAGGCATTCAGCTATCACTGCTGCCCCCCAGAAATCCTCCACATCCTTCTCTCGGCAAGCAACCTATGCAACCGAAGCGACCACAGCCGAGTCGAGGAAGACGCCCTCTCCCTGATTCACCAGGCCCGGTCTCTAGACCTCGCCGAGTGGGTGCAAAACATCCATGGCCTCTCGACTGACGATGACCTCGACATCCGCCTTAGCATCGCGCTCGCCCACCGCGCCACTGCGTGTTTGTACATCCTTCTCGCTGTTCCAGAAGCCATTCCCTTCCCCTCGTCGGTCGTTATGCTCATCGAGGAAGTCCTGGGCTATCTAGCGGCCGTGCCCATCGATCACATCCACTTAAAGGGGACGGTTTGGCCGACATTTGTCGTCGGTGCCCAGACCGACGATCCGATGCAGCGTGCCTGGTGCATCGCGCGGATGGAGGCTGTGTGGACAACGAGCCCGTGGATATGTCCGTGGGGCTATATCCGGACCGCCATGCAGATGTTGCACAGTCTTTGGGATGCCAGGGACCGGGAGCCCGCCAGAGAGGGGAGGCGGAACTGGTTACTCGAGTTGAAGAGCATGCGGGAGAAGTGCTTAATCGTATGAGTGAATTCTCCCAATCCAAACGTTTCTGCCACGTTCAAAAGCCACCCAATGATTCCTTTGTGTTGTTTAACTTCGATTGGTGTCCTTGACATGGACAGCCAACAACCTCGTCCCCCGAGTTGTCATCCCGCGGCTTCCCCGCATGTCACCACACCCTGACTCCAACTCTCTATTCCTGGCCCGGCCCCAACCGCCATGAGCTCTCTCCACTGCTGAAACAGAGCATCGCCGCCGCCATCGTTCGGCCAAACTTGGTGTGTCACGGCCTACCCCAATCCCGCCACCAATATCGCAGAGTATCTGTCAAAGTTGTCCAACACCGGGAAATTGCTCCGGGCCGCAGTTCCAGGCACCATTGCCATTGCGCAAGTCCGCCCGACGATGGCGAGCCTAGCGGCTGTTATCGTGCTCCGTCATCTGACAGCCAGAAGCAGGTGTCTTGGCCATTGCCCCACCCGTTCGCGTGCAGCCATAACTGCTCCTCTCAACCGCTATTGCACTCACTTCTTTGTGCGGCGCGGGAATGGCGTACACGCTCAAGAGATGAAGCTCGCCAGGCTGTGAGCCCGTGCCATGTTCCAATTCCCATTCCAATCTCCATATCTGATGACCCAGCAATCCATCCCCCGGCGTTGCCCGCATGACAGCCGAGCACCACACGAACCCCCCCTGAGCAGCAACCCCGCGGCTTGACCCCGCCAATGCGCATACATCCCACGCCCCCCTCTCGTTCCAGCCCTGGCCATTAGCCTCACGCCTCGGGTCGCGCGACCCTCCCACCCCCACTATGCCCAGGCACCCCTCTACCGGAAACACGGCTCGCAAGCAGCACGCCGACGTTGGCGCCTGCGTTGTCATCGTGCGTTTTGGGTTGGCATCGACCAGGCTGTGTCGCGGACTTGCCTGTTTTGGTGAGGTTTGGGTAACTAAGTTGTGCGCAGTGGAGGAAGGGTCAAGAGCTATGCTCAGGGGGTGTTGGATGTACAGTTCCTACAAAGTACCTAGGCACAGCAGCCCTGGAGAGACAGAGAGGCATATAACAAGTTCATGCATTATAAACTCTACGCACAAAGACAGGAAAGCATTGCTATCGGCGCCCTTGCGTGATAACGGTCGATCCAGTTCAAACCAACCAACACCGTCGCCAGCTCAGCAAAACAACAGACACCCTGCCGAGCAAAAGTGAAAAGGCGCCCCGCAGCAAAAGCGATGCGACCATCCTCTTCCCCGAACGTTGCCCACAGCCAGAATCGAACTGACGACCTTGTCATGATCCAGAAATACTAGTGACACGCTCTACCACTGAGCCATGCGGGCATCTGATGAATGATGGGACGAGGTACGCTGCCCACAGCCAGAATCGAACTGACGACCTTGTCATGACCTAGGTTTACTAGTGACACGCTCTACCACTGAGCCATGCGGGCTTTGATGGAGCGCGAGAGAGGTATTGGTGGTGATGTGGTGGGGACACGGTGGTTAGGGCTGGTCCTAAGCGGGTCTGGCGGGCGGGCTGCGGCTCCGAGGCTAATTTTGGGATGTGGACCCCGGGCGGGTGCTGGCGCGGGGAAGACGGGGACCGAACAGTTGGGACAGTTTGGGGCAAGGGTGTTGAGCGAGGAGAGGGAGGGAGCGCATCACCGCTGCAATGGCGCAGGCCGCCGGCCCGGGGGGACCTCCTCGTCGTCTCGCCTCCGACGGTGTCGATGCCGTTCTCCAGGCTGAACGCGGGTCCGATACCCCCTGTGGCTCCGATGCCCCTCGTCACTCTCCTCTTCCCTGGTCAGATCTACCCTCCTGCTTCTCGACCTTGCTTCCTCTGTCCGCGGTGTTCCTCTGCTTCTTGTCGCGCGCTTCTCCGTTCGACGGTCCACTTCATCCACCCCACCCCTTTCCCTAAAGCCCTCCCTCCTCGTGCTCTGCTGCCGACTCCGCATACCCTGTTCCAACCCCGGATGTAGATTCTTCATATTGTGAATGCTCGCCTGCATGTTTGCGAGCGACCCCGTCAAGCGGTCCGCATCCGCCACCAGCACGTTCCGGACCATGCAGTCGCGGTGCGACGGCGGCGGTGCAGAGTGGGCCAACCGCCTGATCGAGTCGGACACGCCCTGCAGCTCCTGGGTGACGCTGTCGAGGGCGGCGGACAACTCCGGGTCGACCGCGCCGGCGCCGACTTTCTTGTCCCCGGCCCCTCCCGGATCGCCGGGAACGGACCGGGTGCCGGCTGCGGCAGCAGCCGCAGCCGCCTTTTTCTTGGCTTCCTTCCTGCGCCGGATGAGGGCGCGGATGCCAAAGGCAAAGACGCCGACCGCGAGCTGGCTGACGAGCGCATGCATATCGCCGCTGTCGCTGCGGGGCAAATCGCGGCTGCTGCCGCGTTTGCTGGCGGAGGAGGGCTCCCGGGGCTTGCTGCGGCTGGATTTGCGCCGGGAACTTTGGGATCGAGATTTGGAAGGTGCCTTTTGCTCGCTAAGCTTCTTTAGGGAGTAGGAAAGGATTGCGCGGCCGAACTGGTGGAGAATCTCAGGAGGCACTTTCGAGTCTTTCTTCCCCCCTGACGACCCGGCCCGCGATGAGCGGCGGGAGGATGGCATTTCGAATGTTGGGTGCGTGCTGAGTATTATTCCGCCAACAAGACCCTTGACTTGGATGATGAGGAGATCCAAGGAAATAGATGCGAGGAGCAGAGAAAAACAATCTCGGGATGAATGACTTCAAGGGTGCCAGTGAAGCGGACTGAACTGCGTCCCAGACTTTATTCTGCCCTCCATATCGCATTCGTTCTTCCACGCGATGCGCACAACTCGTGGGTATGAGGTGTGACGGTTGTCCGATCAGTCAAGTTCATCGCGTGACCAGGTGACCGAGACAACACCGCCACTACAACCACCCCGCAGATGGATCCATGTGCCCTATGTCCAACATTTTGTCAAGCTTGTCAACCACCCGCTCAAATCGCAATAGAATCGCAATAGGCTACAGCACGTGTCGACTAAGTTTCCCTTTCGTGTCGTCGTTGGTTAACTTGTCCTGAGTCCCTGCAGGCGTCAGCTTCAGGCAGTTCCCAACAACCCAGGGCAGAACAAAAGCAGACTTACAGGATGGACAGCTCAATCATACCCTTTATCTTGGCATGCATGGTAATCTCAAGTTCCAGGTCCATGTCCAACCTGACTGCAAGATCACCGCGGCGGTCCGGGTGATTCTGTGGTGTTATCGCCTCGTCTGACCGTCGGGTAACCTGTGCTTCTCGAGACGGCCTTTGCGCAAGCTGCCGGTGGCGGCTGAGGCTCCGGGTTCTCGGAAGGCCTACATCTTGCTCCTCTAATACTTGATCGTCTTCCGTCTGAGTCCCGCTTTCCACGACCGAGTCGCTTGCTCGGCGTTGTCCCATCTCCAATCGTTTAGAAGAACGTTCAGGCATTGTATTCTTGGATAGGTAAGGATATGGGTGATCTCGCGCAATCCGTCAACAGGTCTTCGTTTTATCGAAAGATCGCTGGTTATCGAGTGGAAATTCTGAATTTTGCTGGGCGAAAGACAGAAGCGAGGGTTGACATCGATGGTCCATGACGCGATCGGCCGATGATGGCGACAATAGAGTCGACTATTCAGCCACTCGACAGGACGAAGGATGGAGCATTGTCCTTGTGGCATGACATCACCCTGATCTGAGGGCCGATCCGGATCTAGGTCCAAATGTCGAGCTAACGTGTTAACCCAGCCGTTCCCGCTCAACCCGCAACTAATGTTTTTCCCGTCACTAGCCAGCAGGGACGATGCAACGATTTGCGCGGATTGAGAAACGAAAACCCGACACCAAGACAAGTGCTCTCTATTGTCAATATGCCAGGCCCCGACCCGACCCGACAACTCGGTATTCCAACCGCCGACTAACGGGTGTAGCTTGTGTGTGTCTGGCCAGAGCTCTTCTCTCTCCTTTGTCGCAATTGTCATTTTCCTCTTGCCCCGAATCGCCCCCATCTCCACCCAGGCCTAAGCACTTTCCGCGGCGGCCGCGGCGGCTTTCTCCTTGGCAAGCCTCCCCATCTTCTCGACCGCCTGTGTCAAGGTCGGCAGGTTCGCGCCTTGTATCGTAACATTGCCGTTGACGGCGACCTGCTTCCCTTCTTTGAAGAACATGAAGGTGGGCATGGCGGCGACTTGGTACTTCATGGCAACGGACGCGACCCTGTCGACATCCACCTTGGCGAAGGCGAGGTAACCGGGGATGGAAAATGTCGAGGCCATCCTGAGGAAGTGCGGCGCAATCGCCTTGCAAGGTCCGCACCAATCGGCGTAGAAATCGACGATGACGTATCTCGTAGTCGCCAAGAGCGAGTCGAATTCGCTGTGCGACGCAACATGGATGGGTTCGGCCATGATGGGCGGCGATGTTGGGATGGGACTGTGTCAGAACAGATGCGAAGCGATGCAGGGTGCACTGCAATGGAGGAGGGGCAACTTCAGCAAGGGCTTCGGGGCATTTCCAGGCGGGCAAGGCGGGCAAGGCGGGGCAAGTTGCGCAGTCCTCCCTCAGCCTCCGACCCACCCAGAGACCCTAACCCTACAAATTGACCCCTGAATGCAACAACACTCAGAAGCAACAACATCAACAAGGAATTTCTGCAGTGGAAATGCTCCGACGCTCTCCCAAGGTATCAGGCTCCCTTCACCGCTCTCGCCAAGATGACTCGGTCCTAGCCAGGTCTGGAACCATCAACCATCAGACCGCTCTCCGTGCACTGTGCAAGGGGTGAGGCGAAAATCGGAAACACTCGGGGAAACAGGAGGCAGTCCCAGCAATCTGGTTACATGACCAGGGTGTTATCTCGGTACCAAGCCTTGCGCTGGCGGTGAAGATCTTGGAGGCGTTTGTCGATCAGCGAAAAAGGAGGAGGGCTAAAGGGCGCCACCCACACCCAAACCAGGTGAGCAAAAGTGAATGCAAGGAAGCGAACATGGGACTTGGTGCCCAAAAAGATGTCCCAATTCCATTCCCAAACAGTGGGTACCTGGCGCACTTGAGGCAGGGGCGTACCTGCATGTCTGTGACATGGTACAGGTCAGCACGCACGCATGGCAGCCCAATGGAATGGCGGCTCTGCTCACCGCAGCTCGGCTGACGACAGAGCGTTAGTGGAAATACAGGGCCACCGGCCAGTCACACATGGGACCCAGACATGGTAATTCTCAAGTTTTCCACAGTTTGAGAAAGTCCGATCTGAACCAGAAAAGCAAAAGACACCCAAGATCCTGGATCCGGGATCTACCCGTGCCATGAGGTGAACAGCCAGCATGCCAACAGTGGATCTCTGGATCCTTTCTCCTGCTCGGGTCAGGCAACCTGCCACAAACCTGAAAGCTTGAGCAACCGGAAAACATGAACTCTTCCCCCCTGTCATCCTTGTCACTTACACCGTGCCAGTCAAACCAGCATCTCTCCTGGACTGGCATCAAAGCACCATGCCAAACCCACGCCTTCCTCCTAGCTTCGTATCCCCCTTCGCCTCCTTCCTTGCACGGGTATGGTCGGCAATGGTGGGCCGAAAGGCAGAGCCGAAAGGGTGCGCTAGCGGGTCAGAGCAGGCTTCAGTCCGAACTATGACGGTCAATGACGATAAAGCAGCTAGCAAAGGGCGGGAAGGAACGATCAGGGTGCTGGGCGGTGAAAATTTGAAGATTTCGGCACACAAAGTGAAAAACCTGTTTGTTTCCATGCGAGCCCAAACACTCTTTTCCTTTCCACCACCACTTCTTCCCCCCCCTTCGTCCGTCCCCCCTCTCGTCCATTCATTCCTCTTCACCATTCCCCAGCTCAATCATTCCAGTCAACTGGAACCACAACTTCCCAACCAAGCGTCCGATCAAGTTCATCATGACTTCTCCTGTCGACCCCCACAGCAAGTGTTATTCGCACATCAACGGCACTGCCAATGATCTCAGCGACCGCCTTGCCGTTAGTGAGCTCTGTAAGGGCTGGCCCGTCTATCGCGATGCCTCCGAGTGGCAGAACTACCGCGACCTCTTTGCCGAGGATGCCACCGTCTGGACTAGTAAGTCTGATCTGACATTCCCCAAGCCAAGCACACCCCCGCTGACCACTCCCACCTTCAATCAGCCTGGAGCGGCCCCCAGCCTGTCGACGACTTCATTGCTATCTCCAAGGCTGGCAAGGAGAAGGGCGTTTTCATCATGCACCGTGAGTGCGGCACTCTGGTCGAGCTGGCCAGCAACAACAACCGTGCCATCGGCAAGATGAAGGCCACCATCACGCACCGCTTCAAGTTCGACCCCACCACTGGCGGTAATGGCGCTTCCCCCGACACCGAGACCGCCGAGTTCGACGTTGATTGCGACTGTCGCTTCATCTTCTTCTGCGAGAAGAACGCCGAGACCAGGCAATGGAAGGCAAAGTACGTCAAGCTGTTCTACGAGAAGGACAAGGTGGTCCCCACCGATGGCCGCACTGCTCCCGTCTTCTCCAAGGAGGAGCTGGAGAAGATCCCCACCGGCTACAAGTACCTCGGTGCCGCTCAGGCTCGCCTTGGTTACCGGATTGACCTCGATCTTCCCACTGCGGGTGGCGAGCTGTTCACCCGCATGTACGGCGAAATGGAGAAGTGGCTGGATGGCAAGTCGGTCGACCTCTTCTGGGAAGGCAAGTAGGTCAACACCACATATCACATGGCTTGGGAGTTCGGATGGGCAAGGACGAGGGGAAAAATAGCGAATGGCATGGCTTCGGTGACTCACATAGAGCTGAATCATCTCTGCTTTTAATCATTAATCACTTCTCTGCTCTCTGCACTCCGTACCTAGTCAAGTGTTAGGCGAGTGTTCTTTTCCATGGCCCTAGATCCACATCCTTCGCATGGCACAACGTGGTTCGACAAGGATCTCCGTGTGGCACCACACCTTCTCGACCTTCTGTGACACCGCAGCCCTGTCGTGGACCCCTAACCCAGTGACAGGGCTTGCTTTTGGCACAGATTGCAGCCGTTGCACAAGTTGTGGACCAACCATTGAAATCAACAATCAACCACTGTGGTACATACCAATTGCTTTGGCCTAACCTTCTTAATCTCGATCATATACAAAATCTGTTCTCAGGACTCGCTGCATGTGTAGGTAGGTACATACAGAATCAGAAAACAGCAGCATCAAAGACCTCTGCAGTCGAATGCTGACCTGGCATCAACCCATCCGAGCCACAAGAATTAGCCACGAGTTCCAAGCTCGATGGGGAGTAAATGTAAAGGTGGCCAGTGAGCTGGTTGATGTTGGCCTTGAACCATGGACGGACAACTCATGGTATTTATGACCTGATTTCTAATTCCACCCCTTTCAAACAACACAACCACCTCACCCACCCAGAATACAATCACACACCTTTTCGACATATTTCCGTCTAATTACCCCAGCATTGCTGGCACAAACCACCCCGGACTTCAACGAAAACACCCATGTACCTACATGCATGGCCTGCAACCACAATGCATGTTCATGCCCATACATACAGCCACACCGCCTTCAACCCCAAGTCCAACCCCCCTGATAAACCCGGCGCAGAAAGACGTGGCCACCTCCGTTCCATTGATTCCGCAGCTGGATGTAGCAGTCGGCATGGTGCTAGTATGTCCACGGAAAACGAACAAGATCGGAACGAAAGTGTCCGTCGCCGCAGCCCCCGTGCATCCCGAAAGGTCCCAGGCTTTGCCCTGTTGGGATGCCACGGCGATGCTAAGAGGTCCATAGCCGCGATGGATTGCTCGCCTGGCCCACTTCGCCGGGTGCTCTTCAAGTGAGGAGGGCACACGTGGGGATTATCGAAGTTGACGCGAGCTAAGACCCCGAAGCATCGTCGTGTTGATGCTCGGGGGTTGGTGTTTTCTCGTTTGTTTGACGCAGCCAATGGTGGCGTACCCGTCGGCTAATTGGGGGAGCCAGAAAGGCGGTCTCAGGTCACGACTTTGATTCGCCGGCGAGTTGACCACTGGGAAGCAAGCCGTGAAAAAAGGCCCATCCAGAAGCAAGGGTGGTGAAGCTCGACTGCTACTGGTGGCCCTGATGGTGGGCCAGATGGTGGACCGCAACTTCACTTCGCTTCAGAGAGTTGAACGCAGCCTCGAGTTCAGGGCGACGCAAGGCTCGATCGAGCACACGTGAAAGCACAGCAACACCAAAAGAACAAGACGCAAACGTAAACACCAACATCATCGTATTACACCATTACTCCTATCCCCCATTACATAACCCGATCCCCATTACATGCTACCCGTATCCGCCTCCCTGAGAATGCACCCCCATCGCTGTACATGCTCCTGTCCCATCCATCCCCCTTGCGCGCTTCCTCCTCTCCCATGTCATGAATCGACAATGGTACCATCGCCCATCACGACAAAGAGGCTGTGCGCCCAAGACAAGTCTAAACGAAAAATGCAAAAACCGTTCCATGATGTCCTTGTACAGGCGGGGCCCGCGGGGGGGTAATCCCATCATCAGTCATAAAACCAAAGCCAACCCAAAAAGCATCGCTCAAAAAACAGATGTATGCAAACAGAAAGACATGAATGAAAAGTGAAATGATAGACAAGGGGGGAAAATAGAAAACAGTTTTGCAAACAATACCACCCAAATGAAGACAAACTGATAAATGACATGTAATGCCGATTAAGGAAGAAGGAATGCTTCGGGGAAAGTGTTGAACCAGAACAGTAAACGAAACAGGGGAAAAGACAATCGAGCCAGCCCGAAGCACAAAATCTTCCTTCCTTTTGGTGGTCCCCTCCAGGCGACGCGTAAACCCGGGGGCGCGCGGGGCGGGTTAAGAAGCCCCGCGCAGATATGGCCGGTTTCCAAATTCGCGGGGCCTCTCCGACTCGGAGGTTCCGCAGCGTCCCGTTAAGATGGTCTTTTCTATGTTCCCAAATCGGGACGAAAGACGCAAACCGAATCCATAGAGGGTCCGCGGGGTCGAAATTGGCGCTTGAGTTCGGGGTCGTGGTGAGGCGCTGCCGGACAGGGGACTTTTTCAGTTCTAGAAATCGCACGCCTGATGAGTTGCACTGTTTGTGTCGTCCAAAAAGCCCCGTTTAGTGGTTGATAATCACCGAGGAAGGGGAGGGTCCCTTGGAACGGGTGTCGGGGGCCAAGGGGCGAATGAAACGAGTGAGGGCGGGACCCGGGGAGGGGGGTCTCAGATGGCAGCAGCGATCTGGAGCATGACTGACAGAGCGCCCCTGTCGCCGGGGTTCCGCACGACCATGAGGTGTTTGTCCTTTTTGCTCCTACCGCTGCTGCTGTCGCGGTCCTTCTCCTTTTTCTGCGGGGACGACGTGCGGGATCGTCTGACGCGGCGCGAGGCGGAAGCGAGCTGGTCGACACGTTGTTGGAGGTCGACGACCTGTCCGGTGGCGGTGTTGTATGACTGGGTTACGCTGTTGAGAGACTCTTGAAGGCTGTTGACCTGTTGCTGAGTGGCGCCGAGCTGGACGGACAGGGTAGTGTTAGCCGCGGTGAGTGTATTGATCTCGTCGATTCGGCGCGTGATTTCTTGCCCTTTGGCTTCAAGGTCGGCACGGAGGGCTGCAGCAGTGGCGTCGGGGTCTTTGGAGAGCTCAGATTGCAGTTGCGTGATCTGGTCTTCGAGCGAGGAAACCTTGCCCTCCAGCTCAGACTTGGCCGCCTGTAGAGGAGGAAGCTTGCCTGCCTCAGCCTCAACTTCTGCAATCTTGGCTTTGAGGGAGGCGGCCTCCTTCTCAAGATCGGCCACCTTGCTCTCTGTAACTACCCTCTCGGTGAACAGGCCAGGGATCTTATCGGCTTCGCCCTGAAGCACGGTGACCTTGCCACGAAGCTCGGTGATTGTGGCTTCAGACTCCGAGACCTTACCCTCCAGCTCTACCACTTTGCCGACAAGTTCAGCCTTCGTGCTTTCCAATGCAGGGATCTTTGCAGCTTCGGCGTCTGCGGCAGCCTGCGCGGCGGCCTTTTCGGCAATGAGCTTGGTGATCTCAGCCTGCGCGGTGGTGAGCGCACCACTGACTCCGGCCATCTCCTTCGCTAGATCAAGCTTCTGGCTCGCAATGGAAATGTTGGCATCTTTGGCGCCGGCGAGGTCGGTGCTGAGAGTGTGGATCTGTGCCTGCATCTCGGTCTTTTCGGCGTCGAGGCCCTCAATCTGCTTTTGTAGATCGGCCTTGTCGGATTCGAGGCCCTCAATCTGGGTCTTGAGGTTGGCTACTTCGGCCTTGGATGTCGAAAATTCCTCCTCAAGAACAGCGATGGTCGCGTTGAGGTCCGAGGTAGACGCGGTAAAAACATCTACTTGGGTGCTGAGCGTGGCAATTTGCCCTTCAGCTGCATCAAGCTTGGCTTCAACCTCCACCTTTTCCTGCTCGACGCGCGCCTTGGCCGTCTCAAGCTCGACCTTTTGCTGCTCCAACTCAATGGCCCGGTTCTTTGCAGCCGCGTGTTCCTCCTCGAGTTCCTCCCGAAGCGCCTTCTTCTCTTGCTTGGCGGTATCCCTGATCTTCTGTTGTTCCTCCTCGGCAGCCTTCCTCTCCTGCTTGGCGGTATCCCTGAGCTTTTGCTGTTCCTCCTCAGCAGCCTTCAGTTCATCCTTGGTAGCAGTTACACGAGCAGTCAAGACACCCATCTCGGTTTGCAACTTCTCGCGGTTGGCAAGCAACTCGGCAATTTCTTTGTCCTTGTTGTCGCGCTGCTCCTGGAAGGGCGTCCCTGCTGGTTTCGAGAGCGGCGATCTGGTGGGGTCAGGAGCTCCTCTTGGTGCTTGCGGTCGCCCTGGAGCTTCTTGTAGTCCTTCTGCAGCGCCGCAAACTGCTCCCCGACCTTGTCCTTGGATGCCTGGGTTTCCTCCCGGTCCTTCTCGGTCTCCTCGATCATGGCCTTCTGCAGCTCCATCGTGGACTTGTATTCGTCAAACACTTGCCGAGTGGCGTCGAGCTTCCCTTGAAGGTACATTCTTGCCTCCCCCCCTGACAATGGGCATCCCGCTCCTTCTCGACCTCCTCGAGCATGGCCTTTTGCAAGTCGAAATTGCTGCGGAACTCGTCAAAAACGGCCTTTTGCTTCTCCAGCATGACGAGTACCTGCTCCCTACTTCTACGCTCGGTGTTGCGTTCCTTCTCAAGCGCCGCCTTCTCCCTGTCGAGCGTAGTAAGGCGGGTAGAGTTGTCGTCAAGCTCCCTCCTCAGCTTCGCCTCGCTCTCACGCAGCGTCTCCCTGTCGGCCTCGAGCAGGTCGATCCTGTGCATCATGCTGCGCTCCATCTCCTGCTGGTAGCGCTCAAGCTCGCGGGTGTACCGAGACTCGGGGGTCTCGGCAGTGAGGGGGAGCATCTTGATCTGGACTGACCGGCTGCCGCTCTTGACAACGGTGCGGTCCGCTTCGGAGGGCGGTGGCGCCCGAATAGTAAGGCGTGGCTTGGCCTTGCGGACAGGGGTTATTATCGAGCTGGCGACGCTTTCGGAGCCGATGACGCTGGGTGTGAAGCGGACAGAGGGCGTCGGCTTGGCGACGGTCTCAGTAGGTGTCACATCGCTGGCGCCGGAGTCCGAGGGCGACGAGATGATGGTTGTTGCTTCCGTGGTGGAGGACAAGTCAGACATCTCGGAGACGGCGGACTCCGTCTCGGGGTCGGTGCTGTGGTAGAGCTTGTCATGGCGGTCGTACGAACCGCGGCGGCCATGGCGCCTGTTGTCGGGTGTATACTGGGAGCTCAGGACCGAGCGGACTGGAGGCACATGGTAGACGGATGGGGTGTTCGGCGAGGAACCCCTCGATGGTCTCAAACTAATGACTCCTTGACGTTCGGCGGGGATCCCTGGGAACTTGGCCTTGAGGACCTTCCTGGGTAGGGCAGTCGAATTGGAGGGGACGGGTTGTGGCAATGACGACGATGCAGCAGACGACGACGCAGCGGACGACGACACAACGGACGACGACACAACGGACGACGATACAACGGACGACGATACAACGGACGACGACCCCAGCTCAGAGTCGCTCCCTACACCGTGGAAGTTGGATGATGTGACGGAGGTGTCAGAGTTGCGGCGTGGCCTGGTCGACGGCCGAACAGTCTTCCTCAAGATGGATTTGACGGGCTGCTCCCTCTCGCTATCATGCTCACGTTGCCTCTCCGGCTCCCACTGGGGCCATTCGGCGGGGCGCCCGGAGGACCGGGTCTCGGAGCCTGGGGTCACGGTGCCCCCTACCCTCGGTCGAAGGTATTGTCGTTCCCTCTCCATCGAGGCAAGACTGTGGTGTTTGCGAATGTCGTGATGTGGACTAGTGATGTTGTGCTGTGATGTCTTCCAGATGTTGTCTGTGCTCTGTTTGCCTCTCTTTGAGTGTCTCTCTCTCTGAGTGTCTCTTTCTCTCTGAGTTCTCTCTGAGTTCTCTCTTCTTAGGAGACTCAAGTCGCTATCGGGTTGTGGTAATGGTGTGGCTTGGGAATAATGTTGACACGGGCGGGCATTTCGGGTGGAATTGTCGAGCTTTAGGGCGAGAATTGTATTTGTTGTGCGCACGAGACGAACAGACAAGGGCGATGTGATGCAGTTCGGGAAGTAGACGAGACAAAGCGGGCTAGGGAATCCACCCACAATGCATGGTTTTGATGCCAGCACGGGCGGGGAGCATACAGTGGAGAGAGCCGCAGGAGAGCAACACCGAGACTGGCACTGAGTGGCTCTAGCCAGAGCTGTGAGAAACCGGGCGTCTCGCTTGTGTGTGACCTCACCGTCTTGGCCGGCCCTGCAACTACATGAGTCACTCTCAATCTGGCTAGACAGCCTCGCGAAGTGCTGGATGAGGAAAAATCGGAGGGCTGGCATTGGGCATGGACACGGTGAGACGTCGAATCGGGTCGGGCCTCGGAGCGCGTTTTTTTGTGTTTTGCACTGGCAACTTGCAGGGCGCCTCATTGGAAAAAAACAGGGCAGGGCAGGGCAGGGCAGAGCAAGCGGAACCACTCAAGCGAGACCTGATGCGCCTAATGTGCTGGAACAGTGGAAAGGAAAGGCCTCAACAGGAGGATCTGGGAATCAGGCGTTCGCAGGGGGCAGGCATTGCGTGCGTGCACTCGCACATACTCGGCATCTGCTGGGGTTGATTCAGTTGCCACCCATTGCCAAATCACCAGTGGCGGACTGACAGGGTCGTCTGACGAGCAACTTCGAGGAGTTGGGTGGTGAGGGGGGTTGGTCTGTGGCTGGCTGCCTCGCGTGTTCGAGTTGTCATTCGCAGCAGCGGCAGCGCCCAAAGCCAGAGAAGAGGCGGCGATTGACGAGATTGACGAGATTGACAGGGGCGACGGCCAAGGCTGTCCTGCCCAGCCCAGGCTGCCCGGCAATGGAAGAATTCTCTTCAAACCGGCCAAGCTGTGAGGCCGTCAAACCGGGAAGGGGCTGTCAATGAGGCCCGGCCCCGGGGCGTTGGCTGGCGATGGCTCCTTCCGTCCATCACGACCCGAAATAAGCGTCAGCGGCTCCGTGTGTTGAATGCGGGAAGGAACGGGGCCGCCGACCAAGCCAATCAGAGGGGTTGCTGAGTGACATCAACCCCGCTTTCGGGCATCGTTAGGCCACGACATGCCTCGACGTGGTCTTTCACAATTCGCGATTTTCCAACTTCGTGCCTTCCAAAAGCCCTGGTCCGCATACGACTGGACCGCAACAGTCACGCGTTGCTGCCATTTGCTGGAAATCTCTCCTCTGCAAGCCATGGCGAGGCAATTGGCACCTGGGCTTGCACCCTCCTCAGCTGGATCTTGATTGGGGCTTGGGGGCCCAACTGCCCGCTGTGACAATGCCGACACGCCCATTCCATCGCCGACTGGACTCTAGGTCGCCCAATGGCCCCGAGGCACCATCTCATCACGGACCATCACGCACAATCACCAGCTTCAGAACTGGGAACAGGCCCAGACTCGCGGTTCTCGAGCCCGTTCCTGGGTGCACCGTGCCGCCGCCAATGCACGACTCGCATACTCAACTCGTCATTCTTGCTAGCAACAACCACCGGCGTCAGGAAATACCGAAGCAGGGCCGGCCAACGGCTCGCCGAGACACGGTGGACCCCGGTGAGAGACAAGTCAAAAGCCACTTTGGCCGAGCCAGTCAGGAGCGGAACGCGCAATCGCTCGGAGGTAGCGGCTAGACATGGTCAGACACGGTCAGTCATAATAAGCAGCCTCGACCTGCACACTCCGCCGTGGTTTGTCTTTTTCCGTCATCGTGTTACCCGTGGTTGCTGCCCAAGCTTGCAAAAGCCCCCCTCTCCGGGTCACGGGCTGAGGGGAGGCAACCGATCCCTCCGGCTCCGAGACGCGTTTTGGTAAAGACACTCCCAACCCCGGAAGACACTCCCAGCCCCGGGACACATCGGCCACCCGGCTCCGGCCCCGCTCAATCTTGGCAGTCCACTCACGGCACAAACCCAGCGGGCCGGTCCTTGTCTGTCCCTGTCTCCTCTCGCTGGAAGAGTCTCGAACTCACTTGCTCCGGACGTGCAGACCTAGTTAGTCCCCACCTTCGTAGCGAACGCACGGTCATACCGCCGTTACTCCTCCGCCCCCAGTGTTGTCTGTTCTGCAAGTCAGATTTCAAACATTGCTCCACTCGGCGGTTGGCGAGTTGTTAGTGTCCAGGGACGGCTGCCGTTCTATTTGGACGCTGGTATCCGCCATACCTGCAACAGCCTAGAATAGGAAGCCAGTGGATTGGTAAATACGCGATTTTGAACCCCATAGGCGGGCATTTTGCGCCCAGCACGGACGCGCAACAAATCGAATCGAGTTCCGCGCACAACAACAGCCAGGCCCCCTGTCTCCACCTCAGGCGGTGAAAGTGCTTGGTTCCGTCCGCCTCCTCCAGACACGTATAATAGGCCCCCGTCCTCCTCAACAGATTGCTTGCGTCTCTCGTGTTTGGACCGAGACACCCCCGCTACCTGCGCCCCGCCGCATCTGCCTGCAAGCTCTTGTCAGGAAGGGTTGATTTATCCGCAAACCGAGGGCCAGGACGGCTTGGCTTGGACGCATAGCCGCATGGATGAGAAGCGTCAGATGGAGTCAGGGCAGACTACGTGGACACATCGCCAGTTCGGTCAAGTCAAACCGCTTCCTGGGCGGGGTGGCAAAGTCACGTCAGCTTCTCCTCATGCGGCTCAAGGACGGATGGCTGGGAGCAGGAGCCTATAGATGGCGGGGCCAAGTGAGGGGCTTCTTGACCGGTCGGCGGTGTCAGATCAGGGACAGCCACATGGAGGGCTACGCTAGCGGCGGATGTGGTGCATGACCCGACGATCGATCATGATCTCTGATGAGCCTATCGCCATCACGAGATGCGAGATGGTGTTGGGATAGATTTCATGCTGTCCGTGCCAGCACAGAGCTCAAAGGCAGTGGCACTGCGTTCCGTGTCACAGGATCATGTCCTCGACGCCCCGGTGGCTTGGATGGGACACTGTCAAAGCCTCGTAAAGATGGCTGCTCACAGAGCCACGGGGCCGTAAGACGGCGTCCTCAGAGGCAGAATCCCTCGGGTTTGTTGTCTGTTGCGAAATGTGTCCCTCTGGGGTTGATTCCCCCCTCCGTCGCTGTTCGGGTTGTTGCTTTCTCCACCAATACCAACCCGGCGGAAATCGCATGATCGAGTGGAAACCCCAACACGTATCCCGGCCGAAAGCAAGCTCCCGCATCTAGAAGAGTCCCCTCCGGCCGGCTATAGCACTCGGCCTGTCTCGGCTCATTCCGTGCGGTCTGTAGCACCGAACAGCAGTGACGGCTTTCAGCAGCAGCCGAGACTCGAGGCGGTCCGAGATCAGACCAGACTCGGGAGGCAACCCTGGAGGTTGGGCAGTTCGTGATCAGACCGCCTAGCCCTTGGTCGTAGTTGTGTGTTGTCAAAATGTGTTGATCTCGGAAGCTTCCGGTCGATGTCAGTGATCCAGGTCCTTGAGTCCATGCAATGATTGCTATCCGACCATCTGTCAAGATTGCATGATGAAGAAGAATCTAACGAATCAGGATTCTTGAGAACTCCGAGCACATCAAGATGTTTGCTGAGTAATGTGCCTCGAGGTCGAATAACAATCTTGCACAACACCCCAGAATGGACAATGAAAATATGCCAGCGTGGGTTGTTCAAGTTCGCTCAGAATAACGGCTCGTTTGTTTGCTTACTCTACATGAAGCCATCGTTTTCAGCGAGCAAGAGATCGATGCCAATAAGGTACTTTGATTGCCAGCGAAATAATCCTTGTGTTTATAGAAGAATGCCACCCATTATGCCTTGAAATTAACATCTTCTGCCCGTCCCGTGGCCTCATTGGCCTCTGCAACGTCCTCTGAGCCTCGAGGGCTTTTATATTCGGTATCTCCAATCGGCATTGCCGTCATCCAGCGAATCATGAGGTAGGCATCGGGAGTGGGCTCGGGGCCTTTGAAGCTAAGGAGCCTAGACTGACGAATCCCCAGATGCTGACCGTCGTAATGAATCTGAGTAATACGGGCTTGGATGTTGTGCCGGAACGAAAAGATGAGGACCTATCTCCTTCGTTAGTAATGGTCCAATGAAGTACCTCGGTTTGGGCAATGGGGATTTGCCAGCGTGAGTTGCCCAGGTTCGGGTAGAATAATAGCAAGAGGGTGGGTGCCTTGCAGGGAATGTGTGGTGGTTGCGATATTGCCCATGGCGAAGCTGATGCTGGACCAGGCCGATTGCGACGTGAAGCTCACCCCGTAGGACGCTGTCGCTCCTCGGATCCTCGGAGTCCGTCACGCCACTGGCGATATGTGGAAGGCCTTTGGCTTCGTCTTTCAAAACGAATGGATGAGACGGAAAATACGTGTAGACCGGTGTATAGCCATAGCCACCTCTCAGCGGTTCTGTACAGCACGGCAGGTTGAACCGCCTCCTAGAGACATCCCGATCTGATTTGCCCAAAAGCCCCCGTACCCCAGGCCTCCGGCATTACAGTCCTCCCCGCGCCAGGCACCAGATTGTAGGTAAACTCGAAAGACGAGAAGAGCAGTTTGGGTCGTTCTTGTTTTGACTAGGCACAGTGTTTAGTTATTTCGCAGTTTGTTCACAACCCACGAGTTGCCAAGCAACGTTTGAGAGCAACATGGGACTGAAGTAAACTAAGAGAAAGGAAAGAACCATGAAAGAAAAAAAAAAAAAAAAAAGATGAAAAAGGAGTCTTACATTCCTTCATATGTTTCTCCTCAATTTACGCCATATGGGAAGTAGACCCAGCACCAGCGCGAAGCTATAAGTCCTAATATCTGCAAACAGAAGGATCATGACCTGTATGTAAAACATGCTAAATAACGTGTAGAATCAGTTATAGAAGAAGTATAGGGCGAAAATATCGATATCTCAAACATCTTATAGTTTTAAAGTCTAAGTTCGTACTGCTATCAAGATGCCGATTGGCGGCACCACGAGGGTATCTTCCCTGCCACGTTCCCCCTTTAAATGACCCTCCACGGCTGTTTGTATATCGGTTCTAGTTCCTCAAGCAGCCTTTGGTTAGGGTTATAGCTAAGAGGTTCTGAACCAAGTGGGAGATGTAAAAGGTGTGGAACGTGTTGTTTGTAGGTGCCATAGGGACCTCGCCAGCCCATATTCAGAAACTCGTTGTCACGCCATTTGGCAACTGTAGGGTAGGGTGTGTCCACCCTTCATTCCAGAGATGGTTACGCGTGTGTTTTCTTTGGCCCGACGAGAAGATCTCTTTGGGGGTGTAGTTTCGGCTCACTGTCTTTGGCTTGGAAATTCAGATCGGAGGAGACCCTCGTACCTGACGCCGGTATTATCATTTCAAGTTTGCTACAAAGAATGAGGAATGCATTCGGCCACTCACCAGGCTTCTTGCCATTCAATCCCACCGAATTTGTAAGCTTCATGAAAGGGCTTCACCTTTTGCTTGGCCAGTTTCATGCTGGGAGGATGGCGTGGGCGGAGGTAGCCGTCAGTACGAGTTGAGCCTCGTAGAAATCCATGATTCCGCCCAATATGGGAACGCCATACTAAAGCTGCCAACCCTCCATATGACCGGGAGTTGCAACGGTAACCAAGAGTGTTTCAAGGACCATACTTACGATCTCCTCAGGCTCTCTATTTTCTGGTTGACGGTTGGCGCACGTCAGATCTCGGCAGTTCCTGCCTGTATGCCGCCCTTGATACCCAATGATGGACCGGGACTCACGGTGTCTGATATTGACCCTTGACGGAGCTTATTCGTCTGGGTATGGGATCTTTACGGCCTCACCTAAATTTTCAGACTTTCACTAGCCAGCGAGAAAGAGTATCAGGACGATAACATGCTACTGGTGGTTCCTCCATCGGCCGGGGCGCTCGCCGACAAGCTCCGGAGGCGGTGGTTGGAGAGCAACTCTACTGTGTACAACCCCCGACGACACAGCTTGTCTGTTGAGATTACGAGAACACCCACAAGTCATACCGATGGGATTTGTGCACATCTTGCCCTGTTCAGGCTGTGCCCAGGTTTCCCACCTGCATCGCCAGTCATGTGTGTCAATGGCACGACTACCTGAGCAAAAGAACAAAGACCCCAGGGCGAAAAAGCTATACTAACCGAGCCACAAGGTTGATAGCAATGCAGTAGATGGGGAGGAAGGATTCCGATTCGTCGGGGCGGCCGCTGGATGGAGCTGGAAGGGCCATAACCTTGTGCCTTCGCAACGCTGAGAGGTCTGAAGGTCGCAGGGGGATGTCGGCGGTTTGGTCGGACATGGGAAGACGGAGTGCCCGGCTGTATTGATGAGCTGACTTGAAGATGCAAAAAAGCTGGGCGTTGGGTCTTCATTGGCTCTGGGAAAGGTCACATAAGAGATGGATAACTCAACCTGGGCCGTGTGAGGAGGGGCGGCGGGGACGCAAGGGCGAGGGAGGGCGAGGGCTGCACGGAAGCAGGCAACTTTGATCGACATAGCCGAAAGCGCTTCTGCGTTTCGGACGGGGTAACATTCCAGATTAGTGGTTTGGATATCAGAGGATATATTCGTATCAAAGCATGGGTGGCTTGGTGGGGCTGGCATGGGATTGAATGGGGTGTCTGTTGCAAAAGAATGGTACCGCTGGCTCGGAGTCTGTGAATGTGCGACAGACTCAGCGGCTGAGCGCAGGCGAGTTGTTTCGGGTTTGCGGCCAACGAGATGATTCCGTTGTTGTTGGCGGCGGCTTTGGCTTCGCGGCTGTCAGGTGGCATGGAAGAATTCCCATGTTAGGTACCTAAACGGGGCGCCTCATTTGGGTGGCCGGGCTTTTCGGCCACGGCGAGATGGACGCCTTCAGGTTTCTCCGGGCACATGGAGGCTTGGTGCCATGGGATCCCGATCCCGCCCTCCGAACTCAGCCGGAATGATGCCGGGCCGTGAGTGGGGTGCCGCGCAGTCGTCATTTGGTGGTTCGTTTCTTGCCCCATTGGGGTAGGAGGGGCACAGCAAGAACATGGCTGCTCACGCTGGGATGCGCGCACATACGAAGGACGCAGTTGGTGATGACGTCCCGCAGGCGGCTTCATGGGGTCGCTGTGCCGTTTTGTTGCATATGCATCCCCAAGTTCCCTCTAAAAACGGCAAGTCGTGAGACGTCTCAGGAGCAGCAATTAACCTGGGTAGGTCGCTCGGCAGGAAGCAGCCTCAGATGTTCAGGTGCTCAGATGCTCAGGTGCTCAGGTACCAGTGAAGAAGACACCAGCGAGCTTGCTCAGAATGTCTGTCCGATTTCTCCACGCAAATGGGGCGGCGACGTCGACGATGGGAAAGTTGATCGGGCTCCGGGCTGCAACTCTGATCACCCGACGGGTCGTCAGAGCTAGAGTGGCGGATGATGGCGGAGAAGCACAAAAGGTTGCAGCCCTGGGGGTGACGGCGATACAACGAACCGAGGGGCAATCCCCGTGGATCGCGAGAATGCACCGTGTCTCGCGACCCATGATTCGCCTTCGTTGTCAAATAAACAGAGAAAGCGACCAGCCGTGTGGAAGACCGCCTGTTTGTGGACTCCGGAGCGGGGGGCGCCGGGTGAGGGCGAGGGCGCGGGTGCAGGCGCAACAGCCATCGCGCCTTCATTGATTTTCGTGATGCGACAGCGTCAGGGATGGATGTAAAGCAGTTGGGCTTGGTTTGTGGTTTTGTTGGCCCGCCTGGGCGGCATGTGTGGAGGGATCAGGGCGTCTCAGGCAGCCCGTCGTTTTGGGTATTCGTTGTGTCTGATTGGTCCGCAAGAACACCCATGTGGGTTCCAATGAAGCACGGCTCGTGCGGTTCTGGGCTTCGCCGAGACTGGCAATTTCGACACTGTGTGGCGTTCCATGTGGAAGCTTGAAAGTGGAAACGGAGGAAGGCGAGCAGGCGAGCTCCAAAGCCAGCAACTTCCGTTTCCGATAACCATGTGTTACTGATTACAGATTATAGCCCTTTACCTCTGAAGCGCGCAACACACGGCGACTATGAGATAATCCCAGAGTCTCCCTTGATATTGAGGAACAGGAATAACGGACCGGAGGAGCAGCTCACAGCGCTGAGAAGTGAATATCAAAGCCAAGCATCGGCTCGGTTAAACGGCGGTCGGCCGCTGACGTGGAGACGGGTTCAGCCATGGTTCCTGTCCTGATTGGCGTGAGTTGGGTGGGGAGAATTCCGTTTTGTCGTTTGCTCGAGCAGGAACGATATGAGACGTGAACACTCTTGTCAAAGCACTGCAGGCGACGGCCCCCCTCCACCTGCACCATAACTCGATCGAAGTGGGCTTGGGAGATCAGCATCCAGAGATCAACATCCAGAAATCTCGACCGCATCGCTTCGTGGCAGTGTTCGCTTTTCATCGATTAACTAACTAGACAAAAAAACAACAAGTCGGAATGCAGATGCTTGGAGATGACAGCGTCGTCCTGCGCCTCACCAGCCTCGGTAATCCCCTTGTCCTGGAGCTTCGCTCGCCTGGGACGTGCTCCGGTATCCCACCCAATGAGTGTGAGCCTGCTCCTTGCCGCATCACGCAAAGCTCAGTCGACACAGCCCGGAGCGTTGCTGAATTGATGACGCTGGGACAAGCCATGCAGCAATCTAGCAATCTGGTTTATTAATTCCGACGATAACGATGCCAATCCCGGCAAAACTCTGGAAACTCGTTTCTCCACCAGGAAAGGCACCGGTGATTCTCGACTCGCTAGGTACTTCGTCCTTCGGAATCGCTCCTTTTCGGTCGCTTGCAACGCGAAAGGTCACAACGCAAAAAATAGGAGCGGTAGTGAACGATTCCCCACCGTCCGAACCCTGATAGGTTTTTTAATCACGCCCACTTCGGACGACCTTCCGTTGACCGCTGTCATTGACCGACCTTCGATTACGTCCTATTATATTCGGTACTTTCTCATCCCCACTATCGGACCACACTGCGCGACTGCCTGCCTATCTTTGCGACATGCACGCTGCCTGGTGATGGGATTGAACGCGGGTTGCAGCAGGAATCAAGTCTCAACGCGGCGGGTTCCATTGTGGGGCGTCAACTGTGACGCTTGAACGCCTGAACTTCAGATTCAACCAGCCAGGCGGCCAGCACAGTCAACCAGCTAACCAGCCAATCAGCCAACCAGGTTCGCAAGGTTGAAGGGAGCGCGAGGATGCAAGCCGGTTGGTGATCAGTCGAGGGTTCTCAACGGACGGGGGCGTGGCACCATTGCCAGACGGCGGTGGCCTGCTGTTTGACATCCATCTGTGCCACAAGTTTGTGTCTCTCTTCTGACCGACGGTGTTTTTGCTCCAAAGGGGACAGGGTGACAGGGCCACTATCAGCGGTCGTATTCTCCTGCACGAGGGTGCGCTAACATGAGTCCGTTTTCCCTTGGTCGATCGACGCACGACACATGCTCGAAGGAGACTGGGCATGTCGTTCCAGCGAGCCATTTTTTTGACCTTTCTCGAGGCTCGAGGTTCCAGAACTGGTTTTTCAATCTCAGCCGCCGCAAAAGACGGCCCCTGAACCGCAAGCCGAACCCAATCAAGGCTCCGAGGGCGGGTCCGCGAATGAGCAAGCTCCGCACACAAGCGAGCATTCGAGCATCTCTCCAAGGCCGCCGAGACCTCAAGCCCCAGCCTTGCTCAATCGCTGGGCACATGGCGTTGCCCCACGGCGACCCCCGATTCGTGATTCGTCGCAGGCTCACGGCGTGCGCGACGACAGCATGCAACTCACAGCCTGTTTGGGACCGGGACCCGAGGGAGCATCTTGGGAGAGCTTCGTATGTCCCAGCGGCGCAAATTCCATGTCGTATGCCGTGTCCCGCAAAAAGTTTATCCTTGCTCGGGTTTCGCTGTTTGCATTTCCCTGCGGGAGCTCCTTCTCTCGAGCATGCCCAAGCCGCACGGAGCGGCGTCATGCTGGGAGACTGACGGATAAAGAAGTTGTTAACCAACGAGTCTGACCAACCGCATTCCCTCAACTGGTGGCCTGAAGAAGCGGCTGGGCACCTGGGCCGCGTTGTGTGGGATTTCGCACTGTATGCCCCCGTCTTTTTCTGTTCCTGATGGGCGCTCTGGAATGGGGATAAGCGTTTGGGCTTGTCCCCACACCAGATGGTTGGTGTGGTGGGCCCAAGGTGCGCCCGAATCCGACACTTTCAGGCAAGTCGGTTGACATGGAGAAATGATCACGGCCTTCGCACAACGAAAGGCAGGGGTTTGCTGTGCGACGACCGGGTGACGAAGGGCCACCACCGGGGCAAAAGCCTGAATGTTCCCGGTGCTTCCGCCTCGGGCTCCGGGGACCCACAGCGGATTTGGACAGGTTGCGAACCGAAGTTGCGCCTTCACTGGCCTTTGACCTTTCACAGCAGAGCCGACCCGCTTGACGTGCATAGCCGTCTTTTAGATGGTGTGTTTCTCCCATTTCTTCAGACCTTCACACCTGCTCCACCAGGCTCCCGATCCGAAAACTGACAGGCAAGATGCGGGGTTGATGACAAGAGTCAGCGCAACCTTCTTTTGCCACACACGAAGCGTCACCTCCGTGGCTTGACAATTTTTCTGGCCTGGCAAGCATGGGTCGCATTCGCGAAAGATGACGGGATCGCCTGCTAACCGGCGAGGTTGATTCCGACCCCTCCTTCTGCTGGAGGCGGTTGACGTGCCACAGTCAAGGCAGAGCAAACGCTTGTTCTCCTCAAGCGCGGCCGGGGCGGGTTGAAGGGAGAGCCACCGGACTCCTGGCGTACCGTGTCAGTCATCCATGCCCGTCCTGCGTACGTCCGTATCATTCGTTCTCTCCCAGCTGGATCGACCAAGTCCGTGTCAGTTTGTTTCTCCTGGCAAACAGTTGGGTGATCATTGCACCCAGGACAATCCGGCTCAGGCATGATATGGGTTTCAGGTGACCGCCGCGCCGAATGCGCGGTGGCTCCGACGACACAACCGAAATCACGAGTTGCTCAGCTGCTGTCCCTGTCCAGCGCCGCCATACTGGGTCGTCGTTAGTTAACTAGTTAGTTGCTCGCCCACTGGCGACGACTTTTTCCTTCCCGAGAGTCTTTGACCGTTTCGGGTGCGCCTCCCCGCACTGTCCTGTTGTCAGCAGCCCCTTTGTTTCTCTTTCCAGCCGAGAACGGCCGGCAGCGAGCGGGGGGCCCGAGGAGACCAACAGTGAATCCCCAGTGGAAGAAGGGTTTGCTGTGCACGACGTTTCCGCCTTTCCGCGGTTTGACAAGGCCGGTTACGATCAGAAAAAGGCTTCACCTCCGTGCTGGGCGGATTGGATTGGCCGGGCAAAGAGAGGAATGGGGGTCTTGCGTTTGGGCGAGCTGTTCCATTGCTGGGTAGTTAGCGAAAAGAAAGAAGCACGGCCGCACTGTGCGGCATGATCCAATCCACTCTCGGGGCCGGAAACGTCTCCAAGGGATCCTGCGCCCTGCAGCATCCCACGGCCGGCGGGATTGCTGTGCAATCGTTAGTGTCAGCCATGCGGCGCCTTGTTCCGTTGCGACCTTCCAAAGGCCGCCCAAGCCTGGGCCAAACCAAACATAGTTTCGCAAGCTGCACTCTCTCGGCGGGATCAGCTTCCAACAAGGAACCGAAGTTTTGGCTGGTTCGCTTTTACCAAACCGCATTGGGTAGAGGTCGGTCTCAGCAATGAGACGCCCACAGTTCCGTTCCCATTCTTTGGCCCCCCCTTTTCCCCCACCGCTCCCAAGGGATGGACGGCAGAGACATCAACCAGGGCAGCCAAGCCCGAGACGACGCAGATTGACGAGCGCCCCCCTTCGGCCGGATCCATGAAGGGGGCGGCTGACGATTGGCACTTGGGGGTTGCGTCTGTTTGTGCTGGTGGGAAGAGGTGTGTGAAAGAGTTCAAGGTTCGTCGGAGGGCCAAGGTACCTTGGAAGCAATGAAGGAAATGGACAAATCCAATCCAACCCACCCCGAGGCACCCACGACGCAAACCATTACTCTTTGGGCGCACTATGGAATCAATGTACGCAACGCTGTGCAGCATAGCACCCCTGTAGTTGCTCCGTTTTTTGAGCGACAAAAGGGTTTGGTTTCTTGATCCCTGCCGGGCCATTTTCTTACTCGGGACAATCTCACAATCTCACTGCTCAGCAGAAATGCTTTGCAACTTTGCTGCCCCCCTTGAAAAGGGTCCCACCGATGGATGGCGAACGCCGACCCAAGCCATGAAATATGGAGACGAGTGTTTTACTTGTACACAGGACCTTCGGCAACTGCGGCGGGGGGTGTGGACTTTGTTGGGAAAACCCACACGGCAGCAGACTGTCCCTTGGTTTCTGGTCTTGGTCTTGGTCTTGTCTGGGGCCGCCCTGGCGTCACCTGTTTCGGCGCAGTTTTGTTGGAAAAGTGAGATGCTGTTTTGTGTTTTGTGTTTTTGTGGCAATGCAAAAAGTGCGATGCGGTGGTGACGACAAAGCAGCCCGCTAATTATTTGCCTGTACGAATGACTTACGATGGTGCGGGGATTGATGGCGAAGAGAAAGCGCTTTTTTGCTTGCTTTGCCTCAAGGCAAATCCCGGGCTTTTCTTGGTTCTTCGCTCTCATTCTCGGCGGCGGCACAAGGAAGGGAAGAGCTTGCTAACTTAGCACGCCCTAGCCGAAGACCCAGCAAATGGAGTTTAGTGGCGAGCTGTGCCAATCCCCGAGACAGATCCCAAAAGAGGCGCACAGCACAGGAAAAGCGGCTGGGCGGGCGAGATAAAAAAGAAAACGGAGCTAGACCGCAAGTGTGCTGGCTCGCATGGGCCCGCCGTGCCCGCTCAATCTTGCAGAGGAATCACAGGAAGGACAGGAAGGACAGAAAAGGCCCCGTCAAGAGAGTGCTGCGCAGTCAGCCAAGAATCTATTGGCTGGCATGGTCCTCTGTGGGTCGGGTTGGTGCATCTGGGAGGCCGGCAATCCTGCACGTCCCTCCGTCCCAGGTACCGTTCAGCAACACGATGACCGCGGCGGCACGGTGACCCACCCTTGCACTGCACCCAGACAACGACATCGACCAGGGACAAAGTAAATTAGCAGCATTTGCGGCGACCGGGACTAAGACGCAGCAACACACCACCCTCCGCAACCGCCTCACATGGATGGGCCATTGCGAGGTATGGATGTTTTCAACTGCCTGGGGGTCCTCCTCCCCATTCATGACCTACCTCCATGACTCTTGCCATCGTTGCCATCGTTGCCTTTCCTCCATCCCGTCGTCGCCGTTATCGCCATCGCGCCCGCCACCTCCTCCCTCCCCCTCCTCCCTTGGTGACCTCAACGATCCGATTGCCCGTGGAATATCCCTCCTTTGACCCCTCGTGGCCACCACCCCCGTTGCGTGCGTGCCCCATTGAAGGGTCCTCAGCGGAAACCACCCTGATAAGACACCCAAGCCTAGCCTGCGGCTACGGCTACGTCGACCCCCAATTCCTGACAAAGACAACAAAGCCCCTCGAGGGCCGAGAAACCTCTTGGAAGGCTGAACAGCTTCATCATTGTTGCCGGTGTGGAAGCTGGGATCCCTTGCCCTTACCTCTCTCGAAGCCGAACTCTAGTGCCCTGTCTCTCCTCCCCTCCGAAAACCGCGATACCTAAGAAGCCGGGCATGTAGAAGGCAGGAACGATTTTGGATTTTGGGCCAAAGCTCTTGAAGCACTGAAGATCGTGGTGGGAAGTTGTACCAGTGCAGGAAGGAGCGAGGGCCACACCACCGCCGAGGCCAATCCGAAATTCACTGGTGCCGATTTTTGTGCGCAGGCTTCACCTGCCTCTGCCCCTCACAAACCGCCATCCCGTCGAAAACTGGCAATCGAATCCGCGCGTTTGCGTTTTGTCACCGACCTTAAGCCCTCCGAATCGCCCTCGAAATACCCAAGCCCCCCACTACTTACCAGGCGTTCGTCTTCCATGACTTGAACCTCGGTCCTCTTCCTTAAATTACAGCGTCCACGACGCTCGTCTTTCTCTCCCCCCCCGCGGTCCCTCTGCGCGGACTACCAAGACGAACATGGCGACGACATACGAAGTGCCACACATGCCGGCGTGCGAGAATTACCTATTGCACCACCCCTCCACCTACACTCCAACAATGCCGCAAGCCGATCGCCGGCGGCCGGCTTTGAACGAACGACCCAGTACCAAACGAGCAGGTCTTTAACCTCAGCTCGCGATGTCCCGCACCTCTCGCCAGCCAAAGTCAGCCTACTAAACCACCAGCAACCTTCTCCCGATCCGCCGCGCCCTCAACTGCGTCTTCCTCCCACGCTCGGCTCGACATCAGTACCAGAATATACCCAGCGATCCGACAAGACGCGGCAGTCTCAGCGCCCAACACCGCCCGTTGGAACCTCACCTGCCGAGAGCTTAGCGAAATCGAAGATGACACAACACAGCATGAACATCCCGGAGCGGATCAGCCCGAGCGGTGGTAGTATTTCGGACTTCATGGCTGAGTTGGCGGCGCTGTTCTGGTTTGAGTCGACAAAACTGCTGGAGAAGGTGGAAGGGCTGGACAAGCTGGCTGCAGGAGCGTCGGTCCCACCGCTGGCTCCGACGGCGGCCGCGAGCCAGCATTTCAAGAAGTGGGTTTCGACAGTCCTGGCGACCACCCAGGTCACACAAAACGTCGTGATCCTCGCCCTGCTTTACATCCACCGGCTGAAGAAGGCGAATCCCACGGTCAGGGGCCGCCCGGGAAGCGAGTACCGACTGTTGACGGTAGCTCTGATGCTCGGCAACAAGTTCTTGGACGACAACACCTACACGAACAAGACCTGGGCCGACGTATCCAACATCTCGGTCAACGAAATCCACGTCATGGAGGTCGAGTTCTTGAGTAACATGCGGTACAGCCTCCTGGTCTCGGCCGAGGAATGGGAGCAGTGGCTCGACAAACTGACCCAGTTTTGGTCGTACCTGGAGCGAGCGCAGCAGACCGTGTCTCCCACACCGTCTCCGCTCCTGATCCCATCGCCATCACACCGGAACTTTGTCTCCCCCCTACACTCACCAACTGCGACGTTGGCCCCCGGCTTGGCATCGACGACGCATTCCTTCACCTTGCAGTCGCCCAATCTGGCTCCCATGACGAACGGCAACCAGAATTGGGTAGCCTCGTATGGTAGCGGCAACGCAATCTCACCATTGGAGTTGAAACCCCAACCGTACTTGCACCGGAAGCGGAGTTTCCCTGAAGACGACTCGGTCGAGCCCCCGGCCAAGCGCACCAGTCGGGCCCCAGTCGGACAGGGGCAGCTCCCGTCGCAGGCGCCAGCGCAGTACTCTTCAACAGCTTCTCAGGCACAATTCAGCCGTCACACTGTGGGAAATGTGGCTCCTACGCAGCCACGGCCAGTGTCCGGCCTGCCCCAGGATCACGGCCGGCAGCATCTGCCTAGCTTGACGCTGAACACGGCCCAGGCCACCGATATGCCAGTCACGCAGGCCCAAGCATACGCCACTTCGGCGTATGCACCGCAGCAGGCTCAGCTCTCACTGCCGCCTCTTGCATCTGGCGTCCGAGCCATGTCGATGGTCTTCCCGACCACCACATATGCTCCGCCACCATCCCTGCCTGCCACGTGCGGGGCGATGACGCCTACCGCGAGCTTCCCGCCTCTCAATTACGGAACCCCGACAAAGCGACTGTCTCCTCAGAACACGCTAGTGGGCTACCCGACCTCGTCTCCGCTCGTCGTGGGCAATGGTGGCGCCAGTGGACTGCACACCCCGATCTCACACTCACCCTCCATCTACCTCCAGCAGCGCAACAGCCCGTACAAGCCTGTACGACATGTCAATACGCTGCTCTACCCGCCGCCGTCGGCGTTCCTACAGCAATACCACCTGCCGAACCCGGTGTTGCCCAACCAGATGCACTACCAGCCGCTCGGGAAGCGCAACGAGTATCGCACCGGTATCGTCCCCGAGTTTCTAGATGGCGCTCACCGACTTGCCGGCTACGCCGTCCCACAGATGCTGCCGAACCCGCACCCGCACGCCCACCAATCCCGGGGCCAGTATTTGCCCTTCACTCCACGGGCTGGGGCTCCGTACCCGGGTCAGTACTAGGGGCCAACCGCCCCACCCCCAAAGTACTCTTGTCCGTTTTGAGTCTCGAGACTTAGTTCTGTACTATTAAAACTTTTCTTTGCGAATTTTTGCGATGCATCTGCATAATGTGGCGTTTAATATTGGGGTTGACTACGTCTTTTGGGAGGCGAGGATTGTATTATAACCCACATGGGGTTCATGGGTTTGTGGCGTTTGGTGTCCCGTGACGGGATGGGTGATACAGGGCACTTCGCATTCGGGTTTCGATGAAGACGGAGTGGTCGTCCCACCGTCGGCAGTTATGACTGCAAGGGCTTCGGTTTTTTGTTGGCTCTTACTTAGAGGGGCATGCATTCACGAGGAGAGGAGAGGGCCAGAGGCTTCGGGTTAGTCGGCATTGAGCGAAGTTGAACCAAGCGTTTGTGAGCGAACCTGGAGTTTACGGGATGGAAATGTACCCTTCCATGGGATAATATTGAGAAAACAAGCTTCGAAATGCCAGCGAGCATGCCTGCTTGGGCAGCAATATCCCGCCCCCGATCTCACTTGGTTCCTCCATCCCAGTGCTTGTTTATCCAGTCCCAATTGCATGTTCACCGAGGGCATAACACCAGAACAATATCATCTCGGTGACTCCAACCCCGGCAAGCGGACCTGCATCTCACCGACCTTTGGTATGCCCACACTCGAACCGGCGCCCTGTATGCAAACGGCGCCGGGAGAAAAAGGAGAAGCCTAACGTTCCCGGTCGTCCAACACTCGTAAATTAGAGAGGACTTTGAGCCTGGTCGCAAGTGTATGTTCCATCCTTAGGTGCTCACAGACGTACAATCAATCATCAGCCTCATCGCATCCCCTTCGTCCTTCGTCGTTCCGCTCCAATTAGACAAAGGTTTCTAGAACCAACCATCCTTTCTCCTTCGCCGTTTCCGGTCCTCTCCCGCCATTGGAAGTCAATGATTCCTGCTAGCAGATATTTGTTTCGAGTTTCACAAAACCCAATGGACAGTCTCAGAAACCCGTGGCGGACACGTTTCTTCTGGTGGTGCAGAGAGCTGCAAGTCATGTCAAGACCTCATTATGAATGGTACGGCGTGACTCATCAGAAAACATGTGGGAAGCAGGCGATACTTCAAAAGCATCGAGCCTGCCGAGGACCCGTCAACATCGGCAAAGACCCGCAGCGTCGCCAGATTGATGCCAGGAGCGCCAATCCATCAAAGTTTATTCAGTCAAGGTTGTATTCCGTCTGTAACCTGCCTGTTCGTCCTGGGTATATATACACACCACCCCACATACCAACATCCAACGCTCAACAAATGCATCCACTGAACCAAGTTAGCTTACCCAACGCTATAACAATGCCACAGACGCCATGCCGCGTAGATGCCTCGTGAAATGCTGTCGTATATCGTCGAACCTGCTGAACCTGCTGAACATGTTGAACCTGTTGAACCAGATGAACCTCCTCCCCCTGCAGCGCGCCCCTTGATGTATCCCGGAACAACCGAGCCACCAACTCCATTACCAAACCCAGAATACGACTGAACATGGCGTTATCATGGTGCGTCATCATCATCACCAACACCTACCCGCCGCCCAAAAGCACAACGTGGAACGCCGCTCTAATCCCAGTGCAGCCAACCCCTTCCCCCTCCAAATGCACATGCACACACACACACACCCGTTAACAAACACATGCCCAGCAAACACCCTCCTCCAGCAAACACCCTCCCATACCACCCACACACCCCCACACACTTAGTTTCACCTCCCCGCCCTCCGCATCAAAACCCCCGTCATATCCAACCTCACCATCGGCCGCTCAATCTCCAAACTCCGACTCGGCACCAGTCTGCCCCCCGGCGTGCGCGGATTCGCCACATTGACCCGCCCGCCGCGGTGCAGCCTTGCCCGGCCCTCCTCCACGTCCTCATCGTCTTCTTCTTCTTCTTCCTCCTCATCCGACTCCGCGTCCCCTACCGCCGCATCACCTGCCGCCGCACCCACGCCCGCACCATTACCATCGTCGTCGGGTGGTGGGAAGCGCAGCGCACTAAACGGATCCACCTCGGCAGCGCGCGCGTCCGCCGCCACCACTGGGGTGTCAGCTGCCGAGGAGGAGGTTGGATCCGAAGCCGCCGGCGTGGGTTCGGTGTCGGCCGTGTCCGGACCGATGGTGTTGGTGTCGCTGTCGTTGTCGCTGTCGGCGGCGGTGACTTCTTGCGCCTGGTCTTGGATCTGGGTCTGGGTCTGGGTGGCGGTGGTCTCGCCGGTGGCGGTGCCGGTGTTTGCCGAGGCGGGAGGTGTGATGCCTAGCCCTGTGCTGTCTGTGTCGCCGTCGCCGTCGCAGTCGCCTTCGTAGGCGGCGAGCCGGGCGAAATAGTCCGCGAGGCCGTCGACGCTGGGGGTGCCGACAATGATGTCGTAGTGTGGTGGGGGTGTTTGGAGAGGGAGGGTGGGTGGCGGTTGGTCGGCGTCGAAGGCTGGGGGGTTGTGCGACGGGTGGCGGAGGAGGTGGATTGGGCGTTCGGGGTCGACGGGGGTGAGGGATGTTTCTGGGCGGGCAACGTGCGAGCTGTCCGGCCGTCCGTTGGCTCTCGCGTTGGCAGCAGCGGCTTGGAGGTGGGCTGCTTGCGGCAGGTTCGGGAGTCCTGACGGAAGGGGGAAGTTGAGGCGTAGCCGGTGCCCGTTGAGGCTGATGGTGTCCTCTTCGACCATGGTCAGGGGCCGGGATAATGCCGCCGCCCCCGCGTCTAGTGGGTGGGCATCGGGGCAGCCGCACGACATTTGCTGTCGTTGCTCGAGGACCGGCCGGTCGCTGCCGCAGTAGCGCGGGAGCGCTGTGTTTGCCTGGGTGGCGCGGCAGTCGAGAACGGTGAATGGGCTGTCGATGCTGATCTCGAAATGACGGCGGCGCTTCCCAGTGGGATCGTCGGGGTCTGCCCGAGAGATGCGCATGACGAGCTGGAAGGGTTAGCGTCGGGTTCAGGAGAGTGATTACGCATGTCAGCCTACCTTGATCCAATGGAAGACATTGACATTCTTCCAACTGCAGTCGGGGTGCAGCCGGAGCGTCTTGTCGCGCGTCATCATGTCACATGTCGGAAGTTGAACATTCATCTCAATCTCGGTGCTGCCCCAGAAGCTTTCGAGCCCGAGGTCGAGATCGCCTAAAAGATTGTCACTCGGCTCAGGCAACGGTTGGGCGACGCCGCGGTTCCGAGAGGCATCCCTCATCCTGCGGCGTGCTGCCATCCGCCGAGCATCCTCTCGCTGATCGGGAGCAAGCTCGCCGCCGCTGAGCACGCGAATATCGCTTTCCGAGTACTGCTTATCTAGCGGCTTACCAGCTGCTTTTTCGAGCAGCAGAATCTTGCGGCCGGCGTCCTTACGCGTCACATGGCGGTTGTTGGTCCAGTACTCGATGCTTTCCGTTACATACACCTTGAGCTTGTGGACCTGCACCTTGGCCAGCGGCGTGAGTTTGAAGGCAATGGGCATCCTTCCTCCGATAGGGAAGCTCTTGCCGGAGATGACGATATCGTAGTGCAGCTGGTCCTCCCAGTGCCGGCTGATCGAGATGGGCTCGACTGTCTCAAGCGACATTTGGTCAGGCAAACGAACAATCGACACCTCTTTCGAGCCGTGGAGGTTGGGCTTGAAGGCGCCCGCGCGCTCCACGGCAGCCTCGAGGTCCCATCGGACCGACCCATACGGCAGTTTTGCCGTTTCCAACTGGCTGTGGTCGAGGGGAAGCTCAAAGGAGTATTCATAGGTACCTGGACGGAACACCTTGTACCCTTTTGCCTGGACCGGGTTGATATGGGGGGAATCGCCCTTGCCAAAGCTCCGCGAGTTGACGGATTGCAACGAGAGCTTCTTGTACTCTTTGGCGGTAAGAGTGCTGTTGCGACCCTTGCCGAGGATCGGGAGAGCTCCGCTGGAGGCAGTTGGCTGTAGAGCGCCCATCAAGCCAGTGGGCTTGTGAACATAGGTACACTGGCTGCCGTACTCGGTATCCCACATCTCTTGGTGCATGGCCCGGAAGAAGACCAGTGATTGGGTGCGGAGGGTCTGCTCCTCGAACAAGTCTGCCTTCGCCGGGGGGATGCCCTCGGGCCAATTCGTCCTGGCCTTGCCGACTAGTGTCAAGGAGACAGACTTGATCTTGACGTTCTTGGACACATTTAGCTGCAACTTCCCGCGAAGGAGGGCGCTGGTGGTTTGGGCTCCGCGGCGGGTGTTGCTATCGTGGTCGAAGCCGGTCAGGAAAACGTTGGGCTCGGCCAAGAGAATGGAACACGATACGCCGCTACCTGATGCAACCGGCTTTTGGACCTCGGAGACAGACGAGCTCATCATGGTTTTGGCCGAACGTATCGACATCATGTTATTCCGGCTGGTCGACGTGGCGGCCGTGGTTGCGGCGCGGGGCCGGGGAACAGCGGCACCAGTCATCATGTCGGCGGACGGTTCGGCGATTGGTTCTTCAACAACGATCGGCTCTGGAGGTGCTATTTCGAGCCGAGATAGCCTGCGAGCGAAACTGATGAAGCTGGACGGTCGAGACTCTGTCCTCGGGGTTCGGGTTGGGGTTGCGGATACGGTGGGTGCCGGTTTCGGGGTGCTGGAGAAGGCGGCGAATATCTTGTCGATGACCCTGCCGACCTTTTCGCTGCCCGGTGGTAGCGATCGCAGAGATCGTAGAGATCGCCTCTTCTCTTGGTTTTCCCTGCGCCGCTCTTCCTCCCTCCTTCGCACCTTCTCTTCCCTCTTCTTTTCTTTTGCTTCCTCCCTCTTCCTCTTCTTTTCGTCTTGTTTCTCGTGCCTTGTCGCTTTGCGCCCAGACGGTTTGGGGGGCCGGAGATCGTGCGGCACAAAGCCAGAGGGGTATGAGAGGATGTGGATCGAGTGCGGGCGACACTGGCGGGACTGGATCAACGGACGTGGGAACCCGCGCTCTGGTGGTCGGCGCGGCTCGTAGTAGACGGAGCCGTCAATAGAGCTGTAGAGTGGCTGGGGTCGCAGACGGTCGTATAATGGATCTACAGAAGACATGGCGGCCCGGTCAGAACGGAATCCCGACAAGCTTGGTATGGTATGTAGGTGACAATGGTTGCCGTGAGCTAGGGATAGACAGGGCTGCACCAGAGACCACAAGGGGCAGACAAGGGAAAATAAGAATGATGAGAATGCAAATGATGGGGCGGATTAGGAAGACAAGCAACCGCGCAGCACACACAACCACCAGGCATAAAGGAATTGGACATGTCCTCCACGTCGAACAGACCGAGTCCGGAGACGGCGCTGAAGGCGGAGACCGGCTGGAGCGTGTGGCCTGCGAGGAAGTCATGTTGGCGAGAAATGACATGCAATGCGCCCATGGTCGCTGATGAGGCGCTCGGTGGGCCAGACTGGCGACGGTCCCGATGCAGAGCCATAATGAACAGGCATGGTGGTGGTTGCGGTTGCGTCAATGGGGCAAGGGCATGGCCGGTTAGGGTATGGGGATCGAGACTGACTCGAGAGGGAAAGGGTACCGGTGCGTTGGGGAACGGGTTGGGATGGAAACGGCGAGCTGGTGGGGGGGAGAACAACGGATGCGGTCTGTGAGCACGCACCTTGGACGCTTGAATCATATCAGCCCCATTATTATTATTTCTTCCGATCTCCAAATATGCGCTGTGGTATGGTTCGCTTTGTGGTGTTTTTGTACCTGGCTTTGTGTCTCGGGAGCACCAGGGCCTCGAAGCGTCGTGGAATGGGAGGTTTTAGTCTAGAACACAAGAGGGTGGAATGTGCGGCGGGTTGGTCGAGAGATATATCAAAGAGCCAACGTCGAGGTCGGTATTACGGGTCGGGTCGTTTTACTGTGCCAGCTCGATGCGGCGCAAGAGATCTGGATCGATTGAGCTTCCTGCTTCCGCGTTCGGCGTGTCAGATTCGCGGGATCTTGAGGATGTCGGGCTCGGCTTGTGGTTCGATCGAGGTTGGTATCAAAGAGCGCTTTCGTCTGGAGTAACTCGTGAACGGCTGGCACTGGTGGCTCGGAGCAAAACGTTTGCGGAATGCGCTAAAGTTGGGAACTATACTAAGTCGCTGGTGGTGAATTGCTCGCAGTCAATGCGGCAGGCAAAATAGTCTCAAGTATCCATGATCAGATCGAGGTCCAAGGATGCTGGCTCCTATTGACCTATCCGCAGTGAGGAAATAGCAGGAAATGGCAATTCGGATGCCGTGATCTGCAGCTGCAGGGGAGTGGTGATGTCTTGCACACAACCTGGCACTTCCATGGCGGGGATTGAGGGGTGGCACTGGCAGCCAATCGCAGTTTGTCTGGTGACCGCTGGCCCGCGAGACCACCTGCCCACCGAGCCATTCAGTGGCGGCCGATGCCGAACATCCAGGACCTCCCATCTTCTGTTTCCTCGGAAGCGCTCCAAAAAAGTGTCCCAGCCAGCCGGGTTCTCCGAGCAACCTAGCGGGAAGTAATGTAAAATTACCTAAAACAACCTCACTAACCTAACACACAACACAGTATTCGTTCACCCCCTCGACTCCCGTCTTTTCTTTGGCTGACGAAACCTACCCAATGCGGATGTTGCTCCAACTGTGCCGCATCACAAGCGCTGGCTGGTTGATCCGGCCCTGGGCGAAACGCCGCTAGGGTCCGCAGGCTTTTCTTGAGATGCACCAACTTCAAGGCACAGCAACAGCGCCAAGTCTCCACGTGGTTTGCCGAGATCTGACTTCGGGCGAATCATGGTGTTTCAATTAACATACCGTTGGCCTGTTTTCAAAGGCTGTTCCGGTGTCGCCGTAAACCCGACCCAAGTACGACAGGACCGATCAAATCCGTGAGCTGCCAGGAGGACCCTTCTGCGTGCATGATAACGGCGACGATCCAGAACACGCCTCACATGTTTTCGCCGACTTCCCTCATGTGGCGTGTCCGGATCAGCCATGGGGCGATTATTCTTAGTAGATACAAGTACTCCAGCATACATGTATGAAGTACACCCTAAGACTTGGGATTTTGAATAGGTACAATGGCATGTGAAGGATCTACTGCGCGGTACTTGTCAAGGCAGTGAGAGGATCCGGAGAGAGCGCTGTGGCGCTGAAGAAGCATGGAGGCGCGGGGTTGCGGGGCAAGCTCGGCAAAAACAGAGGGCAAAACACGTCATAGGCGGGGCTCGCGTTCTTCGCTTTAACAAGTTTTTGATGCATCACTTTCACCGCCTCGCCGCCCACTCCGAGTCACGGGAGACCCCGATTCTTCGAAACTTCCAAACCCAAAGAGGTGGTACACCAGGGGCAAGATGGGTTTGTGTTTCTGGCTGCGGAGATAACTCAACTCCCATACTGTAACCGCAGCATGAAAGAGAAGTGTCACGGGCACGTGCAATCGATGCAATTGAACCTGACCAAAATCAGCCTGAACAACGGCGCCTTATAGTTATTCTGTGTTTGAGTTCAAGACTGCGATCAAACAAGACGGCTAAATAAGACTCACTATCACAATCAATGCCGCGCCACACCTGTGACGGGCGCTAGCATGCTAAGCTTCCTCCTCCTTAACCACCTAGTCTTCTATTCTCATGAGCCATGAACTCCCTCAGAGTTCCAAGGCGGCCACCCGGTATCCTGCTTGTCTGGGTAGCTATACAGTTGTGAACCGCTTCTGTCTCCCTGTTGACATAACAGTGGTGGCCACGCTTTTCAGCGGGGCAAAAACCGGAAAGGGAACTAACATCGAGGTAACTACCGCAAGTAGACCCTTAATTGACAGTTCACCAAGGAAATTGTCTAAATGTAAATGAGCATATAACTAACCAGTTCATCGTTATATCTAATCTTGACACTCCGCCTAACGCCCTTAGGCTTGTCTGAGCTCCGTCGAAGTTACCGACCAACGGCCCGGGCTCCACTTACCGGGGCAACGGCACTCACACCGGCATTAGCTCTGGCCTTCCGGGGCTTGGCTTTGGTTCTCCTAACAAGGCCATTCGTTGCCTGGAAAGCCTGTGTCAAGGGGGCCAACGGAGGAGCACATATTTAGTACACATTAAGCTTTTCGGGGCGCGAGGTTAGGCCGGGCGTACGGGAGTGCTTCTCCGAGTGGCCTTGTAGATCTCCACGATCCGGCCCACCGAGCGCCAGACAGCCCTCCAAGATGGGATCAAAGGGGAAGAGAGATATTTACTCTTGATTTATGAGGTCTCCCACAAGCCTTCACTTGAATTGTCATTGCATGTAACATCATCAATGTTGAACAACTCCCACCCTTAACCATGTCAACACTACCCAACATTCCCACCCGCCAACTCGGCCGAGATGGCCCTACTATCCCTATCTTAGGTCTCGGCCTCATGGGTCTGAGCTGTGAGTCTCCCACCCTGAAAAAATCTGCGTCATCATCAATACAATATTGACACGCCTTCTAGCTTTCTATGGGACACCACCTCCAGATGAGGAACGCTTTAAACTTCTCGACCGAGCCCACGAGCTCGGTTGTGTGCACTGGGATTCGGCCGCCCTGTATGGTGACAGCGAGGATTTACTGGGCAGGTGGTTCGAGCGGACCGGAAAGCGGAAGGATGTGCGTGTTCCCCAAAGTTTCGGTCATCAGCGTCGAACTAACAGCATCTAGATTTTCTTGGCCACCAAGTTCGGTAACTATGTCAGGCCCGATGGTGGTCGCGAGTTCAGAAACGACCCCGACTTCATCCGCGGCGCCGTGAAGGAGGCTTTGAGGCGTTTGAAGACGGATTACATCGACTTGCTATACTGGTAAGCCAACATCTCAGGGCTTACGTCTCACACCATATTATACCTAGTAGATAAGGTACTGATGGAATCAAACCACAGCCACCGCATCAGCGGCAAGACCCCCATCGAAGATGTGATCGAAACCCTCAAGGAGTTTGTCGAGTACGTGCCTACCTCTCCCCACCACCCCCCCCAACCCCCCCTTTACAATTAGGTACCTTATCCCCAAACCCTCCCCATCTAACCAACCACCCCTCACCTCCAGCTCCGGACAAGTCCGCTCCATCGGCCTCTCCGAATGCGGCGCCGACACCCTCCGCCGAGCCGCCCGCATTCTCCCCATCCGCGCCTACCAGATCGAATACAGCCCCTTCTCCATGGACATCGAACAGCCCGGGCCCCCGCTCCCAGGAAACAACAACAACAACACCACCGCCAACAACGCCGCCAGCCCCAGCCTCCTCCAAACCTGCCGCGACCTAGGCATCGCCGTCGTCGCCTACTGCCCACTCGGGCGCGGGATGCTCACGGGGCGGTACACGTCGCGGGAGGACTTCGGCGAGGGCGATTTCCGGCGCGCCGTGCCGCGGTTCTCGGCCGAGAACTTCCCGCGCAACATGGCGCTGGTGCGCGAGATGGAGCGGGTCGCGGCGCGGAAGGGCTGCTCGTCGGCGCAGCTGACCCTGGCGTGGCTGATGCGTCAGGAGGGGGTGTTTCCGATCCCGGGCACGAAGAGGGTGGGGTTTTTGGAGGAGAATTGGGGGGCGAATGGGGTGTTTGAGGGGTTAGACGGGGGGGAGGAGAGGGAGATTCGGGAGGCGGTGGAGAGGGCCGAGGTGTGGGGGACCAGGTATCCTGAGGCGATGATGGGGGGGTTGGTGAAGGATACACCGGCGAGGGAGTAGCTGCTGTTGTTGTTGTTGTTTGGGAGGGGGGTGTGGGAGAAGGGGTATGGGTTTGTGCAATGTCGGCCATTGCCAGGGCGTCTGCTCATCTTGTTGGAGGAGTGTTTTGTAGTAGTTTGAGCAGGCGTGGTCCCCAGTCAGTTCTTAGCCATACCCATTTCCCCCTTCTTCCTCAATGTCGTAGATTCCCAGGCTTACAAACGTTACTGAGTTTGGCCCTTCTCGTCTGGAATTGGTCTAGGAGGACCAAAGCCGCTTCAGGACTCCGAAAAGAGTGACGTCGCAGGCAGCCTCTGTGGCAACCATTGGGGAGCATGTAATTCAGCAACTGTTGCATTGCACTGGCGTAGGCATCAGCGAGTGCGCGGCCCTAGGCCTAATGGCGACAGTTCCTTAAACTCCGGGCATGGTGTTGATGCCCGAAACAGGTTGGGCAATTTGGGTACTCTTTCACAGCTCAGGAATGATCAAACACAAATTGCTAGCCTTTTACTTGATAAAATTGCATGAGCTTGTCTGAATCTGCTGTGATCACTTAATCATCAAAATAAGAGAAGCTGATTATTAATATTGAAGCTGAATGATAACTAAAAGGCATTGCTACTCTAACATCCTAACCGATGCAAGTGGACCGCCGGATGAGTAAGGGCTGCATCGAACTCGTCGCCACTGATTGTGACGTCTTCGATCCGCCAACCTTGGATTCGGCGATCCGGCCCGTTACCGGAAATCGACGACGTCGTCGTCGCTGCGGCAGCCGCCATTGGTTGACCAAGTCGGCGCTTGTCTCAAACCATGTGTGTCCTGCTCTCGGTTGCCCATCTTCCCGAAGGAGATACCGGAAACCGCTCCACAAAGAGCATCTGAACGCGGGTGATTTCAAGCCACTGATAACCAACTTTGAGTGCTCCTTCATTGGCTACCCTGGAGATACAAGCAGTTAAATAGAACCTCATCCCCAAAGATAACCTAAGCTTGGTTTCTTCAACTCCCATCTTGATATCTCGACAGTCTCAACCTTTATATTCTCTCAGCAACGAATCATCCCAGCAAAGCCATCATGTCTTCACTCCCCAAGACTTTCAAGAAAGCCGCCTTCACGGGCCAGGGATCTCGCCTCAGCATCGAGGATGCCCAGTTGCAGCTTCCCGGCAAGAATGAGGTGCTCGTGAAGGTCGAGGCCTGCGGTGTTTGCCATTCGGACACTTTTGTTCAGGGGAACGCTTACGGTATTGGCTTGTGAGTGCCGCCGTCCATCCAGGGTTGCCCACTTCGGGATTGGATCCGTTACTAATCGAGCATTCCACCCAGCCCATTGACGCCCGGCCACGAGGTCATTGGCCGTGTCGCGGCCGTCGGCGAGGATGTTGTGGCGTGGAAGGTCGGTGACCGTATCGGAGGGGGCTGGCACGGCGGTCACGATGGTGAGTTTGGGTTGCTTTGATGGTATGGAATTATCACAAGTGCACAACTAACCAATGTTTGGTAAGGCACCTGCGGAGCCTGCAAGAGGAGCCTCTTCCAGATGTGCGAAAACGAGGCCATCAACGGAGTCACCAGAAACGGCGGGTGTAAGTTCATGCTAATACGCTGCACTGAGGGGTGGCACTTGACTAATGATCCACAGACGCGGAATACGTGCTCGTCCGCTCCGAAGCGGGCGTCAAAGTCCCCGACGACGTCGACGCGGCCAGTTACGCGCCCCTGCTCTGCGCCGGCGTGACCGTGTTCAATTCGATGCGGCAGATGAACATCCCGCCCGGCGAGACGGTGGCTATCCAGGGGCTCGGCGGCCTGGGCCATCTGGGCGTGCAGTACGCCAACAAGTTCGGCTTTCGCACCGTGGCCGTCTCGCGCGGCGCCGACAAGGAGGCCTTTGCCCGCAAGCTGGGCGCTCATGAGTACATCGATACGACCAAGGTCCAGGCCGGGGCCGCGCTGAAGGAGCTTGGTGGGGCAGCCATGATCGTGACGACGAGCCCAAACGCGGAGCAGATCCCGGAGTTGCTGCAGGGGCTGGGGCCGAGGGGGAAGTTGTTGATTGTTTCCCGTGAGTGCAAGATTCGCTTTTTATATTGGCATCTCTGTTGGGAGCGCGGCATGGAAAGGATTCACTGACGGTTGAGGACAGTTCCGGGCGAGGTGCCCTTCAACATCACACCAATGGTGAGGCCACTCTAAGACAAATATTACAGCGTTGTGGAAGGTTTGCTAACCCTTTTGCAGATCCAAAAGGGACTGTCCATCCACGCTTGGCCCGCTGGACATGCAACTGATATGGAGGACGCCATCAAGTTCGCCCAGCTGCAGGACATCGGTTGCATGATCGAGAAGTTCCCATTGGAGAAAGCCAACGAGGCTTATGGTGGGTGTTTGTCCATGTTCTCCATGTTTGCTCTGGACTAACTCTGATCTCTGTAGATGCTATGCTCAGCGGCAAGGTCCGCTTTAGGGCAGTCCTCACCTTTGAGTAGGGGATTCAGAGAGGGATTTCAAACCCGATACCTCGGTTGGGTACATCATGCGAGAGTGTATTGTGGCGGATAGCAAGGCTGAGATGCACACGGTGACGTCGGCTGGCCAAGTAGCCAATACGTCCACACCTAGGTAGTGTGGAACGGTGATATGATGTTGACCTTGACCATGAGTCGCTGGGGAATTGAGGCTTGAGAAATAGCCGATTTGTGGGCTGAAGATAGAAGACGGAGGAAAAGAATTCGACAACCTGGGCCGCGTTTTGGAGATAGAAGCTGAGGGAAAGAAAACGGAATCAAGTAAAAAAAACGCTTTAGGCTGCTTCGAATGAAATTTTACTACAGATCGAGCATTGAGATACATATAGGTAAGGCAATTACTATTGACGGTTTTTCTTGCCCACGAGGCATTCAAGCCCGGGGAAATTGAAGGTTGGAAAGTGGTTCAGCACGGAATGTGCAAGAACAAAAATACGAGGTTTGGGTTGGCTTGGCTTTGCCCGATACCCGAGATCACGAGCGGCAGGGGACTAAAAATCGCTTGGGGAGCTGTTGCGCAAATTACGGGTTTCTTGTTTGTGAGCAACCGAGTGAGTAATTACCTGTGAAATCTAGTTCAATGGAAATGGAAGGGCCGTAGGAAAAGCGAGTAAAGAAGACCAGAAACACCGGGAGAGGGGTTCCGCAACCACATAAAAAAAGCATCTCGAATCTGCTTCCTCTTTCGGTTCTTAAAGATGGAAACAACTTCAAATGTTGCAGATCGCATCAAAACAAATTCAACCCAATCGTCGTGAGCTATGCCGCATCAGGCTATTTAGGCGAGACAGTTTCGATGGCCCCCTGTGAGCCTGTTCCGCAGATGATGGGGGCACGGGAAGGCGCTGAGTGGCTCGTGTTGTGCCAACTCGGAAACCCTTGGCTGGGCGGCTCCGCCGCTCTCCTTTTTCCACAGCAACGCATCCCCCAAGCCTCGTTCCGTCGCACACCAACAGCCGAGCAACCAGCCAGACGGACAGGCCCGGGATCATGGCCAGACAGCCCTGAGCCTTGAATGACGACTCGTTGATGCATCCCACTCTCGTTGATCCCCACCTTCGCTGAATACCAATTATTATTCTCGGTTCGGCGGTTCGGCGCGACACATTCGCTCGCCCTCCTTCGCATAGCCATCGCATCATCGGGGTCTGCTCTTCGACGTTCACGTTCGCCCGGTTTCGCACCAACACACCGTGGACCGCAACACCACCGAATATCGCCCGACAAGGGATACCGTCCCCCCAACCATTCTAGCCTTTCTACGGCGGGGTTAGGCTGACCCAACCTCCGCAATCATGGGCTTCGGCGACTTCACCGGCCTCTGCCGCATGGCACCGCTGCCCCTCTGCTCCTCCGTGGGCCCGATAACATCGATCGCGAGCGGCGTGGGGATAGAACCGGATTGCTACGCGCGGAACATTGAGGTGGCCAACACCATCATCTTCCAGGGCGCCGCGAGCGCCATGCACATCATTGCGTTGGTCATGACGGTGGTCATGATCTTGCATGTGCGGGGGAAGTTTACAGCAGTTGGTACGTTTTTGCTGCTTCTAGATATAGATATGGTTATCTTGTTGGGGAAGGACCGCTGCTGACAAAGGCTCTTTTCGACAGGCCGAAAGGAGATTACCACCTTCTTCTACCTTTACATGCTGCTCACCTTCCTGTCCCTTTGCGTCGACGCCGGCGTAGTACCCCCGGGCTCGGCGCCATACCCGTACTTTGTTGCCGTGCAGGCGGGGCTTGCCTCGGCCACGGTGACGTGCCTGATGATCAACGGCTTTGTTGGGTTCCAGCTATACGAGGACGGCACGCCGCTCTCGCTCTGGATGATGCGGCTCTGCTCGGCCGCCGCCTTCGTCATCTCGTTCCTCGTGGCCCTGGCCACGTTTAAGACATGGGCCGGGCTGGGACCCACCAACACCATCGGGCTGTTCGTGGTGCTGTATCTGCTCAACGCGGTCCAGCTCTTTGTCTACGTGGTGCTGCAGGTCTTGTTGGTGATGCGCACGCTGCACGACCGCTGGCCGCTGGGCGACATTGCTTTTGGCATGTTCTTCTTCGTCGCCGGCCAGGTTATCCTGTACGCCGCCAGCGCGCCCATCTGCAAGGCTATCAGCCACTACCTGGACGGTCTATTCTTCGCGACGACGTGCAACCTGCTCGCCGTCATGATGGTGTACAAGTACTGGGACTCGATCACTAAGGAGGATCTGGAGTTTTCGGTCGGCACGCGCATGAACAACTGGGAGGTTAAGGACCTGCTGCCCGAGGAGGACCGCCGGGCCACCGTCTACCACGACGACCCGTACGGCCAGTCGACGGCGTACGACAACTCGTACTCGCCCAGCCCGAACCGGCATTCGAGGTATTAAGCGCCGGTTTGAAACAGTGAGACGGTTGCCAAGGGTTCGGGGGGGCGGCGTTGCTGGCACTGTCACCGGGATCCGTCCGTTCAAGGGTTGGCGTGGGGGCCGAAGCCTGTGCCGCAGTCTGTTGGTGGTAGGGACGCGATGCAGTGCCATGATACTTTCTATTTTGTCTCATTCGGCATCAGCGAGTTGGGCGCTTCTTTTCTGGCGTTGGGTTGGGTGTTTTGAGACGGACATAAAATGGTCTCACTGAGATGAGTGGCGGTCATCAGCGGGGACAAAGTTCAAAGGCGTGGGCCTCGACAACGACAGTCGGTAATACACAGCTTTGGACGCATTTTCCCATCCTTCTTATTGTATAACCGTATACGTTAGTTAGTTTACACTAATATTTCCATTTCCACCATCGCGATGAGTTCAGGGCGTGTGAGCTATTAGTGTGGCGAGGTAATGGTTTCAAACTTAACTGGAATCAATGCATGGGAGACAGGTCCTCACAGGATCAAGTCAGCCACGCACCTACTTTATTTGTGTATTAGACAGGCCATGTCCACCAGGTAGGTAGCTTGCAGATGGACGCCCCTATTTTTGACCGCAGCTCAATCAAGCAAGGAACTTCTGGGACCCAGTTCCCACTTTTCGACCCCAACGGCATCCATGGAGGCCGCGGCGCTGCTAGATGTAACCTACTGAAATCAGCTTGCTCCTCGCATCCGTTCAATTCAAAATCTGACGCCTCATTGGAACGGTGAACTCGGTGCCGCTGAAAATCGGTATTCTGTGCGACCCCATATGCTCGTACCCAACTAGGTTGCTCAGCTTCTCCTTGTTTGTATGCACCTACCTACCCTACCTAGGTAGGTATATGTCTCGGCGTTTGTATGTACCTCTGAAAAGTGGTGGGTTTGCAAACAGTCCGAAATCCACCGGTCTGGGCCGTCCATCCTTTTCAGCTTACATCCTTTCCAGGGTGGGCGTCGACCGGGGATACCAACTCAATCAATTTCCTTCACCACCACCAACCTTCGAATTCCCGGACCTACGGGCCTAGGTAACTGCGTTATCCCCTTTCGCTTCCTTTGTGCGCCGAACCAACCAACCATCTCTGTTTATTTCCAAAACTTTCAGTGACTACCTCGTGGCGCGTCACGAATTTCAGTTGAGCCAAGTCTCATGTCAGTAAATTCAACCTCGGAACTGAAACATTACAAACGTTGGCCGGGGTAGGTCTTTGCATTTCTTTTTGATCTGAGCATTCGCTGTTGATTAAATTAGCCACCTGCTGATCGTGACAGGGTCACCTCGAAGCACGCGATTAGGCCGTTTGTGAGAGGACAGGCTACCGGTTTGGCAGTTTCGGGGCTACCACTGAGCTCTTCCCAGAGAATTCAATCCCACCTATCCGGGCTACCATCGCGATACCACGTGTACATACGCCGGTCCTCCCTAGCGTTCCCGCCACAACCCGGGGTTTCAGCAGGTCGACCGTCACGTCGCTCAGCCGCGAACGAGTGATCGCTCCCATCGCTCCTCGCTCATCGCTGGTCGCTGCACTCATCAAGTCCGACAGTCTCCCGCCTTTCGGACATCTCCATCATTCGCGCGTCACTTTCGCGTCGATTCACCGCTTCTTCAATCATTTGGATCGATCACGCCTGTTTTTTTTGTCTTTTTTAATCGAGACGTGGCCTCTCTTTAACGCCCTTCGCGCCTGCCTGGGCACCTGCCGAGCGCACCGAATCAAATCTCCGTGGTGGCACTAGGTCGGTTCCTATTTTCTCGGCAGACACTCGCAGGCTTTTTTCCAGGACCTATGGAACCCCGCGCTGACTGAGGAATCAAAAGCACAGCCATCCTTTTTTCAATGAATCATCTTACTTCAGACTTCGGATCCCCAATCCGTCGCTGACCGAGCCTATCTTGGAGCTCTACCACTGTATCCGCACGGCACCGACTACCTTGACCTAGTCATCGACTCATCTCATTCATCCCTGTCTTACTTCCTTCAAGGTTTCATTCCCGCTATCTGCTATCCGACTATTCACTCACCATCATCGCCATCGTCACATCACCATCAAACGTTGCCACCATGGCACCGATAACAATATCTCCCGCGCCTGCGGCATCAGCAGACTCTGCATCATCACAACCCAACCAGAAACCCACCCCCACCGCCACCGCCGCCACCACCACCACCACCACCACCAGCACCCCAACCCCCCCAACCTCAGCAACCACACAAACCACCACCGCCGCCCGGTTACCCGCAACCCCAGCCCGCGCCCCGCCATCAACAACAACAGCATCATCAACAACAGCAGCGGACCCCTCCCCCTGGCCGCAAATCGAGCAAAACTACTTCACCTCGATGCGGCAGCAGCGCGCGCACGAGGACACGGCCCTCGCTAGCGCCCACCGCGCCCGCGTCGCGCCCCTGCGCCAGCACCTGCTCGACACCTTCAAGGCCCAGGAGGACTTGCTGCGGCGGCTGCACGCGCTGCGGGCGGAGTATGATGCGGGCAAGGCGGAACTGGAGAAGGTGGAGAGGGCGTTTGAAGGGGAGCAGAGGGAGAGGGCGGTGAGGTGGGGCAAGGAAGATAACGCACAACAGGGACTAATAAGAACGGAACAAAAAAAAAGAAATAAAAAATAAAAAGGTAAAAAAAAAAAAAAAAA